CCATCATTTTGCCTCAGTGCGTATGCTTGAGCTCACTCACCCAGATCCTGAGATCTTATCAGGAAGCTGCTCATCACCAGCTTCAGATGTTTTCTATTGGGAAACTGAGTTTCCCTGGTACTGGCTGTGACCAATTACTATTTTAGAGAAACAGTTTAACAACTGCCTGAGCGTCATCTGCTGGCTGCCTGACATTCCTGGGTGGAGAGGCCCTCTCCTGCCCTCTGTAAGGATCCTTCCTTCCTCACTGCCCCTTAGAAGCACAAGGCTGTGGAGTTTAGCAAACTTTACTAACGGTTCACTGGTGGAAAGAGACCAGCACAACACGGGCACCATCTTATAATGAAAAATACGGGCCATGGCTTCCCTACAGTTACCCGCCATTCTCCTTGTGGGGAGTTTATTGATCGGCTCGAATCTGCTGGTCACCTCCTCTCCCCTCTACAGATCCTTCTCCCCTATGGCCAGCCTCTAGCCCCACATTTTTTATCGAGCCTTTTGATGAGCCTTTGTGTTCTCTTCCTGCCACCCCAAACCAGGCTCCCTACCTGGCTCTCCATATCTAGAAGCTCACAGAGATGCTGGGGCTTCCATCCTCAATGACACAAATCACGACAGAAACTCTGGGATGGCTATTCTGGGTCAGAATCGCAGGTAGGACTCTCACGCCACCTCTGCCCAGAGCACCCTGGGAGTCTCCTTCCTGTGATAGCATCCCCTGGCTTTATCAGGTTACCCTGCCCCAGGCGTCCTGGTCTCCCTCTTTCCCTCTGCCCTCCCCTCACCCAAGCAGACAGTCACTGCTCTAGGCTCAGTCTAACTGGAGAAGCAGCATGGAGCAAAGGCAGAAGTGCACTGTAATTCCAGCTCTAACACCCTGGGCAAGTTTCCGTCATGGATTTATCTGTCTTTGCGGCATCCATGTCCCCCCTTCCCAATTTATAGCCCCCTACCCGCCACTCCAGTTCCAGCGGGAATCCAGGTGGTCCCAGGAAGCTAATGAGTATATTCTGTTTCCCTGGCCACAGGGATTGGTTCAGGGGCAGTGTGATGCTTACTGTGAGGTATCAACTTGGCTATGCTATGGTGCCCAATTGTTTGCTTAAATGCCAGTCTAGGGATTGCCAGGAAGGCATTTTTTTTAGGCGTGATTACTGTTTAAATCAGTAGGCTTGCACTGAAGCACATTACCCTCCATAAAGTGGGTGGGACTCACACGATCTGTTGAAGGCCTTAAGACTGAGGTTTCCTGAAGAAGGAATTCTCCTCAATTGTGCAACACAGACACTGCCTGAGTTTCCAGGCTGCTTGGCCTGCTTTGTGGATTTTGGACACATGATGGCAACGTAACTTACCTGAATTTCCAGCCTATGGGCCTGTTCCTAGAGATTTCAGACTGGCCGGCCTCCACATTCACATGAACCAGTTCTTAAAATCTCTCCCCGCTGTCCCCATATGTACATTGGTTCTGCTTCTCTGGAGAACCCTAATGCAGGTAGGTGTGGCAGCCCTTTTTCTGGGAAGGCTGGGAGATAGGAAGTCTCTTTCTCTGAACGGTAGAATTCAGACAGACTTGGAAAGGCTGCCGGGTTTCAAGCTCTGGACCAGGCTCCCAGGAGCTCACACGGGCAGCACTGCTTCCTGTCAGTGGGACTGCTCCCTGGGATCCTCCGCTGAGACGCGGGGTTACAGTGCCCACTGCATAGGGTGATTGAGAGGATTACATGACCACTTAAGACAACGCCTGCATCAGAAGTGCTTGGTAAATCCGGAAGGAAGGGTGGGAAAAGAGAAGACCGAGCCGAGGAAAAGTCAATGTACGAGGTGGGCAAGCAAAAGGACTCAGGGCCCTGCTGGCTCCTCAAACCTTTCCATCCGACTCAGCTGGACGCTCGTTCTGCCTCCGCACTTTTCAGTGGTGCATGCTCCTGACTTGCTTTCATGATTTAAAGGTATTTGGGTTGAGCTTTTGTTATTCCCACCCAGAGTGCTGAACCCCTTCAGGAAATGGAGCTTTTCACTCTCCTCAGGGCAGCTACGTTTAGTGGCTCCAGGAACCTATTTCTACCCACCCACAAGGAACTACCTTCAATACCTTACAGGTGATTCCCCTCTATGGCAGTTGCCCACATGATTTCCAGGTAAACAAGCATTTCACTGAGGAGGAAATAGGAATGACCTATAAACAATAAAAAGTTGATCAACCTATGAGAAATGCAAACCAAAACCCAACAGGATACCCATATGGAAACCCATTTTAACTCACTGGATAGATAAATAATGTAAAAGTCTTTAAAATGTTGAGTATTGATAGTATGTGGAGCCAGTGGGGGTGGGGGGTGAAAACTGTATCATCTACAACGTGTAAACACTGCATTATCATGGAAAGCTGAAAACGTCTATATCCTATGTAGCAGGAATATCCCTACTGAATCTATCCCTAGAGAAACTCTTACGTCCTTTGCAAGCCTCCTGCAAGAATGTTCAGTGCTGCACTGTTGATAACAGCACAGTCCTACAAACAACTGATGTATCCACACACAAGATCACACACAAAATGAAATATGAGGGCCGGGCGCGGTGGCTCACGCCTGTAATCCCAGCACTTTGGGAGGCCGAGGCGGGTGGATCACGAGGTCAAGACATCGAGACCATCCTGGTCAACATGGTGAAACCCCGTCTCTACTAAAAATACAAAAAATTAGCTGGGCATGGTGGTGCGTGCCTGTAATCCCAGCTACTCGGGAGGCTGAGGGAGGAGAATTGCCTGAACCCAGGAGGCGGAGGTTGCGGTGAGCCGAGATCGCGCCATTGCACTCAAGCCTGGGTAACAAGAGCGAAACTCTGTTTCAAAAAAAAAAAAATATATATGGCATATTTACTTATTCATTCCAAAGACTGAACATGAACTGCAGCTACATCGGATGTAGGTACAGTGTGGACACATCTAACAGTAATAGCTTTTATAAGGGCTCAAAGGCATAAAAATAATACAATGGACTTTGGGGACTCCGCGGAAAGAGTGGAAGAGGGGTGAGGGATGAAAGACAACATATATACTACTACAGTGTATTCTTTTCGGGTGATGGGTACACCAGGATCTCAAAAGTCACCACTAAAGAACTTACTCATGTAGGCCAGTCGCAGTGGCTCACGCCTGTAATCCCAGCACTTTGGGAGGCCAAGGTGGGTGGATCACAAGGTCAAGAGATCGAGACCATCCTGGCCAACGTAGTGAAACCCTGTTTCTACTAAAATACAAAAATTAGGTGGGCCTGATGACATGCACCTGTAGTCCCAGCTACGCAGGAGGCTGAAGCAGGAGAATTGCTTGAACTCGGGAGGCAGAGGTTGCAGTGAGCTGAGATTGCACCACTGCCCTCTAGGCTGGCGCCTGGCAACAGAGCAAGACTCTGTCTCAAAAAAAAAAAAACTTATTCATGTAACCAAATGCCACCTGCACCCCAATAACTTATGGAAAAATAAAAAATAAATTAATAGCTTTAGTAAGAAAAGGCACTTGAAGAATACCTACCAAATATAAAAAGTCTAGAAACATACAATAATCAATACATTATTTGGGGGATATATCAAAGTAGAAAAGCATAAGAATGATACACATAAAATCAGAAGAGTGGTTATTCTTTGGAGGAGGAAGGTGCCATTCAGAGGGGTACCGAAGAGTTATATATAATGATTCATAGCCCCATGCAGTGCTGGTCACACGGATGTTTGTTTCTATCCTTACATTACACATCTTAGTCTTTCATACACATGAAAGGTAACATTTTTTCGTCGTAAAATATTCATAACCAAATTTGGCATTTTAACCGTTTTTGAATTTACAGTTCTGTGGCACCAAGTACCTTCACCTTGTGCGTCCACCCACCACCACTTCCAGAACGTTTTCATCATCCCAAACTGCTTTTGGTATCATATCCAAGAAATAATGCCAAGTGCAATGTCATGAAGCTTTTGCCCTGTTTTCTTCTAAGAGTTTTATAATTTTAGCCTTTATATTTAGGTTTTTGATCCATTTTGTGTTAATTTTTATATGCGGTGTAAGGATTCGATTTCATTCTTTTTCAGTAAACATTTTTTTTTTTTTTTTTTTTTTTTGAGACGGAGTTTCGCTCTTGTTACCCAGGCTGGAGTGCAATGGCACGATCCCGGCTCACCGCAACCTCCGCCTCCTGGGTCCAGGCAATTCTCCTGCCTCAGCCTCCCGAGTAGCTGGGATTACGGGCATGCGCCACCACGCCCAGCTGATTTTTTGTATTTTTAGTAGAGACGGGGTTTCACCATGTTGACCAGGATGGTCTCGATCTCTTGACCTCGTGATCCACCCGCCTCGGCCTCCCAAAGGGCTGGGATTACAAAATTCTTTTTTTTTTTTTTTTTTTAATAGAGACGGGGTTTCACCATGTTGGCCAGGCTGGTCTCGAACTCCTGATCTCAGGCAATCTACCCGCCTCGACCTCCCAAAATGCTGGGATTACAGGCTTGAGCCACCACGCCCGGCCTTCAGTATACATTTTAAACAGAAACAAAAGAAGGAGAGAATATTAGCTCCAAAAGGAACGGGGACCATTGACAAATGAAAGTACTGGCATAGAAGTAAAGTAACATAAGCTCAGACAGCTGATAAAAGCAGCAGGGCCTGGAAGCCAAATCCCGCCCGGCAGGACGACTGCGGCCTCAGCAGCAGCAACCCCTGCGACCACGACGCTAGCTCCTCCTCTTTCCCCGCCCCATAAGGGGCGGGCCCACGCGGCTCCGTGGCTTTCAGGCAGAAAAACTGGCGGTGCGGGTGGGAGGGAAATCCCGGAAAAACTTTTGTCACGGCGGACCTTAGGCAACTGATTCTGCGGCATGGACTCCAGCTCCGTTGCACTGTTATAACCAGGCCCGGTTTTCCCTCACGTTCCAGGCCGGGGTGGAGCCCGGGGCCCGCTCAGAAAGTCCGGCGCATGCGCACGTGCTCGGCTCGGATTGGCTGCTCGGAGCGTCGCGGGGCTTGGCGGGAGCTTTCAGTCTCGCGGGTGCCTCCATTCGAGGAGAGCGATTGCAGTCAGTGGCGAGGGCGTGGAGAGCGGCGCCATGGCTCCGCGGGGGCGGCGGCGGCGGCGGCGGTCGCGGCCTCCCAAGCCTGAGGGGTAAGTGTTGCCGACCTCCGCAGCGCGAGACGGGAGACCGGCTTGAACTGCTTCCTCGCCTGTCGCGGTTTAGGTCCCGGCGCTGTTCGGGCTCCGCACTGGAGCCCGCCGGAGTCAGCTGTCACCCGGGGCCCAGGCTTCCTCGTCAGTCTAGTGGGGATGACAGTGATCCCCCCCGCACGGGCGGGTCGGGGCTAGCACTGCCTGGCGGGGAGGGGAGCCGTTAGCCAGGGTCGGCTTTGCGGGGGACAGTGCCGTCCGAAGCAGTGAGCCTCTCGGTGCCGGCTCAGGACACAGCGCCTGCGTTTGCCGGACGTTGTTAGCGAAGTTTACTCTGACTGGGGTCGGCTTTCTTCTCTCGAAGACCCTGGTGTTTCCGTACTGCAGGCCTCAGGCCCGAGACCGGAGCACGCCCGCGGCGGGGGGACCGGGCTGCCGCTCGCCCTTCTCCGGGGTGGGCGGAGCACTGTGTGTTTACCAAAAACAGCGAGTGTTCGGTCGGCTGCGAACCCGCGCTCCAAAATGCCGCTCGCTGATTGGTTGGCGAATGGCCGTCCGCGCTTGCTGCGGACGGTGCACGGGACCGCACCCCGGGACGCTCTGAAGAGCACGGTTCCCGCTGGGCCTGGGGAGACTGCCTGGAGGAGGAGGCGCTGGTAGATGCGGGGTTAGGGTGCAGAGCTGGAGCAGGACACCGCAGGGAGGTGGGGAAACCGAGTCCGGACTCCTGTGGCCGGGGGAGAAGAACTGGAGACTCCGCCAGGGAGAAGAGGATTCGGAAAGAATGCCAGCTGAAAAGGGTTCAAGTTTATCTGAAAGGGTAGTGGGTTTTGTTGTCCTTTTTTTTTTTTTTTTAACATTTTTGGGTTTGAGACTCGTGGAATTTGTTCATGTCTCCTTCCAAAACACACTCATACACATGTAACAGACGGCTTTTTTTCTTTTTCATTTTTTTGAGATGGAGTCTTGCTCTGTCGCCAAGCTGGAGTGCAGTGACACGATCTTGACTCACCGCAACCTCCGACTCCCTGGTTCATGCGATTCTTCTGCCTCCGCCTCCCGAGTAGCTGGGATTACAGGCATGCGCACCACGTCCAGCTAATTTTTGTATTTTTAGTAGAGACGGGGCTTCACCACGTTGGCCAGGATGGTTTCGCTCTCCTGACCTAGTGATCCGCCCGCCTCGGCCTCCGGAAGTACTGGGATTACAGGCGTGAGCCACTGCTCCTGGCTCTTAAATTTTACCTATGGGTTGTCACAGAGGTTTCTGTCTCTCGGAAGCCCCACGTGGACTCCAGCCTAAAGCAAGGAGGAACCTTGAACCACCCCCCGTTCCCCTACCCCATCCCCAGAAAGGACAAGACAGCTCAAAGAGTTTACGTTAAGAAGTTTATGTGGTCTGGTGTGTAACTGTGTTTCTGTTACTCGGCTGTGTAACCCTTGATAAGTACTTTTCCGAACCCCAGAGTCATGTATAAAATTGCTATTCTTCCTTAGATTTCATGAATCAAATAAACAAATCATTAACTTGTTAGAAATGCAGAATCTCAGGCCACACCCCAGAGGTACTGAATCAGACACCCCGGGGGTGTGCCTAGCAACCTGTTTAACGAGCCCTTCTGAGGACTGCGATGCTACTCAAGTCAGGGAACCACCAGCTCTAAACACTTCTCCAACTATTTTTAAAAACTGATTCACAGTGATGTTCTTTTACATCACACTTAATACACGCGTGCACACATTGACACATAAGAGGCTTATGGACATAGTATATTCAGTGCAATGTTTCATTTTCTTCCCTTTCTTTTGGTTTTTTAAAAATGCTGGCCTGGCAGTCTTAAAGGACATTACAGGACAATTGATGTGATTTGAGTATGCACTAGATTAGATCATGGTGTCAGTGTTAAATTTCTTGATTTTAGAAATTCTACCATGAATATGTAGGATAATGCCTGCTTAGGAAAGACATAATTGTAGTACTTAGTGGGTGGAGGTGCACAGTGTCTCCAGTTACACACACAGCACAAAAGAGACGAAATGTAAGCAGTGAGTGAACCTGGATAGAGGACATGAAGAAGGTCCTTGTACTATGTTTACAACTTGTCTGCTTGTAATTCTATTAACAGGTTACTCAAACATTGGTTCAGGCTCAGTAAGCTGACTTTGCTATCTGCAAATGAGAAAAATACGGCTGCAATCAGCATGGCATATTTTAAAGTCGGGATTATTGTACTGTATTATCCCATAGTATCCCCGTACGCTTGCACAATGCCTGGTCCATGGAGGATGCTCTGTACATACTCACTCCTGGCAATATTGTTAGTAATAATATTATGTAATATATTGTTCCTGCCATGTTATTTCCCTTTTTAAATTCTAGTCACCATTGTTACATCTGTTTCCTTGAAGATTGGTGAAGATATATATATATACAACTCTATCATTTTAAGCTATGGCCCAACTAAGTGTGAAGGGATGTCGAGGGCAGGCCCTGGATTTGAACTAATGTAAATTTCAGTGTGGGCTTGTCTCCTTCCTTGCCTGGTGTTGCTGTGGGCAAGCATACATCTGTAACGGGATTGATTCACTTCTGCCTTATAGGACTCTTAGAATTAAATGAGAAAAGAATGTGCAAGAGCCAGGCACAAGATGGAGCAGGTGTCGGAGTTTAGTGTTAGCCTACCACCCCTTTGTTCAGCTCTGCAGAGAAAGTCAATCATTGCTGATTGATTAAGGCCTCAGGGAAAAAGGTAACTGCAGAATTCCAACTTTCCATGTCCCTGAGGGGGGAAGTATGTTATTTTATAAATTGGTGATATGATTTGACCTATAAAAATGATGGAATATGGGTTCTGGTTTTTTGTTTTTGTTCTTTTTTCTTTTGGTAAAAATGCATGGAAAGGGTTATAACTATGCTGTTTCCTTGGTTATTTTAACTGTTTTCTAACTCTTGTGTTTTTTTGCTCTTTAATAGTGCAAGACAGTCGAACATCTTAGAAAGAACACATTCCATGAAAGATGTGAGTTATCGTTTTGTGTTGTGATTTCCTTAAAATTGACAGTACAAATTAACATTTTGTGGGTACCTCAGAGTTTTGTAGACCTCATTTGGCAAGTTCAATGTTTATTGTAGTGAAAAGTGTTCATTTTCCTCAAACTTTTTCCAGTATAGCAAAGAAAATGACTTTTGTTAATGTTTTAGAATTTCCTTTTTTTCTAAGCCTAGGTTGGTTTTATTTTCGTTTAGGTAATTGACTTCATATAAAAATTGTACAGTGCTCTATATCTTGCTTTTTTCACCTAAAGTCATTTCTCATTGTGGTTTTAAAAGACTTATTTATGATTTTGTGGTACTTAGTTCACATTACAGGTTTAGTTTTCTTTCTAATAGAGTCTTAGAATGTATGTTAAAGGTGTGTACATTTCTGTAATGCTCGTTATAGCTCATTCCAAATTCTTTTCCAGTGGCTTGCGTGGTTGGCATTGTAATCTCACATTAACAGTGTGTGACAGTGCCAGGCACCCTGGAAGGAGTTCCTTCTGCTCATTCTGTCCTGGACTTTCTCTGTCCTCCATGGTGCTTAAGCCCTTCCTGCAGAGGATAGCTCTTTTCCCCTCTGGGAAACCTTGGGATTCCCCTGCAGGATTTTGCTCAGCCCTCTGCTCCCACCCCAGCATTACTTCACTGGTCCTTTGGGTAGATTTCTCTCAGCTGTCCTGCCTGCCCTTGCCATTGGTAGCCAAAGTCCAGGGTGCCTTGCAGGGGTTTCTCTAAGCTCCAGACTTAGCTGAAAGCCCAAAGTATCTGGAATGGATTCAGCTTACCTGTCCTTCCCTCTGCAAGGCAGTGCTTTACATGTGGTGGAGCCCTATTCCTTGGGAGAGGCTGGAAGACCTGCCAGCTCTCTCAGCATTTCACCCCCAAGAATAAGCCTTTCACTTGCGGGGGCATCTGAATGGTCAAATTTTTGTTTTGTTTGCCAATTTTATTTGACCTCCTTTATATCTTCCAGAATTTTCTTATTTTCGTATCTGCTAATAGTACCCTTCCACGTTTTCCAGAACGTTTTTATTCCGGAAAGTTTTTTTCATTCTATGTTTTCATACCTCATTAGATTTGAGGTAGCAGACTTCATGGGCTTGTCACTATATTAAACTGTAAACCCTGGTGTCTCTCCTTTAGTCAGGAGTTTTTACCCATGTGTACCCTTAAAACTGTTTATGGACTTTTGGGTATATGGGCGGATTTCTGGAGGCAGGACCCATCACTTTCCCTAGGTCAGAGGTTTAGGCAAACTAGCCTATAGGCTAAATCTAGCCTGCCAACTGTTTTTATATATCCCTGCAAGCTGAGAATGGTTTTTACATTTTTTAATGGTTGAAATAAAATGAAAAGACTATCTGATAACCCATCAACGTGATATGAAATTCAAATTGAAGCGTTCAGAAGTCAAATTTTATTGGAACACAGCCATGCTCGTTCTTTTCTGTGTTGTTGCCGTCTGCATTCATGCGGCAGTGGCTGAGTTAGTACTCAAAACAGAAACCTTATGGCCAGCAAAGCCTGAAATATTTACTTTCTGGTCCTTTATAGAAAAAGTTTGTCTATCCATGCCTTAGGTTATCAATAGAGTCTATGTCCCCAAAAAGTGTTATGTTTGGTTGCTTCTTTATTTTAACTGAAACATAGTAATTGTACACATTTGTGGGGTACAGTTTGATCTTGCCATACATAACTATGTTGTCTATGACCCAATCAGGGTAGGTAGTCTGTCCATCACCCCATGCATAAGGATTGCTTCCTTAGGCAGCAGTGATTACAAAAATATCCTTGCTGCGTAATTCAGCCTTGTGATGTTCTTTGTGAGAGCCATCTCAATGACTTCGACTTTATTCACTTTTAGAAAGCTGGTCAAAAGTACAAGCCTGTTGATGTGTTTGATTTTCCTGCTAATTCTGATGTTTCAAGCGTTGGCAGGCCAGGTGAAAATGAGAAAGATGAAGAACCTAATGAGACCTTTGGTTAGTATTTTAAATCTTTATCCTAACGTAACTCTAAACAATGTTTAGGCCAGACATAATAAAAAATAGAAGTATATTCAAATATAAAAATCAGTTGTCTGCATGAAATATGTTCTTTGGGGAGTACTTGATAATTTGAATTAATTTTTCTCACTTCTAAATAGATTGAAACTAAGAACATTATCAAAGAGGCACTCTTCTAGTAGCATTCCTTAACAATCCAGTCACATTAGGACACCTACTATAGTGCTCTGTAACAAGAGGAACATAGAATACATTTCTTGCTTCACTCTACCATATGATAGAGCCACTGATTTAGAGAGAAGAGTATGGGTAATTTTCCCTTGTCCTAATTTCATGGGGGCATGGGATGATTCAGGAGAACCAGTGGGAGAGCTTCACTTGTGTTCCTGGGAGTGCAGGGTAAAAGGTCGGTACCTGGCTGGCCAGGAGTGTATGAGTTGTCAGGATGGGCTGCTTCTGTCACTGTGTGTCAGTGGACACTCCAGAGGACAGAAATGACAGAGAAATTGCCACGTGCACCCACATGCAGAACTGCAGTGGCCAAGCATTTTTGCTGGAATAAGTTTTAAGAGAATTTTGAAGACTTTGGTTTAATTTTTTGTTAAAAGAAAATATACATTTTATAAGGTGAAATACATTTGCCAGAATATGTCTTTTATTATGACTTGATAAAAATGTTCTGTTTATCTAAAATCTAAATCTAAAAGATCTTAACCTAAAGTCCCTAATTTAAAAAATGGAAATGAATTCACATACCATAAAATTCACCCATTTAATTAAAGTGAACATGTCACTGGGTTTTAGTTTATTCACAAGGTTCTACAACCGTCAGCATTATCTAATTCCAGAAAATTACTGTCACCCTGCAGAGAACCCTGTACCCCTGAGCAGTCACTCCCTATTATTCCCCCTTCCTTGAAGCCTCTGGAGCCATGAATCTCCTTCTTGTCTCTACGGATTTGCTATTTCTGGACATATCAGTGGAATCCTAGACTCTTGGTCCTTTGTGACTTGTGTTTTCAGGGTTTGTCCATGTTGTAGTGTGTATCTATTTTGTTCTACAAGTTTTCATAGCTCGGTCATACTCCATTGTTTGGATATGCAACAGCTTGTTATCTACTTATCAGTTACATTTTGGTGATTTCTATTTTTTGGCCTCTATGAATACTGCTGTGAACATATATGTATGAGTTTTTGTGTGGACTTTTTTCACTTCTCTTGGGCTCATGGTGGGAGTGGAGTTGTGAGATCAAAAACATTTGGGAAGTGGCCTGTGTAATTGATTTTGATTTTGTAAGTCAGTTAAACAAAGATTGTTTTGTATTCCATTGTAAGGGAATAAACTTCAATACCACCCAAATAGCCAGAGTTTTAAAGTTGTGCTTCTTTTTTGCCTTTTGGAAGATCCTCCTTTACACAGTACAGCTATATATGCTGATGAGGAAGAATTCTCCAAACATTGTGGCCTACATATTCCTTCAACTTCTCCAGGAAAAGAAGCAAAAAGAAGGTACTGGTGTATTTCAAGCAATTGTTTATTCATGTTTAATAGGATTTCTGAGAAACTCTTTAAGATAGAAGCTAATAAGATCCTTTGAGCCAACTTGTTACACTTTTTCTCAAGAGAACTGGGAAATAAAAACTTTATTAATAATTGACATTACTTATAATAATTATAATAGCTGTGATAACTGACATAATTCATACCTTATCCTAGAAATCATGCCTGTGAAGAAAGTTTAGCTTTGAGTCAAGAAAGTAGGGAAAGATTTTATGAGCATCGAATTTTAAGTGCTTTTGAGAGGTCCCTTTCATTTACAGATTCTGTAATTATCACAAATGAGATGTTTCCTTGTATATGGTGGATGATAATTGCAAAGCAATACAAAGTTTGTTTCGGATGCATTGTCCCAGAGGCGCATTGGTTTGAGTCTTTCAGATTTATGTGAAGGTATAGGTCAGGAAACTCTCTATAAAAATGATTTGATAGAGACAACTTGAGAGCAAATTATATAATTTGAGTTCTACAGAACTCTTCAGTTACTGTAGTACTAATTATAAATTAGTAGAGTAGCTCTTTGACTTAGGGACCTCTGTTGGGTAGGTAAGTTCCAGTTACTAAATGTATCTAGCAAGCATCAAAACTGCAGTTATTAAACAGCCCAGTTGGGCAGAAATCTTAGGAAGTCATTTTGAGGTTGTCTGCAGTAGGGAAGTTTTATAGCACTTAGTTATTTTGAAGACTCCAGTTTTTTTACATGTTGTTGAAAATCAGTAAAAGTCATATATTTGGAAAACGTGCACTCCACTTTAAACAGTGGTGAATGTAATTTTTAGGAATATTTCGAATAGGGAACACATTCACATGGTTTAAAAAATATGAAAAGGTTTATAATAAGTCTTCATATCACGTCTGTTATCCACCTAACTCCTAGAACCCACTTCTTCCCTCTCCCTTATTAATTTCACATATGTCCTTCCAGAAATTCTTGGTGCATATAAAAGTAAATGTGAATACAGATTTTAATCCTTTTTTGTGTGCAAAAGGCAGCATAGCTTGCAACCTTTTCACTTAATAGATCTTCAATACACATGCACGGAGCTTTCTCATTCTTCTACCCTTTCGACAACATAGGTGTTCCTTGGTGTGATTACCCAGTCCTGTATGGATGGGCAGTGGGACTGTTTTCAGTCTGCTCTCACTCCCAGTACCACTGGGAGTGCTGTTTCACACTCGTGCCTGTGTATCTATAGGATATAGTCATAAAAGTGAAATTCTGGGTCAAATGAAATATGTTTGTCATTTTTATAGTTATTGCCACCAAAGTGAGATGAAACTTGGATTTTTGCCAATGTGATAGGTCAAAAATGCTATCCCAGCCTAGTTCTAATTTGTATTCTTAGGAGTAATTGAGCAGCAATGACTCGAAAGCTCTTGAATTTCTTTCTGCAAAACTGTTTGTATCATTTTTTCTTATTTTCTAATTGATGTTGGTCATTTTCTTCATGACTTCATTTAAACATTAGTGAGATTAGCCCTATGTTATAGATTTTTTTTACTAGTTTGTTCATCTGTCTTGACAAAACACCTAATGGTTTTTTGTTGTTGTTACTATTGTTGTTTTAACCACATAGAAAATGTTTAGTTTTATGTAGATGCAATGATATATTTATTAACTCTTTTCTTTTAGGGTTCAGGGATTTTGAGTCATAGTTAGGCATCTCCTTTTGTGTTTTTTCTAGAACTTGTATGATTTATTTTTATATTAAAATCCTTGATGTTTTTTATTCTTGTGAGGTATAAATACACCTTTTCTCCTTTTTTCCACATGACTACTCAGTTCTCTCAGTCAGAGTTATCAAACAAAAAGATGACCCTTTGTTCGTGTACATCACTTGTTGAGACATCTCTCATGTTATATATTACATTCTGTCTGTATAGGGGTCCATTTTAGCCTCTGTCTTTAATGTCAGTGGTTTTTTTGTCTCCTCATGCACCATTGTTACTCTTCATTATTGCTGAGGCTTTGTAATAATAACAAAGTATTTGGTAGTGCTGGTTGCTTCCTGATTGTTTTTTACAGGTTTATTGGCTATTGTTTGTTTTTGTAATAATGACTTTTGAAGAGCTGCTTGTTAAGTTAGAAGCAAAGTTGCTATCTTCATTGGTTGAGTTAAATTTATAAAATCTGATCTTCTATTTCAGTTTGGTTTTCTCTTGCTTTTCTAGTTCTTTAAGATGCATCTTTAGGTTATAAAAGTTTTTCTTTTTTGATGTAGGTGCTTATAGCTATAAAATTTCCTCTCAATATTACTTTTGTGATATCCCACAGGTTTTGGTATGTTGTGTTTACATTACCATTTGTCTGAAGAAATTTTTCAGCTTCTTAATCTCTTCATTGACCCACTGGTCCTTAAGGAATGTATTGTTTAATTTCTGTGTGTTTGTATAACTTCCAAAATTCCTCTTGGTATTGATTTCTGGTTTTATTCTGCAGAGAAGATATTTCGGTTTTCAAAAAATGTTTTAAGACTTGTTTTGTGACTTACCATATGGTCTGTACTTGAGAATGATCCATGTGCTCAGGAAAATAATGTGTATTCTGCAGCTGTTGGATGAAATGTTCTGTAAATATTTATTAAGTCCACTTGGTCTACAGTGCAGATTAAGTCTGATGTTTCTTTATTGATCTTCTGTCTGGAAGATCTCTCTGGTACTAAAGGTGGGGTGTTGAAGTCTCCAGCTGTTGTACTGGAGTCTCTTTTTAGCTCTAATACTATTAGCTTCATCTATCTGGGTGTTCCAGTGTTCGGTGCATGTATATTTAAAATTTTATATTCTCTTGCTGAATTGAACCATTCATCATTATATGTTGACCTTTTTTGTGTCTTCTTAAAGAAAAGTTTTTGTCTTAAAATCTAATTTGTCTGAAATAAGTATAGGTACTCCTGTTCTTTTTTTTTTGGTTTCCATTGGCATGGAATATCTTTTTCCATACTTTTATTTTCAGTCTGTATCTTTATAGATGAAATGTGTTTTTTGTAGGCAACAAATCATTGGGTCTTGTGTTTTGTTTTGTTTTTAATTCACTCAGCCACTGTATGCCTTTTGATTGGATAGTTTTGTCCATTTACATTCAATGTTACTGTTGTTGTTTTTTTTTTTTGTTTGAGAGAGAGAGTTTTGCTCTTGTTACCTAGGCTGGAGTGCAAATGGCGCGATCTCCGCTCACCGCAACCTCCGTCTCCTGGGTTCAGGCAATTCTCCTGCCTCAGCCTCCCAAGTAGCTGGGATTACAGGCACGCACCACTATGCCCAGCTAATTTCTTTGTATTTTTAGTAGAGATGGGGTTTCACCATGTTGACCAGGATGGTCTCGATCTCGTGATCCACCTGCCTCGGCCTCCCAAAGTGCTGGGATTATAGGCGTGAGCCACCGCGCCCAGCCAATGTTATTGTTAATTAGGGACTTCTGGGCCGGGCGCGGTGGCTCAAGCCTGTAATCCCAGCACTTTGGGAGGCCGAGGTGGGTGGATCACGAGGTCAAGAGATCGAGACCATCCTGGTCAACATGGTGAAACCCCGTCTCTATTAAAAATACAAAAAATTAGCTGGGCATGGTGGCGTGTGCCTGTAATCTTAGCTACCCGGGAGGCTGAGGCAGGAGAATTGCCTGAACCCAGGAGGCGGAGGTTGCGGTGAGCCGAGATCGCGCCATTGCACTCCAGCCTGGGTAACAAGAGAGAAACTCCGTCTCAAAAAAAAAAAAAAAAAAAAATTAGGGACTTCTGCCGTTTTGTTGTTTGTTTTCTGATTGTTTTGTGGTCCTCTTTCTTTTCTTTGTTCCTGTGTTCCTTTTAGTAAACGTGATTTTCTCTGGGAGTATTTCTTGCTCTTTTTGTGTATTTGTTGTATTTTTTTTTGAGGTTACCATGAAGCTACCAAGTACTGTTTTATAACCCATTATTATGCCTATATCTTATTATACTGTTTATGTTTTGAAAAGTTACTATTTTTGAGTGTTTCATCTTTTAGTCTTCCTACTTAAAGTAAGTGTAGTTTATACACATCAGTTAACAGTGTTATTATCTTTTTTCTGTGTACTTATATTACCAGTGAGTTTTATGCCTTCAGATGATTTCATACTGCTCATTAATGTCCTTTTCTTTCTGCTTGAAGTACTCCCTTTAGCATTTCTTTTGGGACAGGTCTGGAGTTGATAAAATTTCTCAGCTTTTGTTTCTTCTTCATGTTTGAAGGATATTTCACGAGATACACTTTTCTAGGGTAAAAGTTTTTTTCCTTCAGCACTTTAAATATGTCATGCCACTTTCTCCTGGCCTGTAAGGTTTCTACTGCCAGATGTACTGGAACTTTATTTTAGGTTATTTCTTTGTACTTGCTGCTTTTTGATTCTTTTTGTTTTTTTAAGCCAGTCAATTTCAGCAGTGGGGGGTTGTATACCAACTTCAGTGACACTAATGTTAATAAGTTCTGATAACCTACTACCATGGGACCAGCCTGCTTTTAGAGTCTTTATTTTTGACCTCTGGGTATTTAATTATCACATGCCTTGAGGTAGTCGTCTTTGGGTTGAAGCTGCTTGATGCTGGTTCTGTAACCTTCTTGTACCTGGATATTGATACCATTCTCTTGATTTAGGGAGTTCTCTGTTACCTTTTTGAACAAATTTTCTACCCCATTTCTCTACCTTTCCTTTCAGGCCAATAACTCTTTGATTTGCTCTTTTGAAGCTATTTTCTAGACCTTGTAGGCATGCTTCATGACTGTTTTTTTCTTTTTTCTTTTGTTTCCTCTGACCGTATTTTCAAATAACTTGTCTTCAAGGTCACCAATTCATTCCTTTGCTTGATAGAGTCTGCTGTTAAAAGACTTTGATGCATTGTTTAGTATGTCAGTTACATTTTTTCAACTCCTGAATTTCTGCTTGATTTTTAAAAATTATTTCAATTCCTTTAAGGTATCTGATAGAATTCTGAATTCCTTCTCTGTGTTATCTTGAATTTCTTTGAGTTTCCTCAAAACAGCTATTTTGACTTCTGTCTCTGAAAGGTCGCATATGTCCTGTTTCTCCAGGATTGGTCCCTGGTGCCTTATTTAGTTTGTTTGATGAGGTCATGTTCTGTTGGATGGTCTTGATGCTTATGGATGTTCATCAGTGTCTGGGCATTGAAGACTCAGGTATTTATGGTAGTCATTGGAGTCTGGGCTTGTTTGGATCCATCCTTTTTGGGAAGGTTTTCCAGATAATTGAAAGGACTTAGGTGTTGTGATCTGCATTGGGGGCCTCATGACCCTGACTGGTGCCTGTGCTACTGTGGCCGAGCTGACATCCAACATGCAAAACAAAGTCTTCTCCACTCTTCCCTCTCCTCTCCTCAAGTAGAAGAAAGGGGTCTCTTTTGGAGCCATGGTCTGTGCTGCCTGAGCCTGGGGCAGGGGTGATGCCAGCACATCCTTAGCCACACTGGTTGGTGTCTCAGAAGGTCGCATGCCCACATAGTCCACTGGCTCCAAGCCCAGCTGAGTACTGGAAGTTGCCATCAAGCTCACCTAGGGCTCCAGAGAGCCTCAGCCTACAGTAACAAGGCTTGTCAGAGCTCAAGCTCTCACTGCTAAGATGGGTGATTCCCCTCACACCAGGACCAATCCAAATGCTCTCTCCATGGTTGGGCATCACTTTAGTTCAGCCTCTTTCTGCTTTCCACTGTTACAGGACAACACAAAATTCAAAGCAAAGCTTCACAATCACTACACTCTCCTCCCAAGAGCACAGATTCTCTGTGCCACCCAGCCACTGTTGGGAGATGGGGAAGGGGTGGTAACAGCGGCTAAAGACTCTGTCCTATCCTCTTCAGGGCCTCTTTCAGCGATAGGAGGTCAAAACCAGGCACCGTGAGTGCTCAGCTGACTTTTGTTTCCTGTGAAGGTGCTCCCTTTGTGTAGATAGTTGTTAAACTTGGTGTTCCTGCAGGGAACAATTGGAACCCTCTGTTCAGCCATCTTGCTCCTGGTTGTTTCATCTCCTGGTTTTTTCTTTATGTGTAGGTTATTCTGCTCTCAGCCCTCTCTTCCCCATTAACCCCACTTCATGCTCATAGTTCTAACTGTCTGTATGCCACTGTTTCTCAAGTTTGTCTCTTGTCTAGCCCCTCTCCTGAGTTCCAAGATGTCTTGCACATTGGCCATATTGCTTTAGATGCCCATAGGCACCTCACACTCAACAAAGTTCAAACGGAGTTTCATCCTTTTCCTTCTCATCTAGTGTCAGTGAACTCTTGGTATTATCTAGGTCTTGCCATTCACCCAGTCCCCTCCAATCCAGCAATCTGGGAATCAATCCCTGTATGTTCTGTCTTCTCAGTCCTATTTTTCTGGCCTGTGACTGCCTTGAGAATCTATTTTTCCTCTCCACACCCCTGCCACCTCCCTGTGGCTGCCGTGGTATAGGAGCTTCACTCTTACCAGCACTCCTGTGGTAGTTTCCTGTCTGGTCTCCTTGTTTCTTGTGCCGTTTCCCTCTGGCCTACCCTCCCATACACCTTTCAGAGGGATCTTTTAAAAACACCAGTCTTGTCTTACTCCTATGCCCCCCTCCTGTTAGGGCTCCCCTTTGCCTGTATGCATGGCAGAGAGGGCCCGTGTGCCAGTTTGGATCTTTGGGTGAGTAGACACTGAGGCAGTTAGGAATGGAAGGGGTTTATTAGTGGTACCTGTGAAGGGTGAATAAAGTTGGAAGAAGCAGGATTGGGCAGCGATGGCCTCAAGCTGCATGCAGTGCCTGTGGTTCTGCCCACCCACTGCAGAGCTCTGGAGGAGCCATGTCTGCTAAAGGAGGCCTGGCCTGTATTGGGCAGAAACAGCCAGGCCCCAGACCCTTGCTGTGCTTGCTTGTTGGCTGGAGATTGCCCACAGCTGTAGCCCTGCCCAAATGCTGCAGTGGATCCAGAAGGCACTGCAGCTGGAGGCTGCTGTGAACATAGGAAACCCATGCAGCATGCCTCTGTGGGTGCCCTGCAGCCTGTCAGTCATAGCCTTTGACGCCTTCTCTAGCATTCGTTATCTTCTCTTAGAAAATACATTCTATCTGTGCTCAGTTGCACGTTTCTTGAACATGCCAGGCTGTTTTACACCACTATGCTTTTACATTAGCGGTTCCATCTGCTTTAAATGCTCTTCTCCATACTTGTTTTTCTGAAAAAGTTTTTTTTTTTACCAGTCAGCGCAAGTGTTGTAACCATGATGCCTTTCCTAATACCTCAGTTGTATCTCCAGGTCATCTTCTCTGTCAGATGCTTGCCAGAACATCACTCTTCACTATCTTTGGCCTTCCTACTAGACAGTGAACCCTTCAAAGGAAAGCCTCTCAATGTTAAAGTAATTTTATTCACTGCCCTTTGCATTTTGAGGTTGGTGTTAAATAAATGTGTTGTATTAAACAGAATAAAAAGATGAATTTTCGTCTCCCATCAGGAGTTAGGGCTGTTTTTCCTTTTCATACTTGTAATCCCAGCACTTTGGGAGGCCAAGGCAGGTGGATCACGAGGTCAGGAGTTTGAGACCAACATGGTGAAACCCTGATTCTACTACAAATACAAAAATTAGCTGGGCATGGTGGCATGCATCTGTAATCCCAGATACTTGGGAGGCTGAGGCAGGAGAATTGCTTAAACCCAGTATGCGAAGGTTGCAGTGAGCCAAGATTGTACCATTGTACTCCAGCCTGGGTGACAAAGCAAGACTTCGTCTCAGTAGCAGGGTGTGGGGGGGGTGTGAGAAAAAGGATAAAAGAAGGTGTTCCCTTTACTATCACCTAAGGATGGGCCTAGTGGATTAGCTTTTAGTACAAATGATGGACCATATGCGTGGGACTAGTAACTTGGAGAAAAGTGCAGTTCTCAGATGTGACCACAAGCTGCTGCAGTGATGGAACAGGTTACTTGCTTGCCTGGGAGAAATTCACGTGGCCTGGGTGTGGGAAGATGTGGGAGACAGCCACTAAATCTGGGAAGGTGGCAGGCTTGTATGTGACGTGTAGGATATCGCCTTATTAAGTCTGTTTTCATGTTGGATGAGCAAATTTAAAGAAGACGTGAATATAAATGGAATGTGTGCAAGATATTGATGGCTTGTACTTTTTACAGTTCAGACACTTCTGGAAATGAAACAAGTGAAAATGAATCTGTGAAAATTAGTGCAAAAAAGGTATGTAGGAGTATTCTCTCTTCTACCTTAATTTGTAATATGTTATAGTTTGATTGGATGCAAATAGAGCAACTGTTCTGTAAAATATTTCATTTCCTGTTTAGATTGGATGCAAATAGAGAAAATATTCCAAAGCAACATTTTTTATGAAGTACTATTTTTAGAAGATACTTTTATAGTAAAAAGCAAAATATGTTTGTATCCGAAGTGTTTTTCATTAAAGAGGTCTCACATCTTTATGTACCTTGTCAATTTTCATAGCATTTTTGTACCGGGTTTAGGTTGTGATTTAAAAAGGCAAAGTAAATTGTTGGGAGTGTTTATTGTAACCTTTCATTTTGGTTTCCTGTTCTATCCACTAGTTATGTTACCATCTTCCTATTATGTTCAGTTTTGAAGTTTAGAAGTGAGAAACGTGGGCTAGTTTTCTATTATTACAGTAAGAATTATAAGCATTTATATTTTCTGTGTAAGTTCTGCTGCTTTTTTCTTTCACACAGTCAGGAAGAAAGCTCAAGCCCATTAGTGATGACTCTGAAAGCACTGAAGGAATTGTTGTAAGAAGAAAAGTTAAATCAGCAGAGAAAATAAGTACACAGCGACATGAGGCTGTTCCAACTACAGCATCTTCAGATCTTTTAGAGAAGCCAATGGAGTCGGTCACTTCTAGAAAGATAGGACCCCTTAGTGCCCAGCCTTCTGTTGAAAAAGAGAACTTGGCAATGGAAAGTCAGTCGGTAAGAGTGTCTAAGAGTGTCTGCCATCCCCTTGGAGAGCAAAAAAAGTTTATTGAAAAATTTTAGGGAAGAAATGAAACATTTTCTCTTTCCTTCAGATCTTTTCAAAGATAAATTTTGTATTTAATGTAATAAAAATGTTTTGGAAAATCAAAAAGGTATGGCTGGTTATGGTGGCTCATGCCTGTAATCCCAGCACCTTTGGGAGGCCGAGGTGGGTAGATCACCTGAGGTCAGGAGTTCAAGACCAGCCTGGGCAACATGGTGAAACCCTGTCTCTACTAAAAATACTAAAATCAGTTGGGTGCAGTTGTATGTGCCTGTAATCCCAGCTACTTGGGAGGCTGAGGCAGGAGAATCGCTTGAGCTCGGGAGGCAGAGGTTTCAGTGAGCCGAGATTGCGCCATTGCACTCCAGCCTGGGCGACAGAGCAAGACTCTGTCTCCAAAAAAAAAAAAAAAAAAAAAAAAAATCTAGAAGGTATAGAAAAGAAGATAAAATTGCCTGTAATACCATAACCCAAAATAACCACCATGTTTTTTGGTCTATGCTGTTCAGTCCTTTCAGTGAGCTTTTATTACCCTAAGTGAAATCATATACTTGTCATTAAGTATTCAACAATACTGTTTTAATGAATGTATAACATTCCATTCATGGATATGGCATAGTTTAGTAATCTCTGAATTGCTATTTTAAAAATTATAAGTGCTTTGATGGATTTTGTTGTAGCTAAATATTTGTGTATTCCTTGGATCATTTCCTTAGAAAAAAATTGCTGGTAAGAATTCTGGATCTTGGCTGGGCCCAGTGGCTCATGCTTGTTATCCCAGCACTTTGGGAGGCCAAGGTATTAGTTGGATCACTTAAGGTCAGGAGTTCCAGACCAGTCTGCACAACATGGTGAAACCCCGTTTCTACTAAAAATATAGAAATTAGCCAGGCATGGTGGTGCCAGTAGTTGCAGCTACTCAGGAGGCTGAGGCAGGAGAATCGCTTCAACCTGGGAGTTGGAGGTTGCAGTGAGCCCAGATCACACCACTGCCCTCCATCCTGGATGACAGAGCGAGACTCTGTCTTAAAAAAAATAGCAGGGTGCAGTGGCTCATGCCTGTAATCCCAGCACTTTGGGAGGCTAAAGCAGGCAGATCACAAGGTCAGAAAATCGAGACCAGCCTGGCCAATGTGTTGAAAATACAAAAATTAGCCAGTATGGCGGCGGGTGCCTGTAGTTCATTACTTGGGAGGGTAAGGCAGGAGAATCACTTGAACCAGGAGGTGGAGGTTGCAGTGAGCCAAGACCAGCATGCCAATATACTCAGCAACAGAGTGAGACTCCATCTCAAAAAAAAAGAATTCTGGGTCGTCTTATTGGTTCTAAAATTCTTGACATGTAATGTCTTTTGGTCAAGTTTTTAATATGTGATTGTTAATTCATTTGAGCTTAATGTTTTGAAACTTTTTCAAAATATAATCAGGTGTCCCTGCTACCCTATCTTCTTCACCTTTCCACCTGCTAAACATACACACAGGTAACCTTATAGTTTCTTATATATCCTTCAAGTTTCCTTTTGTATATGTAAACAAATGTAAACATATTATTTTTATTTCCTGTCTTTACACAAATGGAAGCAAAACATTATTTCTATTGCTGATCTGTCTTGGTGAACATCCCATGTGCACTGGAATTTGCAGCTGTGTGTTCTGTAAATGTCAATTGAGGCCAAGCTGATTGATAGTATAGTTCAGAGATTTTGTCTCCTTACTGTTTTTCTGTTTTTGATGAGGGGGGATGGTCTGTTTGATTTATCAGTTACATAGAGGAGGTGTTTTAACTTGTGCTGAAAGTCCATTGACTTTTGATGTAATTTTAAACTTGGCGACTTTCACATGTACCATACTGTTTTCCATTTGATTCTGTTTTATCTCTTGCTCATTTTGGAGTAGTTGAATATTATTTTTGTATTTCATTTTATTTTCTCTGTGGGCTTCTTAGCTATACCTTTTTAAATTTTTTCCAGTGGTTGCTCCTAGGTTAAAAAAATTCCTTAAATTAGCAAAGTCTATTTAAAATCAGTGTGTTATCACCTCATACATTCTACTTGACAACTACCTTCCTCCCACTACATAAATGTAATTATGTAACAATATTATGTATTCCATGTATCCATCCCCATCCTCTGTGCTGTTTTGTCATGTTTTACTTCTGTGTTATTAATCTAACTTTATATAGTCATTTCTGCTTGAAAGAATTTTTTTTTTTTTTTGAGACAGAATCTTGCTCTGTCACCAGGCTGGAGTGCAGTGGCGTGATCTCGGCTTACTGCAACCTCTGCCTCCCAGGTTCAAGCAATTCTCCTGCCTTAGCCTCCTGAGTAGCTGGGACTATAGGCGTGCACAACCATGCCCAGTTATTTTTGTATTTTTAGTAGAGATGGAATTTCACCATGTTGACCAGGATGGTCTCCATCTGTTGTGATTTGCCCGCCTTGGCCTCCCAAAGTACCAAGATTACAGGCATGAGCCACCGCACCTGGCTGAAAGAGTTGTTTTTTGTTTTTGTTTTTGTTTTAAGAAAAGTATGAGCAGCAGCAGTTCTGTAGTCTTTTATCTGTTCCTTTTTCCATTTCACTGATTGGTATCTTTTCCCGTCGGCTTACAGTATATCTTCTAGCATTTCTTTCATGGCAGGTCTGCTGGTGACAAATTCTCTGATTTTGTTTATCTGGAAGTGTTTTTATTTTAACTCTGTTTTTAAAGGATATTTCACTGGCTATGGAATTCTGAGTTGACAGATTTATTCCCCAGCTCTTTATGCCATTCTGTTGTCTTCTGGTCTTCATGGTTTCTGATGAGCCGTGAGTTGTCTCTTTCACAGGTATATTTACTTTGTCCCATGATGACCCCAGTGCTGTTTGTCCTTTGTTATCGATTATATTGTTAACCCCACGATAGTGCTTTCTGGTAGGCTTTGTGTGGTCTCACGCAGCACATGGGCAGTACTCCGACAAGTACTTTTAGGAGCCCCCCCGCCACCCCGCGCCACCCTGCGCCACAGGTGCCTGTGCTCTCGTCTGAGCAGCTTATTCCAAGTGCCTCTCAGCTGGGTAGGATTGTCATGCCCTGCTTAGACTTTAGCTCACTATGCCCCATCTAGAAACTGTGTGGATTGGGGATGGCAGTCATGGGGTTCACCTTCCCTTTCTCTAGGAACTCAGTCTTGTGTGTTGCCTATTGTCCAGTACCTGAATTGAATTGCCACCCCTATTCCCCCATTTTTTATGGTTGTTTATGGCAAGAGAGCTAGTTTGGAAGCTGTTACTTTACCACAGCTGAGAGCAGAAATTTGAGCTGATTCCACATGTTGTCTTAAGTAATTAAAGTTCAGTTTTTCTATCAAGGCAACATCTATTATCAGTTTTATTTTTTCGTATTTTGTGACAGTTTGTTTGCAATGCTTCCATATATTAATGTAGATAATTTATATAATGAATCTATTTTAGAACTAAATGAGAATTGTAGTTTATTTTTTTTTTCTTCTGGAGATGGAGTCTTGCTCTGTGCCCAGGCTGGAGTGCAGTGGTACAGTGTCAGCTCACTGCAACCTCTGACTCCCCTGAGTTCAAGTGATTCTCCTGTCTCTGCTAACCCCCACTAGCTGGGATTACAGGCACGCATCACCATGCCCATGTAATCATTATTATTATTACGAAAATAATACAATTTTTGTATTATTTTTAGTAGAGACGGGGTTTTACCACGTTGGCCAGGCTGGTCTGGAACTCCAGACCTCAAGTGGTCTGTCCACCTCAGGCTCCTGAAATACTGGGATTACAGGCATGAGCCACTGTGCTCGGCTAAAATACTGAATGACAGTTTGCTAATAGTGTTAATCCTTATGATTTAAGACAAAGAAAACTTTTCTTATTAAATGCTGTGGGGTTTTTTTGTTTTTTGTTTGTTTGTTTGCAGAAAACTCAGAAAAAAGGGAAGAAGTCTTATGACAAAAGGAAGAAATCAGGACGTGAAGCCATAGATTCAGGTAGAAAATGATGCTTTATACTTTGTCACTCATTCAGGAATTTCATAAGAGAAATAAGACCCTATTCTTAATTTATTAAAGTACATAAAATTTTCAACATAGAATTAAGGTGAAAAATATTTGTAGAATACATATACTCCCTAGATTTTGTAGTTAACATTTTATTATTTACTTTATTAGATAGGTAGTAAAGCAAGTATTAAATAATCCATTGGTCCAGTTTTTAAGGCATTTTAAAATAATGTAGACATCAGTACTTCCTCTGCAATTCATCAGTATGCACATGGTTAACTGGAGTTCATTGTTGACAGTTTTTTCTTTGAATGTAAAATGTATATACAGTACAATAAAATGCCCTGCTCTTGAGTGTACAGTCGCTGGGTTTTGGGAAATGCAAACACCTGTGTAACTCAAGCCACTGTCAACATGTAAAGGCTTTACTCCAGAAAGTTCCCCCATGCCTCTTTCATGTCAGTCCCCACACCATGTCTCCAGAGGCAGTAGCTTCAAGGACACTTTTTCTGCCGTCGATTAGTTTTGCCTGTTCTGGGACTTCTTATAGATGGAATCACATAATGTGTACTCCTTTGTGTAAGGCTTCTTTCACTCAGTGTAGTCTTTTTGCAGTCCATCCCTGTTGTTTGGTGTCATTTTTAGTGCTGAGCTCATTCCATTGTGTGATTATACCACAGTTGATCCAGTCTCTTACTGAGGGACAGCTGAGTTGTTTTCAGGTTTTGGCTATTTGAATAAAGCTGCTGTGAACTTTTTTTTTTTTGAGTCATGGTCTTGCTCTGTTGCCAGGCTGGAGTGTAGTAGCATGATCTCAGCTCACTGCAGCCTCCGCCTCCTGGATTCAAGCAATTCCTGTGCCCCAGCCTTCCGAGTAGCTGGGACTATAGGTGCATGCCATCACCCTGGCTAATTTTTTGTATTTTAGTAGAGACGGGGTTTCACCATGTTGGTCAGGCTGGTATTGATCTCCTGACCTCGTGATCCACCCTCCTTGACCTCCCAACGTACTGGGATTACAGGCGTGAGCCACCGTGCCCAGCCAGTGAACATACTATACACATTTTTTGCGAAAATATGTTTTCATTTCTTTTGGGTATATAAAAACGAGTGAAGTTGCTGAGTTATAGGGTAGGCATATGTTTAATTTTACAAGAAACTGCTAAACTTTGCAAACTGCATTCCCAAGGTGGTTGTATAATATAATTTTATACTCCTACCAGAAGCTCCACAGTTAAAAATGTTACTAAGAATATAATGAACAATTTCATTTGAATAAATTTAAAATAGGCTAATGGGGAGCAGGGGATAGGGAGAGGCTAGTCAGTGGGTACAGAGTTACAATTAGATTGGAGGTGTAAGTTCACCTGTTCCGTTGCACAGTAGGGTGACTGTGGTTAACAATGTGACACATTTCAAAATAGCTAGAAGAGAGGATATTTAGTCTTCTTGCCACGAACAAATGATAAATGTATAAGGTGATGGATATGCTGAATACCCTACTTTGATTTTTACACAATACATATATGTTTTGAAACATCACACTGTTCCCATAAATATGTACAATTACTATGTGTCGATTAAAAACAAATTTTAAAAATGAATCCAACCCCCTTCCAAAATAGATGAAAAGGAGATACCATCCCTCTCCTATATTGCAACACATAAATATCTAGAAAAATGCAAAGCTACTGAAGCTGGATTTTGAAGAAGAAAACTAAAATAATCCTGTAACTATCAAATTCAAACACTAGTTTAACATTTTTTTATTAAACTAACAAAAAACCCTCAGTTCTATATAGCTTTATGGGCAAGTCTAACACAGCAGTCCCCAACCTTTTTGGTACCAGGGACTGGTGTCATGGAAAGACAATTTTTCCGTGGATGGGGGTTGGGGATGGTTTTGGGATGAAACTGTTCTATCTTGGATCAGGCATGATTAGTTAGATTCCCAAAAGGAGCTCACAACCTAGATCCCTCAAATGTGCAATTCACAATAAGGTTTGCGCTCTTAAAAGAATCTGACAGGAGGCAAAGCTCAGCTGGTAATGCTCACTCATCCCCCTTACCCTGCCACTCACCTCCTGCTGTGCGGCCCAGTTCCTAACAGGCCACAAACTGATACCAGTATGTGGCCAGGGGCTTGGGGACTCCTGATCTAATAGACATTTAATTCTAATCTTAGGGACACTGGCACCAAAAGATAGACCAGAAAAGAGACCCTGCATTTATGGAAACTTGATGAAGGCATGACAGAATTATTGTTGCTGGTCAGTAGGAAAGGTGGTTCTATAGGGAAAACATAGAAAAATGAGACTGCCTCTGACTTGAACACACTAAAAAGAAGTTCTGAATTGAAGGCTTAAATATCACAGGGAAAATTGGACAATTTTTAGAGAAAATACAGGAGTATCCATAAAAAGACAACTCAGAAAAAGGGGCAGATGACACCAACATTTTTACAGAAGACGGAACAGTAAAATAAACATTTGAGGGGAGTCTGTTCTTAGTCACAGAAATTTAAATTTACAGCGACAATGAGACACCCTTTTACACCTTCTAATTCGGCAAGTATTTTAGTCTCAAGTCCGTATTTAATGAAGATGTTGTCAGTGGAGATTCTTAACCACTGCAGATATAAAGAGATATAAGCACTTTGAGAATAATTTTGACTATTCTCTGGCAAAGTTGAAAAACATTCAGACTTTGAAACCTAGCAGTTGCTGGTGAGTATATTTACTAGAGGAATTCTTGAACATGGCTGTGAATCATGTATACAAGTACTCTTAACATTGTCTTTCATGCTAGCAAAATACAGCAAACAACTTACTGCATTAGAATTGATAGATAAATTGCAGTATATTTATGGAATGGAATACAAAAGCAAAACTTTTGCTGGTGCATAAGCAATTATTAAAAGATCCAGAACATGCAAAACTAAACTCTACATTGTTTAGCAATATATTCCTGTGCAATAGAATTATAATGAATAGTAATATAAACACACAGTTCAGAAAACATTGGAGTCAGCGGTACGCAGAGTGCTTCCAGAGTCTTGTTAATGCTGTCTCTCTCTCTTCTTTTTTGAGACAGTTTTGCTCTTGTTGCCCAGACTGGAGTGCAATGGTGTGATCTCTGCTCGGTGCAACCTCTACCTGCAAGGTTCAAACGATTCTTCTGCCTCAGCCTCCTGAGAGCTGGGATTACAGGCGCTTGCCACCAAGCCTGGCTAATTTTTTATTTTTTCTTCTTAGTAGAGACAGGTTTCGCCATGTTGGCCAAGCTGGTCTTGAACTCATTACCTCCAGTGACCCACCTGCCTCAGCCTCCCAAAGTGCTGGGATTACAGGTGTGAGCCACCACGCCTGGCCAATGCTCTCTTCAGCTATACTGTGGTCCTATGGGCATCCCTTTTATTAGGCATTTTTATATTACACACTTATACATGTTCTCATATGTATAAAATAACTCATCATAAATCAATTTTGATGCCAAAATAAAGATAGAGTTTCACTCTTGTTGCCCAGGCTGGAGTATGATGGTACAGTCTTGGCTCACTGCAACCTTCACCTCCCAGGTTCAAGCGATTCTCCTGCCTCAGCCTCCCAAGTAGCTGGGATTACAGGCATGCACTGCTATGCCTGGCTAATTTTGTATTTTTAGTAGAGAAGAGGTTTCACCAGGTTGGTCAGGCTGGTCTTGAACTCTTGACCTCAGGTGATCCACCTGCCTCAGCCTCACAAAGTGCTGGGATTACAGGTGTGAGCCACCACGCCCTGCCAGTGTTTCTTAATTAAACTTAAAAAAAATTGTTAGTCCTGAGAGCTTGGGGAGAACTTTATTTAGACTAATAAGATTTTTAGATACTGTGTCTTTTATTAAAGCAGAACCACTTTTTGCAGATTACTGGTTTTTCTAAAAATGATGGGGTCCTGAGTTTAGGTGAGTAGGGATTTGTGTATATTGGGAGTGGTGGCTGAATTGTGGCTAGCAGTGTTACGGGTCTGGCCTGGAAACATTATCAGAATACCTTTTACTAACTTCTCTTCCTACCAGTTTCTGTTTTAGAAATTAATAGCAACAAAGACAAAGTATTTATGTGCCAGCCATTATACTGAATATTTACAGTAGGCCTACGAAGTATAGATACTATTATTTCCCCCATTTTTACAGGTGAGAAAGTTGAGACTTAGGTTAAAAAACTTATCATAACTGGGTTCAGCCAGTGTTTTGGGTATGTATTAATGCCAAACAAACTACCGTAAAACTTAGCAATTTAAAACTTAGAAAACTTATGTCTGAGTTGGGTGGGGCGTGGTGGTTCACCCTTGTAACCCCAGCACTTTGAGAGGCCAAGGAGGGTGGATCACTTGAGATCAGGAGTTTGAAACCAGCCTGACCAATATGGTGAAATCCCATCTCTACTAAAAATAACAAAAATTAGCTGGGCATGGTGGCACGTGCCTGTAATCCCAGCTACTCAGGAGTGTGAGGCAAAAGAATCACTTGAACCTGGGAGGCAGAGTTTGCTGTGAGCCAAGATGGTGCCATTGCACTCTAGCCTGGGCAATAAGAGTGAAACTCTGTCTCAAAAAATACATACATATCTACAGTTCAGATTTAGTCCATTGCCTGTTTTTGAAAATGAACTTTTATTGGATCACAGCCAGATTCTCTCTTCCGTGGATTGTCTGTGGCTACCTTCACACTGCAATGGCAGAGTTGAGCAGTTGGCCCGTGAAGCCAACGGTAGTTACTGTCTGGCATTTCACAGAAGTTTGTCAGCCCCTGATTGACAACAGCCATCGTTTTATTTGCTTTCAGTTTTGCTTTGGTCAATTTTGTTTGTTTAGTGGCTGAGCTAGGGTGGAAGGTCTAAGATGTCTGTGTTCATGTGTCTGGTGTCTTGTTCCTCCTGTATGTGCCCTCTTTTTCAGTGGCTAGCTTGGGCTTGCCTGTTCTTTGGTAGTCAGAATTGTATGTGACAGTTGACATACAAGAGGGAGCATTGCAGGAGCTGAAAAGCAGAAACTGCAGATCCCCTGAGACCTGGCCTTTTACTTCTTCATGTTCTGTTCATTAAGCCAATCATGGGACTATCTTAGATTCAAGGGAACGGAAATAGGGAAGAGTGGCAAAGAATTGGTGACTGTCATTAATCCACCACAGCCAGGAGCTGTGCTCAGGTTATTGTGAATCTGGAGACAAACTCCCAGTATGTTTGTCAGTATTGCAGTATTAAACAAGGAGTTAGCTATGGAAGAAGAGTAGACTATCCTGCCAATGGCTGATGTTAACATTATACAGAAAATTGGGGGCTGCTCATAGTGGGTGCACCTGTATTCCCAGCACTTTGGGAGGCTGAGGACAGAGGATTGCTTGAGCCCAGGAGTTCAAGACCAGCCTGGGCAACATAATGGGACCCCACCTTTACACAAAAATTTTCAAAAATAGCCAGGTGTAGTGGCATACAGCTGTAGTACCAGCTGCTTGGGAAGCAGAGGTGGGAGGATTACTTAAGCCTAGGCTTTGAGGCTGTAATGAGTGGTGATTGTGCTGCTGCACTGCAGCTTGGGCAACAGAGTAAGACACTGTCTCAAAAAAAAAAATTTTTTTTTTTTTTGAGACGGAGTTTCTTTTGTTACCCAGGCTGGAGTGCAATTGCGCGATCTCGGCTCACCGCAACCTCCGCTTCCTGGGTTCAAGCAATTCTCCTGCCTCAGCCTCCCGAGTAGCTGGAACTACAGGCACACACCACCGTGCCCAGCTAAATTTTTGTATTTTTAGTAGAGACGGGGTTTTACCTTGTTGACCAGGATGGTCTTGATCTCTTGACCTCGTGATCCACCCACCTCGGTCTCCCAACGTGCTGGGATTACAGGCGTGAGCCACCACGCCCGGCCTAAAAATTTTTTTAAAAAAGAAAAAATTGGGATATGCTTTGGAAATTGATAATAACACCTTACAGATGTAACTTATAGATTATGTAAACACATTCACAGATACTTTCTTGCTTGAGTCTCAAAATAAAAGAGTATTGTTTTATTTCTTCCATTTATCATTGAGGAAGTGGCCCCTGGAAGGTTAAATGACTTTCCTGAGATCTTCTGACTAGTAAGAAAGAAGCTCAAACTAAAACCAAGGTCTTCAGATTCCTGTCTGGCATATTACTGTATATTACTACAATTATTTAAATAGTAACCTTGCTGTATCTTATGAGTGGCCTATCCAATGGATTAAAATTCAGAAAATGCACTAACAGTGAAGAGCTTATCCCCAGATACGTTAAATAACAGCAGACTACTAAATAAAGACAGAGGTGATTAAAAGGCAGCAATGCTTTTGGTTGCTTTAGCAGAAATAGGAAAACCAGCAAGACAGCAGTTAGAGTGAAAATGTATGAAGGGGTTTGCAAGACTATGCACAGGGATAAGAAGTGAGTACGGCTCCTTTTCTGATTCTTCAGCTGTAGTTATCTTTTACAATTCAGTAGGACTGTTTTTCAGAACTCTGGACCTGTAGCCAAATTATGAATAACCAGCATGTTATCTTAATATTCTAGATACTGCCAACACTGAGCACATGTGTCTAGACGGAAAGAAAACCAGTGACATCTTGGAGATGAATGTTGTTTTGCCTGAATTTGGGAAAATCCATCAGGAGTATGCGTAAGTCTTTTGATGATGTGGTATATTTACCTAATAAATTTCCCTTGAAGCACCATTTTTGCTCATCCTACTGTTTTTGTTACATACTTATTTTCATTGTCATTGTTTTAGATATTTTTACATTTTATTATAATTTTTTCTTTAATTCTTTGGAGAATTTATATATTTTTATATGCCCACATATGTAGACTTTTAAATTTAAATTTTTGTATTAACTTTCTGTCTTAAATATGTTGTGGTCAGAGATTGTGGCCTGGTGATACCTATTTGTTTTTCTTAATTTTGAGGCTTTCTTCATGACCTTGTACATGATCTTTGTAGAATCTCTAATTATTGGATCTATGTTTAGTTTTTCTTGGTACTTCTATTCATTTGTGCCATATATATTTAGAGACTATCAGGAAAAACATGTTTAAAATTGCTCTGTTTTGCAGATTGAATGTTTTATCTGGTCACCCACCCTATTCCTAACCATACTTTGTCTGTCTGAAAATTTACTCTACTTGATACTAATATGCATCATCATTTTCTTTTGCTAGCACTTGTCAGATTTTACATTCTTTTTAATTTCTTTTACTTTCGACCTTTCTGTGACCTTCAATTTTTATTTTCCTTATTAGTCTTTTTAAAGCCAGTATATCAGTCTTTGAATTTCAGCTGTTGAGTTTAGTCCATTAACATTTATTGTAATTATCGCTGTATCTTGAACAATATGTTGGTATGTTTTCACTTAACTTTTTTATTCTACTTTTTGATCAGAATTTTTTTAACTTTACAAAAAATTGTGTTTATAACCTCCCACCTTTAATTCTAGATTAAGGTAGATAAAATTTCCACTTTTGTCCTGTGTGTGTGTCTCTGTTTTTAAGACAATAACAAAATTTACTTAGGTATTTGATCACTTTTATATATTTTCTTGCAACATCTTATAGCTGTGCATTTTCTCTTATTTAAATACTTTATCCAACACTTCAATGTGGCTCTTTATGTTGCAAAACTTCTAAACCCTCTGATTATTTTGATTATATCCTTGAATTTGAATGACAGCTTAGCTGGATATAATATTTGAGGTTTTAAATTATTTTCTTAAATGCTTTGGAAACTTTGTATTTTTTTACATCAAGTGTTGCTTTTGGAAAATTTGATGTCTGTCTAATTCTTCTTTATATGTGGTCTGTTCTTTAGCTCTCTAAACTGTTCAGCTTTTTTTTTTCTTTGATATTCTTAAATTTCACTGTATTGGACCTGACCTTTTCATTCCAAGGTTTTTTTTTAATTTTTACTTTTATTTTATTTTTGGGATGGAGTCTTGCTCTGTCGCCCAGGCTGGAGTGCAGAGGTGCAGTCTTGGCTCACTGAAACCTCTGCCTCCCGGGTTCAAGCAATTCTCCAGCCTCAGCCTCCAGAGTAGCTAAGACTACAGGTGAGAGTCACCATGCCTGGCTGATTTTTTGTATTTTTAGTAGAGATGGGATTTCACTGTGTTAGCCAGGATTACAGACATGAGCTGCCATGCCTGGCCTGTTTTTTATTTTTTTATTCTATTGAACACATTACATTTTTTAATTCTAAGAATTTAAAACAATTTTGATTTTCTTTTTTGTTCTCTAATTATTATCCTTTGCTTCATTCACTGGGAGATTTCCTCAATCTAAGAAATTAGATTTGCTAATTCTCAGAAATATCTCTTCTGCCATTTGTCTCATCTGTTGAGTTCTTTATTGAACTTAGCTTTGACATTAATATTTCTTCTTTTGTTTTTTGGGATTTTTTTTTTTTTTTTTTTATTGGAGTCTCATTGTCACCCAGACTGGAGTACAGTGGCGTGATCTTGGCTCCCTGCAACCTCCACCTACCAGATGGTCCCAGGTTCAAGTGATTTACCTGTCTCAGCCACTCAAACAGCTGGGATTACAGGTGTGAGCCACCCACACCTGGCTATTTCTGGTGCTTTTTTGTGTCTTCTTATATTCATGTTTTATGCTGCTTATATCTTCCTTAGAATATCTGTTGTGCTAATTTAAAATTGCTGGATCAACTATTATAAAATATCTGCTTCTGTTAAGGTTTCTGATATGTGTTTTCTTTTTGAAATAATTGGGTTCCTCCAGTGTCTTGTTATTCCAGCCTCTGAGCTTATTTTCCCCTGGGCTGTCAGCTTCTGTCAGACAGTGTGGATTGAAGAAGGTCAAACCTCAGTCCCTGTTAGTGCCAGTGAGTGTAGGAGGTGGAAGCCCTATTAGGCAGTGTCAGCGACTCATCTCACAAAGCAGCCTGTCAGGTCAGCACTTCACCCCTTGCCCTCCAAAGAGGAGCAATAGGAAGAAAAGATGGACTCTGTGAGTCATTATTCTCCAGCATGGGGGTTTGGCCAGGGAAGGGTGAGGAAACAGCTGCCCAAAGTCAGTCAGCCTTCCTTGTTTTTCTACAGGCCCCACAAGCCCAACCCCAGTTTCAGTCTTGAGGACACACTGATAGAGGTCTGAGTTGCTGCAGGGGCAGGGGAGTGGGGGTGGATCAGGTGCACTATTGATGAGATCGATGATGGGAAGAGGCAGTAATCCGCTTCCTTCAGCTCTCTGTCCCTGCCCTGGCCACAGTGCCACTCCTCACAGCAGTCCTCCTCTCTGCATGACCTCCCCCTCAGGGTTTTCACAGCTTTCTCCATTTTCTCGGTGGTGTTGCCTCTAGTTCTGGGTTAGCTTGGGGAAAGGAGCCAGCCTGTCATGTGAACTGATCGTTACCATTGTGGGAAGTGCCTGTTTTACTCTCCTGTATTGCATATTCCAAACCCAGTTTCCTGTTAAAAGTAGTGCAGTTCTCTTAACACACTCAAGACCATCTTGCTTGTGTTAACCTTTTCCCATTCACAAATCTATTATAGGAAGCTTATTACAGACTCCTGAAGTTTTAGGAGGAAAATGGCATTGTACGTAACTGGTAGTAAGTTCTTGATATAAGAAATGATTTAGAAGAGGCATAGTATTTTTCTTAGACTTTTCACATTGCAGTACAACCTTATGTTTTTGTCATACCAAATTCTGGGGAATCACTAATCTCATTTTGTTTCCTTGACAATATGGTGTTCTAAGCTACATGAAACACTTCACTCTTTCGAAATTAAGTCAAATACTATTTAAAGGTCTGTTTTTAATATCCTGTACCTAGCACTCACACCTGAATAGCTTCACTGTTACATCAGTAGAAAGTGATGATAAGCAGATTATGTATAAGTAGGGAAGTATGCCATGAAATGCAACATTACAAACTCTTAGAATATTCTATAGCTGATTCAATTAATTAAATTTTGCCAGACTTTTATGTTGCTGGAATTTGGAAGAGCTGTCTTGTGTAGACCATCACCTTTGTGATTGAAAAAGCCATATGCAGATCCGTTTTGCTTAGTTTAAAAAAGCTTTCTTTAGATGGGGTCTCACTGTGTTGCCCAGTCTGGTCTCCAACTCTGTGTTCAGGGGATCCTCCCACCTCAGCCTCCAGAGTAGTTGAGATTACAGGATGTGCCACCATGACTGGCATATTTTTAAAATATTTTAACATCTGAAAATCATGATTTGATATTACATTATCAAATCAATATATTACATTAGAAATTATTTTTTTTGATGGGGCTTAAACTTAAAAATTAAGCAGCTGTGGTGGCACGTGCCTGTAGTCCCAGCTACAAAGGAGGCTGCGGCAGGAGGATCACTGCAGCCCAAGAGTTTGAGGCTGCATTGAGCCATGATCACACCACTCAGTCCAGGTTGGGTGACAGAGTGAGACCTTATCTCAAAATTAAATTAAAAAATTAAAAATGTTACACCTGTATGGGGCACTTAACCCGAATGGAGCTTCCAGGACTGGAAGTAGCTCTGGGTGTCAGTGAGTGAATGTGAAGGCCGAGGACATTCTTGTTACACGCCTGTAGACTTTATAAACACTGTACACTTGGGCTGCACTAAACTTAAAAACTTTTTTCTTTAGTAAACAGTTTACTATAACTTTTTTACTTTATGAACTTTAAATTTTTAATTTTTGACTCTTGCAATAGCACTTAGCTTAAAAGCACATTATACAGCTGTATATTTTTTTTCTTTATATCCTTATTCTATTAGTTAGAAAGTTTATTCTTTTAACTACTATAACGTTTTTGTTAAACACTAAACACACACGCATTAGCCTAGGCCTAGGCAGCATTCTCCTACCTCCATGCCGCGTCCCACTGGAAGGTCTTTGGCACATGGAGTCAGCATCTTCTGTGTTGACAGTGCTTTCTTCTGGGATACTTCTCAAAGACCTGCTTCACAGTTTACTTTTTTTTTAAGGAGAAGTACATTATAAAGTAATGATTAAAAGTACAGTACAACAAGTGTACTATATTATAGTGCAAATAACATATTCATTTATCATCAAGGATTATGTAGTATGTGTAATTATATGCGCTGTACTCCTACACAACTAGGCAACACTGTAGGTTTGTTTACACCAGCATCACCACAAGTATGTGAGTAATGCATTGTGCTGACATTATGCCAGCAGTGGTGTCACTAGGTACAGTGTATGTGCCATCCACTGTTGGCTGAGACATTGTTATGCAGTCATTATTTTAACACATTTTCTTTTTGTCGTTTTTTGTTTTTGAGATGGATTCTCACCAGGCTGGAGTGCAATGGTGTGGTCTTGGCTCACTGCAACCTCCGACTCCCGGGTTCAAGTGTTTGTCCCACCTCAGCCTCCCTGAGTAGCTGGGACTACAGGCACATGCCACCACGCCCGGCTAATTTTTGTATTTTTAGTAGAGACGGGGTTTCACTATGTTGGCCAGGATGATCTTGAACTCCTGAACTCATGATCTGCCCACCTCCGCCTCCCAAAGTGCTGGGATTATAGGCATGAGCCACTGTGCCCAGCCTTAACACATTTCTGTATCCATTCATCTGTCAGTGGGCACTTAGTTGTTTTCACCTTTGGGCTATTGTGAATAATGCTGCTTTACAATTGATATTTAAGCCCATGCTTTCAGTTCTGTGTATATACCTAGAAAAGGAATTGCTGGATCATATGGTAATTCTATGTTTAATTTTTTTTTTTTTTAGAAACTGCCAATACTGTTTTCCACAGTGACTATATAATTTTACATTTCCACCAGCAACACAAGCGTTCCTATTTCTGTACTTTCTCACCAACACTTGCTGTTTTGTTTGTTTGTTTGTTAATAATAACCATCGTAATGGGTGAGTGAGCCAAGCCAAGAGAATCAGCCTGGCCACCAGATCTCTTCTCCCCAATGACAGGGACCTGGAGCAGTTTGTGTCAGCTTAAAGTTTCTGAAGAACTAAACACCTGATTTATGGCTACTTTTGGCCAATCCAAATGTGTTACACAGTTGCTCTTCCTCTTGCTAACAGGCAAAGAGGGAGGGAATAAAGTCTGCTGGGTCTGTCAGGTAGTAAGAAGGACTGGAATTAGTCTAGCCATAAGCATTTCTACCTTACTTGGTATCACCTGTGCGGTTGGTCAGTATCAGGGAATTAAGATGACCCAATACCAGAGGGCTTAGGGAAAAGTATTTTTGTTCTTTTTGTTTTGCTGATAACATGTGTCCAGTATTTTTTCAGCCTGAGAAAATGCTGCAGGCTAAACAATTGCCATCTTAGTAATTTAGAATGGTGCTCTCATATGTTCAGTGCAGCACTATCCATGATGGCAAAGACTGAATCAGCCGAGGTGCCCATCAGCTGTGGGTTGGATAAAGGAAATATGATATGTATAGACCATGGAATACTACACAGCCATAAAAAAAGAACAAAATCATGTTCTTTGCAGCAATGTGGATGCAGCTGAAGGTCATTATCCTAAGTGAATTATAGCAGGAACAGAAAACCAGATACTGCGTATTCTTGCTTATAAGTGGGTGAACATGAACATAAAGATGGCAGTAGACTCTGGGGACTCCTCAAGGAAAGAGAGGGATTCAGGAGCTGAAAAACAACTTGTTGGGTACTAAGCTTGCTACCTAAGTGATGGGGTCAGTTGTACCTCAAATTTCAGTGTCATGCAGTATACCCATATAACAAACCCCTGAATCTAAAATAAAAACTGAAATTTAAAAAGAAGAGATTTTTAAAATTAAAAAGTATGGGCCAAATTGTATGTGTATGTTTGTTTATATGCTAAGCAAATGAAACGCCTGACAAAATCAATTATGGTACTTAGACTTTTTTTTAATTCCTCTACAGAAAAAGAATAGAATCTAAAATTTGTAAGGCAGCCATGAACAAATTTTATTATAATGTTAAAGAACAGTTCACCAAATTGGTAAGTTCCCTGACATACATTTGTTGGTTTAAGGTTTTTGTTTTTTGTTTTTCACTAATGCTTAAGCAGCATATTGTTGTCTTAGAAAAGCTTGCATTCCAGGCCGGGCGCGGTGGCTCATGCCTGTAATCCCAGCACTTGGGAGGCCGAGGCGGGCGGATCACGAGGTCAAGAGATCGAGACCATCCTGGTCAACATGGTGAAACCCTGTCTCTACTAAAAATACAAAGAAATTAGCTGGGCATGGTGGCGCATGCCTATAATCCCAGCTACTCGGGAGGCTGAGGCAGGAGAATTGCCTGAACCCAGGAGGCGGAGGTTGCGATGAGCCGAGATCTCGCCATTGCACTGCAGCCTGGGTAACAAGAGCGAAAATCCGTCTCAAAGAAGAAAAAAGAAAAGTTTGCATTTGCTGACAGTATGGTTTTAAACTCATTAGAACTACCCATATTCCACATAACTGTTTTTAAACTAAATGTGATACATGTGAAACTAATTTACTTTTGGAAAATAATGCACATATGTATTTTTTGTTCTGTGTAGCTTAATGAAAGCCAGACGTTGAGAACTCTGAAAAGGAAGAACGCTAAGGTAAATTATTTATGTGATGAGAGTCATAGAGTCAAATACAGTACTGATGTAGAGTAGTTACGTGAAGACTTGACTATGAGTTTACAGTCTTTGGAGTGTGAATAGATTTCATAACCTTGTTAGGCTTTTATTTGCTTGATCTTGTGGTTGATTTGGTTGGTATTATTAATGCAAGGTAAGGAATGGGGATCCTGATCACTTCTGATTCCTAAAGTTGTCAAAGTAATTGTTTTTATAATTAAAGACAGAAATTTAAGCTTTGTATTAATGTCCCAAAGTCAGCTTAAAAATGACTACCAAGTCCAAAATGACCACTTATATGGATATATATTAACATATATTTATTGCTTTTTTGAATGTCAAAAAGCACAGCCCTTTAGAATAAAGAATTGTCACAGGTAGAAGGACAGCATGGGAAGAATACTGGGTTAGGGGTCAGGAGACCTCATGTCTAGTCCTGGCTCTGCTGTGTCAGTGCTCTGCCTCCTATAGGCTATACACCCCTGGGTCTGCAGTGGGCGATAAGCACAAGAGCCTCCTTTGCTGACCTGTAAATGGTTGGACCAAATGACTTCCAAGCATCAGAGATGAATCCAGGAGTGGAAGTCTACCTCTACAATTAAAATAGAAATGGACTTGAAATACATACATTTTCCTTCCATTGATTACAAGCTTTGGGGTGTTTCTGTTTTTCTTTTCAGTTTTAAATTCTTACTGGTCATTGCTGCATTGCTCATTATGAAATGGGAACATTATGAATGTGTAACAATGGAGTATTAGGCAATCACTAAAAGTGACTAAATGGCTGAGATAAAATATATTGAAATGCTCCTTTTAAAATAGAGTGGATCACAGCACTCCCCTGCTTTGATAGTTTCCTAGTGCGCCTAGATAAAACCTTACTTTACAGGTCACAGGGTCCAGTAAAGACCTGACTCCTGCTTTCTCCAGTCATTCTGAAGATGCCCCTGCTTTTCTTTTCCAGAGTTTTCTCATCTTTTCCTTTATAGCAAATATCACAAGTTGTAATCACGTACTGTTTGTATGTAATAATGTCTGTCTTCCCCATTAGACCAAAGTCTATGATGGTAAGAATTGGGTCTGTCTTGTTTTCCACTGGACTTCATTACCTGGCAGTGTATGTGGCAATGCTCAAACAGTTACAAAATTAATTTTAACACAAATGATTGTGTTACTTAGATGATTTCAGATATCGAAAAGAAAAGGCAGCGTATGATTGAAGTCCAGGATGAACTGCTTCGGTAAGATACTGTCAAATCTTGTTTGAGCACTTACCTAACAGGATGTAATTACAGTGTGTCCTTTGGGGAGTGACAGTTGCTGCTGTGTTATATTAAAGCCCCAGGTTATCTTCGCGCTTGGATACTCAGTGAAGGTAGGGTATGCTGCCTACTTGCCTAACCCTTTAGCAAAGGAGAATGCCACACTGATCTATCTCCACAGATTTCTCAGCTCTGGCCTTAAGAGATGGAATGCGTAGATTCTAGAATTCAGCTGCCTGGGTTGAATTCTAGAATCTACTCATTGAATGCTTGGGTTGAACCCAAGCTCTGCCACTTACGGGCTGTGCAACCTTGACCAAGTTCCTTAACTTCCCAGTGCTTAGTTCCCTCTTTTGCATATAGTCATAATAATGGTCATACTTCATAGAGTGTTGTGGAAGTTTAATGAGTACATATATAGAAAGTGCTTCATAGGGACAGGCACACACAGCAAGTGCTGTTTAAGTGTTGACAATTGTTGATATTGTTGGAGGGTATGCCTTGGAGTGGAACGCATGTGAATCAAATCCTAAGTGTGGGCCAGGTGACTTTACCGGGCCCTGCAGGCCAGGGCTGCCCCCATTTTCTGATTAGGAAGACGGGAGCACACATCAGCTGTCAGACCACAAGTATGTTTTGAGGCCAGGGCTGTTTTGAGAGCTAGAGTAGTAAAGCAGTGCCAGATGTGCTCTTTTCCTGAGCTTTAAAATACTTGTGAAAGAAAGTAATACTGTCCGAAAGAACGTGTATAATTAAAAGTTGAAACTTTAAAAACTTAGTCAAAACTAAGTTTAAAAAAAGAGTGCCAGGCCAGGCATCGTGGCTCATGCCTATAATCCCAGCACTTTGGGAGGCTGAGGTAGGCAAATCACTTGAGGTTAGGAGTTTGAGACCAGCCTGGCCAACATAGCGAAACCCCGTCTCAACTAAAAATAGAAAAATTAGCCAGGCGTGGTGGCTTGCGCCTGTAATCCCAGCTACTCAGGAGGTTGAGGCACGAGAATTGCCTGAATGGGGGAGGCAGAGGTTGCAATGAGCCGAGATCATGCCTGGGCGACAGAGTGAAACCGTGTCTCAAAAACAAAAAGACTGCAACAGGAGTTTAATGGGGAGAAAACGGTTGTTAATCTGTTGGTTTCTAAATCAAGTCTCTGGACAGGTGCTGGCCTGTAATAAGGTTTTCATTGACCCAGGCCAAAATAAGAAAACTAAAGGTAATAAGGAAAGCTGACATTTACAGTCTTCCTATGTGGCAGGGCACTTTCCTAAATGCTTTCTTTGCTAACTCATCATAATCACAGTCCTATGAGATAAGCGGTTATAGCTACAGTCAGGGCCATGCCTGGTTACACTTGTCTTCAGTGTGAGACTACTGAGACTTGTCTGCTGAGACTGACTTTTGTTTCTTTTCTAGATAGAATTTTAGAAGTTGAGAAATGTACTGTGAAAAGGCATAATAAGAAAAACTATGGTATATCATAACTTGCCATATGAAAACCTAAGGCACAGGGAGGTAACTTGCCCATGGGCGCAGCTCTAGGAAGTGGGGGAACCAGGATTCACCGTTAGCTGACTGACTCTAAATCCAGTCCTCCTGGCCATGGCTGCCAGCTCAGTAGTGTTTTCCCCAGTGCTCCATTCGTTCAATGTAAAGAATCATTAAGGAAGACTTTTCTTTTATGAAATTAGAGAATAGTTTTGTTTTCTGTCTTTTTTGGCAAAATGCAAAATTGGCAGCCTTTGCCCCTCCTTTTTTTGTTGGTCCATAAAACCCAAGTTATCCCTTTTTATTTTATAGGTGAAGAAACTCACCCACTGAGAGATGAAGCAGTTTGCCCAAGGTCACACATTCTTCATGCAGGCACTGAGAGTCTTCCACTGGTTTTATTAGATGTTAGAAAGTGGACAAATTTGATAAGAGGAAGGAACACTGGGAAAGCTTTTTGTCCACGGTTTCTGTGTTAAACTGTAGTGTCTGGCTTCTCTGGCTCGAGCCTCTGAATATTAGCCAAGCATACACTTGATCCAGTAGTTCCCAAGACTTGAGTGGCTTGATGAATTTCGCATTTATAAGGCATACTCTTCTGTGGATGTCACTGCTAATTATTCATTGTGCATTGTATTTCAGAGATTATTTTTTTCCTGTGTTTTAAACTGAAACCCAGAATCTTAGTCATCTAGTTGGCCAACCCTGGTTCTTCATATTCCCTCAGCGTACCTGTATCCTCAGTTTCAAACACGATAGGCTGGTACATTTTATTATATGTCACTTATTTTTGTTTTAGGATGGAGCCACAGCTGAGAAAACTACAAACCAAATATGATGAACTTAAAGAGAGAAAGTCTTCCCTTAGGCACGCAGCATATTTCTTAACTAATTTAAAACAGCTCTATCAAGATTATTCAGATGTTCAAGCGAAAGAACCAAATGTAAAGGAAATGGTAACTCCAATTTTACTTTTTATCGTGCTTCGGAAGATGATTGTGGGAGGGTATTTGCATGCTCGAGTATCAGAAGCTTTGGGGAAAGACAAATGGAGATACAGAATTAGTCTACCTAAAATAGTATCACTATAAGCCAGTGAAACTTCATTATATCAGCACTTTTCTTAGCTACTTAAGGCTGGAGGAGTAATGTCTAGAATCGCTGATTTTTTGTGTAAGGTATTTTCACTCAGACAGCTGAATTTCATCAAGGGAAGTTTATATCCTATGTGTAAATCTCAACTGAAAAATCACATTCTGCTTTTTTACAATTTTCATTCCTGTAAGACCACTCAGCCATGTTTGAAAGACCAGCCAGTTCTATTTTGTCTAGCCTATGTTCGCAGCATCTTTTGTACGTGAAAAACAAGCCATTTTCCCGTATAACTGGTAGGTATGATTTTAGAAGCTAAGTAACAGGCTGGGCGTGGTGGTTCACACCTGTACTCCTAGGACTTCAGGAAGCTAAGGCAGGTAGATCCCTTGAGCCCAGGAGTTCAAGACCAGCCTTGGGTGATGGCGAAACCCTGTATGTACTAAAAATACAAAAACTAGCCAGGTGGTGGTGCATGCCTGTAGTCCCAGCTACTCTGGAGGCTGAGGTGGGAAGATCACTTGAGCCTGGAGGTCCAGGCTGCACTGAGCTGTGATCGCACCACTGCACTCCAGCCTGGGTGACAGAACAAGACCTTATCTCAAAAAATTAAGAAACATTAAAAAAGAACATAGTAGGAAAACAGATTTATCAATACATTTTATAGTTGCTTCTGGATTTTTACTGCAGATTTTGCTACTGTTATCCCATCCACCTCAGATTAATAGAAATGTTTAAGTTCTAGAAAAAAATTTGTATACCCTAATAGGATTTTATATAAAATATGTAGATATAATTAATGGTAATGTATACATTTATTTTATAACCAGATTTGTATTCTTCTAAATTCAGTGTTAAAGTTTTGACAATTATCTAAGTTAATTTTCCTGAGCCTAAAAATTACATATTAGAGATCTGGAAATAGAATGCTTTTAAAGGTATTTAATTACCTAACTAGTCCACAGTTTGATTTGGAGTTTGGTTACTCAATCTGGGGAAGTCACCTGTAGCATTGATTCAGCTTGAACATAATACTTTGGTTAAAAGCGAGGTTTAGTATCTCTGCCTTGTCTGGATCACACCACTGGATGACGTGGCCTTTTTGCCTTATTGATGGTAGATATTTGGGTATATGTCTTACCTCTAAACACTTAGTGACAAATATGAGTTACTGACCTTTATCTCTCCCTAGAGCAGGTGCCTGGGAGAGCTTGAACACATTAGCTTGTCAAATATTTGTATAAAATTCCAGTATCGTGTATGGGAGTCATGGTGTGACAGCTTTTCTGCTGTCATCTTGAAAACATGATATTAAACAGGAAACTCTCAAAGTATGATAAAATTCTCTAAGGAGAAATTAATCATGCACCCTTAGATACAATTTACAACTGGAAGTTTGACTTGAATTATTTTGAAATCATGAGTTAGATATTGTGTTCTATTTTATGTTGGGTTAATCATTAAGAACATTCGAATTGAGGCTGGGTGTGGTGGCTCACGCCTATAATCCCAGCACTTGGGGAGGCCGAGGCGGGTGGATCACAAGGTCAAGAGATCGAGACCATCCTGGTCAACAAGGTGAAACCTCGTCTCTACTAAAAATACAAAAATTAGCTGGGCATGGTGGTGCGCACCTGTAGTCCCAGCTACTCGGTAGGCTGAGGCAGGAGAATTGCTTGAACCCAGAAGGTGGAGGTTGCGGTGCCATTGCACTCCAGCCTGGGTAACAACAGTGAAAGTCCGCCTCAAAAAAAAAAACAAAAAACAAAAACATTTGGATTGGCAACCTTTGAGACATTTAATTGATTTTCCCAATAAATAATCTCTCTAGATGATAGATTTTTTTTTTTTTCCTTAAAAGCTTTTATGGGTCTGGTGTTTTCATTCCATTAGTTCTTTCAGTTAAAGCAAAACATATCTTACAGTTTTCTGTGAGCAGACCCCACACAGCACAAGCAGACTTGCCCAAATCAAAGTCTTGACATGGCCCAGGCATGATTTCCTGTCTTCAGTAATAGAGATAACACAGTTCTTTGAATCATCTGCGATGAGATCAGTTCAAGCTTTGCAGAGCAGCTCCTAACAACTTTGTGATCAATTATGTTCTAAGGAAATGGATGAAAACCAATTTTCTTAGTGGTCCTAGTTAAAAATGAAAGGAGGAGTAAATGGAAAGCTCTATCAGAATTTGCATTGGTCATAAGATTGAGCTATGTAGGGACAAGGTTGTAAGTTTTGATATTGCTAATTATATAAATTATTTTCTTTCAACAGTATGATTCATCCAGCCTTCCAGCTCTGTTATTTAAAGCAAGAACACTTTTGGGAGCCGAAAGCCATCTGCAAAATATCAACCATCAGTTAGAGAAGCTCCTTGACCAGGAATGAGAAGAGCAGTCTGCTAAAACGTGCCTATAGGAAGACTAGTCTCATGCTGTTACCTTCTGAAACTGTACTTTATTAAATAAATAGTTTTGCACAGCAGTTAACGCCCACTTACTAAAATCTAAAATTTGTTACTCAAATTAAATGGTTGTGAACAATGTTAAATGGCATCAATAGTTTCATAGGCCATAATCTTTTCTGGTTAATATCTTTAGTAATAAATTTTAAGATGTTGACACCTTGTCTCATCAGCCCCAGATATGAGTTGCAATAAACTTGTAAAATTAAGTTGATGTGAACACAGACTAATTTTGATTTATAAGGGGATTTTTACTGAATTCAAGTACCCCAAAACTAATTTTCAGTGAAATTGGTTTATAGAAGTAAAAAACAAAAATTGGAAAACAGTGATAAAACTTAGTTTATGTAAACAGGTTTAACAATATATTTATCAAATCTGACATATCAGGCAAATTATAGCCTGGTGACAAGTGTCCAGAGTGAATTAGTTACTCTTGTAATATTTCTATAATTAGTTCATCAGGAATTTCATCCACTTCACTATTGTAACTGAGAAGACTGTTCTCTGCCGCTTCAGCTAATTCAGCATCTGCAGTAGCTTCTAAAAAATACGCATCATCAATGCCATTATTCCAGTCTGTGTCCGCAGATGCACCTCTTGACAGCTTGCTAGGTGATGGCTTATGAGGATTCTGGGTTTCACTGCTCCTAGTTTCATCTGTTGTAAACTCTTCTTCCTTTATTTCAGTGGAGAAAGGTGAGCGAGTGGGATATGAAAATACTTACTCAGCATGTGATTTGACCATTTACTCTCTGTTGAAGTAAGGTATGAAGTGACTATGCTGGAGGAATGCTGTCTGATACCTCACCGTGGGAATGAGTGCACTGATTGAAACGTTGCTGCGCTTAAGCTTAGACAAACTTGAAACAGCAAATTTGAAATTCCATCAATTATTTTGCCATAGAATGTCTTCAGGATGGACATTTAGTTGATCTCCCACTAAATAATTTTAATCAGTTTAGTGGTACATGCTGTAATCGCAGCTACTTGGGAGGCTGAGACAAGAGGACTGCTTGAGGCCAGGAGTTTGAGACTAGCCTGGGCAACATGACACCCCCTCATTAAAATACTATAAAAATTCCTTTAGCTACGTACTTAAATATTAGGAATTGAAAAGTTCTGATGTCTACAGTTTAATAAGAGTCATCAGAAATAAGAATGCATACGTATACAGTAGAGGGAGAAAGCGAATGTAATCAAATGCGACATATGGAGCCCCATGGAGGACAGACGGCAGAGTTCCCTGTTGTACATTTCTGTAGGTTCAGGTGACCAATGAAATAAGATAATCACTGCAACACAGAAAAGCAGATAAATAACACCAACTGGTAATTTAGTTTAAAGTATTTTTTAAATAAGTGAAGCAGGAAAGGCAAAATGTTAACTGAAAACTAAGTGACAGCTACATGGGTGTTCATTCTATTCTTTATCTTTCATTATTTTAAAAGGTTATGTCCAAGCAGTGGTAATACATTACACCAAAGTTACTTTCAACTTGGCATTTTGAGGTTTTAAGTGGATAAGCAGAAAAAATAGCTTAAAAATGTACTGCAATTGTGAATATGTAAATCACAATCCAGACCAACAAGGATGATGCAATCATCCTCCTCTTGGCAACAAAGTTTATTTTTTAGAATTTACTTTGTTCTTGGTTGTTTCAAAACATTTTAACCTGGTATTTTACCAGGGAATCTGGCTATCAGTTATTTTATGTCTAGCTCTTGCAGACCAAGAACGGGATTTCCACCATTTCAAACAGAGTTTTTTCAAGAGACATGTTTTAAGACAGCAGATACCAGATTGAGTTTTCTAGAATATAAACCCAATCAATCACTTCTGCTTGTAGCAGGTAATGTGAAGGAAAAAGCTGATAGATGTGACCAAAAAAACAACTAGAATTTAAAAGTACAAAAAGTATGTCAAAAAGAGTACTTAAGTTATTGCAAAAAAGTTACAGAAAAATGGACAGAGGATAGGTACAGGCACTTCATTAAATAAACAGTGAATCTGAAAAGAGTTCATTAAATGCAAATTAAAACAACTGAGGTAAAACAACTGCTTTTTGCCTATCAGATTAGTACTGATTTGAGGCAAACAAGCACTGTTGCAAAGTGAGTAATAGGCGCTTTCATCAATCTGTGGAAGTCTAATATGCCGTAATTCTTATAGAGAGCAATTTGGTAAGGGTACTACTGAAAATATTTGTGATAGTTTTTCTTCCACTTAACAAGTATGAGATAGTATGTGTGCTACCACTTCAAAAAAAACATGAGCATACATCAGTTCTGGAAGGTACATGTCGAAACACATATCCGATATCTCTGGTCAAATGAGTGAGGAAGATTCTTTCCTCTTGCTTTTTGAGTATTTGAGAATTTTATGTAGCTCACTGCAACCTCTGCCTCCTGGGTTCAAGGGATTCTCCTGCCTCAGCCTCCAAAGTAGCTGGGATAATAGGCACACTCCACCACACCTGGCTAATTTTTGTATTTTCAGTAGAGATAGGGTTTCACCATGTTGGCCGGGCTGTTCTCAAACTCATGACCTCAAGAGATCTACCCTCCTCGGCCTCCCAAAGTGCTGGGATTACAGGCATGAGCCCCCGCATCCAACTAATTTTATGTATTTTCAATTCATTCCACAATGCATGCTAATTATTTGGGTAAATAAAAAATCTTTAAGAGAAAAATGCTGGTTTGGCAATCTGGTAATATCTACCAAAATTAAAACTGAATATGTCCTTTGACACAATTCTACTTCTAGAAATTCATCCTATAGATACAGATGTTCAAAGAAACACAAAGATGGGTATTTTGTTTCTTTCAAAAGCAAAACATGGGAAACTTCTTAAATGTCTGGGACAGATTAAACTGTACATCTCAAGCAGCAGTGAAAAGATGCATATTATGAGATCTGTGCTGAGATGGGAAATTGACTACAATATATTTCTATAATACAGTCGTAAGTGAACACCAGGTACCAGATGTTTTTCAAAGCTATTTGGACACTACTCGTGGCTCATGTATACTACTGTACCAAGAACTTCCTGGTTAGGAGGAAGACACTAAAGTCTGCACTTACCTCTTTGAAAAGAAACAGGAGACATACTTCAGCAGGTAATGGGAAACCTGAATCAGAAAGATAGCAAAACTATTACATATTACACCTATATAATTTTTACTTTGTGGTAAAGATAAAAATTAGTAACTCACAGTCAGATTTGAAGTTTTCTGCTTTACACACAGGGTCATGACATTTTTGATACCAAACTTCGTTTTTCAGATCAACCAGAATCCTTTATGTTTAAAAAAAACAGAAAAACTAGTATTAATATCGAGACTGGGCAGAAAACAAAATCCAGCTGCATGCTGTTCCACGTAAATGCCTAAGACTTAAAAGATAGAGGAAAAAAGGAAAAGCATGGAAATAGATACATACCAATCAAAATGATGGTTGCCAAAAATCACCCAAAATGAACTGCAGGGCAAAAAGTAGATACTGACAAAAGCTCCCCCAGGAAGACAGAACAATTTTCAACCTATATTCACCAAATGATACAGCTGCAAAATACGTGAGCAAAAATGGACAAGACTATAATGATAAGCAAATCTACCATGAATCAAGGTTTATAAAAAAAATATTCTCAGTAATTTATAGACCAAATAACCACAAAAAAGGTCCAATAAGGATACAGAAAACATGAATGACAAGAAGTTTGATCTAATAGGTATATATGAAGGAGCTCTTTATAACATCAATTCCATGCTAACTATAAAGTGAATTTTATCAAGATTATTGGTTCATACAGAACACATTCTCTGAGCATAAAGCAAAATTTAGAAATAAAAAGCTAATAGAGGCCGGGCGGGGTGGCTCAAGCCTGTAATCCCAGCACTTTGGGAGGCCGAGGCGGGTGGATCGCGAGGTCAAGAGATCGAGACCATCCTGGTCAACATGGTGAAACCCTGAAAAAAAATGAGCTGGGCATGGTGGCGCGTGCCTGTAGTCCCAGCTACTCAGGAGGCTGAGGCAGGAGAATTGCCTGAACCCAGGAGGCGGAGGTTGCGGTGAGCCGAGACTGCACCATTGCACTCCAGCCTGGGTAACAGAGAGAAACTCCGTCTCAAAAAAAAAAAAAAAAGCTAATAGAAATACATTAATTTGGAAATTAAAAACATTTTAAAATAACCAATGGCTCAAGGAAAAATAGTGGTAATTAGAAAATGCTTAGACATGAATGGACTGGAAGTGTACATATTAAAATACATGAAATGCAGTTAAAGTGACCTTTAGAGGACAATCTTAAAAGCTTGTGTTATGGGCCAGGTATGGTGGCTCACGCCTGTAATCCCAGCACTTTGGAGGCCAAAGCAGGTGGATCACAAGGTCAAGAGATCGAGACCATCCTGGCCAACACTGTGAAACCCCATCTCTACTAAAAAATACAAAAATTAGCTGGGTGTGGTGGTGCGCGCCTGTAATCTCAGCTACTCAGGAGGCTAAGGCAGGAGAATCGCTTGAACTCGGGAGGCGGAGACTGCAGTGAGCCGAGGTCGGGCCGCGGCACTCCAGCCTGGTGACAGAGCAAGACTCCGTCAAAAAAAAACAACAACAACAAAAAAGCTTGTGTTATGAAAGAATGGCTAAAGATACATGGATTAAGTAAAGTGGAAAATAAGCAACTGAATAAACCCTAATAAAAGGCAGGTGACCAGGTGTGGTGGCTCACACCTGTAATCCCAGAACTTTGGGAGGCCAAGGCGGGAGGATCACAAGGTCAGGCATTTGAGACCAGCCTGACCAACATAGTGAAACCCCATCTCTACTAAAAATACAAAAAACGAGCCAGTCATGGTGGCGGGCACCTGCGATCCCAGCTACGTGGGAAGCTGAAGCAGGAGAATTGCTTGAACCCAGGAGGCAGAGGTTGCAGTGAGCCAAGATCACGCCACTGCACTCCAGCCCATGCAGCAGTGTGGAACTCCATCTCAAAAAAATAAATACATACAATAAAAGGAAGTCATAAAGAGCAAAAAGTAAAAAGAATCAACAAGGCCTACATTTGAAGAAAATGAAATTAGAGTAAAATTGCCATTTTACCACAAGGCAAAGACACAAACGTTTCTAGAAATTAAATGCGGCATATACAAAAATATTGTGAACAATTTTTGCCAGTAACTTTAAATTTTGTAAAATAGATAAAGTACTAGATAAAAATAAACTAAGCAAACTTAAGCAACAGAAAACCTAAACAATCCTATAATCACTAAAATTCTTAAAAATTTGATTACTTTAAAATTTTTCCACATTTCACAGAAAAGGAAAGAAGATGGCTAACATTCCCTGAGGTGGGTGGTCAGTGAGGTGTGGGGTGGGGAGGTGGTAAGGGACATGTACCCAGGAGCAAAAAAAAAAGGCAGGTGACTTTAGTGTGTCCTTAAACATTCTAGCAACAAATTTCCCAACTGACGAGCTAATGCTGTGCCCCGGGCACTGGAGGATATTGGAACGTTTCTAAAACACACAGTGAAACGTGACACTTGTTGAGCAGTCAGAAAACGCCTTGCTTGCAGTTCACATGTTCAACTGACGCTGTACTTCATTTCTTTCATTTATGTTCCATCTTCGTAGAGCTGCGCTTTGGGGGTGTGTTTGTAATAAAAAGTGCCATTAACATCAATGGAGAACAAGATATTAGTTGGGAATGGTGGCGTCTAATCTTTTAAGAAGGCATACATAGGCCTGACGAGGTGGCTCACACCTGTAATCCCAGCATTTTGGGAGGCTGCGGCAGGAGGATAGCTTGAGGGCAAGAGTTCAAGACCAAACTGGGCAACACAGGGAGGCCCCATCTACAAAAAATTAAAAAATCAGCCAGAGATGGTGGCACACCTGCAGTCCAAACTGAGAGGCTGAAGCAGGAGGATCGCTCCAGCCCAGGAGATGGAGGATCGCCCCAGCCCAGGAGATGATGGAGGATCGCCCCAGCCCAGGAGATGATGGAGGATCGCCCCAGCCCAGGAGATGATGGAGGATCGCCCCAGCCCAGGAGATGATGGAGGATCGCCCCAGCCCAGGAGATGATGGAGGATCGCCCCAGCCCAGGAGATGATGGAGGATCGCCCCAGCCCAGGAGATGATGGAGGATCGCCCCAGCCCAGGAGATGATGGAGGATCGCCCCAGCCCAGGAGATGATGGAGGATCGCCCCAGCCCAGGAGATGATGGAGGATCGCCCCAGCCCAGGAGATGATGGAGGATCGCCCCAGCCCAGGAGATGATGGAGGATCGCCCCAGCCCAGGAGATGATGGAGGATCGCCCCAGCCCAGGAGATGATGGAGGATCGCCCCAGCCCAGGAGATGATGGAGGATCGCCCCAGCCCAGGAGATGATGGAGGATCGCCCCAGCCCAGGAGATGATGGAGGATCGCCCCAGCCCAGGAGATGATGGAGGATCGCCCCAGCCCAGGAGATGGAGGCTGCAGTGAGCCACTGCACTCTGCACTCAAGCCTGGGTTGTGCCACTGCACTCAAGCCTGGGTTGTGCCACTGCACTCAAGCCTGGGTTGTGCCACTGCACTCAAGCCTGGGTTGTGCCACTGTACTCAAGCCTGGGCGACAGGGTAAGATCCTGTCTCAAAACAATGAAAAAAAAAAAAAGTGTATACATCCCATTAATAAGTAACAGTATTTAAGAATGAGATAAAAAGGTTTTTTTTTTTTTAAGTTTATGGATACTATTATTCAAACTGCTACTAAATTGTTAGGATATAAATACTTATCAAGTTGTTTGAAAGTAACTAATTCATTAACAGAACTCGGGTACTTATTTTGGCCTCAGAGAAAATGTGAAAAACCGAAGACACCAGGGGAGCCATGAACCAAGAAAATCTGGTAACTTCTGGAGCAAATGCTAGGTCAGTCCTTACCTACAGAATGCTCTTTGTAGGATGTTTCTGACTTTAGAATTGCATTTGGTAAATAAGCCTGGAATCTATGGATTATGAGGCATGGTTTCCAGAAATGTCACCCAGCTATGCAACGTGAGTGTAAAATGAGATAATTCATAACCTTGGGGCTTCCTGCTGTGTGCAGGGATTGCTACTTCTGCCTCCGGTTTCTGCCTGAGTCAGAGAGGGCAGGAAGGGCTAGGGGAGCCAGGCCAGATGCCCAGGCCTCGCTCTGCCCCATTTGTGCCTTTTCAGTCCTTGAGTCCTTACGTTATTAGTTAAGCTTGATCCCGGGCAAGATTTCTGATTTGTGTGAATGTAATTCGATTACCCAATCCTTAACTTCATTAGTAATCAGTGAGATTCCCATGAAAACCACCATATTGTTTTATACCTGCCGGATGAGCAAAACCAATTTTTTAATCCTAACAATACTAAATGTTTGGAAAACTCTGCCCCTACCGCAAACGCTCTCTCTCTCTCTCTCTCTTTCCCTCCCCCACAAAGAGGCTCCCTTATCTCTCACTTTACATACCGGCCCTAGCCCTCATGCTGCCCAGCTTCCCGCTGCCCAGCTTCCCGCCCAGCAGTTCAAACTGACCAACAGTTGCCCACCACCTCGGCTTTTGGCTTCCCCACCCCCAGCCCTTCAGCCCCCTATAAATAACCCTGCCCCTCTGAGCGGCGCGGCCATTCTCCTCTTCCTCCCAGCTGGCCCGCCCGGAGGCTCTTTCCTCTCAATAAAGCCTGAACTTAAGGAATTTCCTCTAGCCTGCGGTCCGGTTTCTTTCCCAATGAGCCCAGTCTTCCCGCAGAGGGTAGGTCGGACAAATGGTGCCGGAAACCCGGGACGGGAGCTGGGGCCGTTGGCCCGGCCACGGCCCCCCTCCCCGACCTACCCAACACTGGCCCTGCCACCTCCACGTTCCGATTAAGGTAAGCCAAGTTTTTCTTGCTTTGCCTTCCCCCGCTTCCCGTCTCCTCTTCCTACGGCATGGTGCAGTTGCTCCCTCTCCAGCGTTCCGCACGGACTCCTTGCCTAGTCTCGGCCGAGCCAAGGTAGTCTTCCGTTCCGGCTCCAGGAGCCTTCCGAGGGACAGCCGCCAGACGGGGGACGCCCCTCTGACCGCTTCCCTTTCCGTACTTAATTGTACTCCGGGGAATTTGCAATGAACGGGGACGCCTTTTCGTTGCATCTGCCCACCCGCGCCGGAGAGTCTGTAGCTGCGCCTGCCATGGGAAATTCGGAGTCCAAAATACCTCTGAGCACCCCCCTCGGGTGCTTGCTGCGAAATTTTACCAAATTGGGATATTCCCAAACCCTCAGAAAGAAAAAGCTTATTTTCCTGTCCCACGTGGCTTGGCCCCAATACAAACTCAGTAACCAGTCACATTGGCCCCCGACTGGCACTTTTGATTTCAACACCCTCCGAGATCTCGACGATTTTTGTCGCCGTGCGGGCAAGGACAATGAAATTCCTTACGTCCAGGCTTTTTGGGACCTCCGTACCCACCCCAACCTATGTTCTTCCTGCTCCACCTACCAAATCCTCTTATCTCGAACCCCCCGTAAATCTTCCTCCACTACCTCTCCCCCTCCCTACTCCTCACCGGAGGATCTGCCTGAACATCTGTCCTCTCCTGCCAATCTCAGCAACCACTCGCCATCAACGGCACGCCCTTCCCCCACTCCCTCTGCACCTCCTACCTCAGAGGCCATGCCTCGCTCTCCCTCTACTCCCTCCAAGCCCCCTCCCTCAGAGGCCGCACTTCCTCTTGCCTCTCCGGTGGCGGCCCACACCCGCTCCCACCAGCCAGCTATCCTGGCCCCACTCCGAGAAGTAGCAGGCGCAGAAGGTTTAATCAGGGTCCATGTTCCTTTCTCACTCCAAGACCTGTCCCAAATTGAGAAACGTTTAGGATCCTTCTCAGCCAACCCGTCCACCTATATTAAAGAATTCCAATACCTCACTCAAACATAAGAAGCCCTAGTCCGGTACACTCGACTAGATCCAGCCTCCCAAAATGGGGCCACTGTATTAGCCTCCCATTTTATCTCCCAATCAGCACCCGACATAAGAAAGAAACTAAAGAAAGCAGAAGAGGGGCCAGAGACTCCCATCCAAGACCTGGTAAAAATGGCCTTTAAAGTATTCAATGCCAGGGAAGATGCGGCTGAGGCTGCCCACCAAACTCGCATGAAGCAGAAGGCTGCCCTCCAGACCCAAGCCCTAGTGGCGGCTCTAAGGCCGGCAGGGAACCAGAAGCCCAAGGCCGAAACCCATGCCCCTCCAGGGGCATGTTTCAAATGTGGAAAGGAAGGACACTGGTCCCGAGCCTGTCCACAACCATGGCCACCAACTAAGCCTTGCCCTATCTGTCGGCTCCCGGGACACTGGAAGTCAGACTGCCCCAGCTTCCCCAGGGTGCCGGTTCCTCAAAACAGACACACTGGCGTTACGCAGCCGGCAGTCACCCTCAGTAGGGAGGAGCCTGCTTGCCAGGAGCCGACCTCCGAGGGAGCTCCGTTCCCCAGTCTACTAGGGCTGCTAGATGACTAGCGGGGCCCTGGCTTTCCGACTCCGGTTACCCTCGCCGAGCCTAGGGTCACAAGACATGGGGGCTACCTACTCCGCACTTCCTTCTTATTCTGGCCATCTCACCCCTTCCCAGGTCTTAGTCATGGGAATCGATGGGACCCCGAGTATCCCCTACCAAACCCCACCACTCATGTGCTCATATAACTCCACTCCATTCACCCACTCCTTTTTAGTAATCCCCACCTGCCCAGTTCCCCTTCTGGGGCGAGACATCCTTTCAAAGCTGAAGGCCGTCATAACCTTCCCCACCGCCAGCCCACATAGCCTTTTTCTCCTAGCCCTCAATACTCTGCCTCGGAACTCCAGGCCCTCCAGTCTACCCCCGGGGTACGGTTCAAGGATGACTGGGCCTTCAAGCATAACCTCCTCATCCTCCCTGAAAAGCAAAGGTACCAGATAATCCAAGACATCCACAATTTACTCTACATTGGGCCTAAAGCCTTATACCAGTTCCTCCACCCACTTTTTCACCCCCACCGCCTCCTCAGTACCATATAGGAAGATCAGTCCTCATGTACTGTCTGCATGAAAACTAATTCCCAGGGTTCCTGTCATCCCCGGCGCCAGCTTCATCAGCTACGCGGGTTCCTACCTGGCCAAGACTGGCAAATTGATTTCACCCATATGCCAAAGCACAAACAGTACCGGTATCTGCTAACCATTGTTGACACTTTTTCAGGCTGGATTGAAGCTTACCCCACAGCCTCTGAGTCTGCCGGGACAGTAGCCACTCATCTCATTCAAGACATCATCCCACGCTTTGGACTCCCGGCTACCATACAGTCAGACAACGGCCTAGCCTTTATCTCCAAAGTCACTAATGCCGTTTCTACCTCTCTAGGAATTCAGTAGAAGCTACATGCCGCCTACCATCCCCAGTCCTCTGGTAAGGTAGAACGGGCCAATGGCCTAATAAAGGAGCATCTGACTAAGCTCATGCTTGAGCTCCGCCAATCCTGGGTAACCTTAATTCCTATCACCCTCACCAGGGTAAGAGCAGGACCCCGGGGCCCATCACAGCTTAGCCCATTTGAGCTGCTGTATGGTTGCCCCTTCCTACTTTCAACTCCCCCACCGCCAGAGACTACTCCTCTAGACAGCTACCTCCCCTACTTTACTCTCCTTCGCAGCCTTCTCCGAGAACACGCCAACGCTTCTCTTCCCCAACCCACCCAGCCATCTGAAAATACACAGAAAGTCCTCCCGGTAACCCTAGTCCCTCGACTCACTATATATTCCCCAGCCGAATTCCAGATGCTGCAAACTCCCCATCGCCGCACCCGATGAGCTGCCTTCCTACCCATTGCCGTTGGTGTCTCCCTTGCTGGTTCAGCACTTGCAGCAGGATTAGGAGGAGGGGCACTAGTCCACTCTCACCTGGCCATAGCCCGACTGACCTCACAACTCCAAGTGGCTATTAATGACTCTACTGAGTCTTTAGCATCACTCCAATGACAGATCACCTCAGTTGCCCAAGTTGCCTTGCAGAACCGAAGAGCCCTGGACCTGCTCACTGCTGAACGAGGAGGGACCTGTATCTTCCTACAAGAAGAGTGCTGTTACTACATCAATGAATCCGGCCTAGTAGAAACCCGAATCGAGAGCCTCCAGAAACTCAAAACTAACCTCTAGAGTCAGAAGTTCTCGGCTGAAGCCACGGCGTGGTGGTCTTCCTCTATGTATACCCTCTTGTCCCCATTGCTTGGGCCCCTAGTAGCTGTTTGCCTAATCTTACTTATTGCTCCTTGCTTTCTACAGTTCCTACAGCGGCTCTTTCAAGAACTGACTGGAGTCACCATCCACCAGATGCTGCTCCAACCCTACCCTGAACGAGTGCAAGAAATAGACCTCTCCCCGACCATCCAGGCTCCTTAGGAAAAGAAACCTCTTCAGAACCCCCCCGTCGACCCTTGTCAGCAGGAAGTAGCCAGAGAGACAACCGACGCCCCTGACCCCCTCTTTTTCTTTTCTTTAAGGAGTCGGGAATGTTTGGAAAACTCTGCCCCTACCGCAAACGCTCTCTCTCTCTCTCTCTCTTTCCCTCCCCCACAAAGAGGCTCCCTTATCTCTCACTTTACATACCGGCCCTAGCCCTCATGCTGCCCAGCTTCCCGCTGCCCAGCTTCCCGCCCAGCAGTTCAAACTGACCAACAGTTGCCCACCACCTTGGCTTTTGGCTTCCCCACCCCCAGCCCTTCAGCCCCCTATAAATAACCCTGCCCCTCTGAGCGGCGCGGCCATTCTCCTCTTCCTCCCAGCTGGCCCGCCCGGAGGCTCTTTCCTCTCAATAAAGCCTGAACTTAAGGAATTTCCTCTAGCCTGCGGTCCGGTTTCTTTCCCAATGAGCCCAGTCTTCCCGCAGAGGGTAGGTCGGACACTAAAGTGTTGGTGAGAATATGGAGCAGTAGAAAATCTCAAAACACTGCTGGCAGCACTATAAACTGACACATCCATTTGGAATAACAATTTATGATCTAATAAAGTTAAATATGTGCATATTGCATGCACAGCAAGTCCACTTAGAGAAACTCTTGCACGTGTGTACGAGGTCATATGTACAAGAAAGTTCCCAGCTTCAAAACCGCAAGCCAAATGTCCACTGTGGGAAAACAGATAAACTGACACGTTTATGTTTATATACATGGCATGCTGTACAATAATGACACAAAGAAGCAAAAGCTACCTGCTGCAACATGGGTGAACATCACAGATATGCTACCACAAGGCAAGTGAAAAGACCTTTTTTTAAAAAACAAGCAAAGGAAAACAGTATATTGCTTAGAGATATGAACGTGTATGGGAAAAATCATAAAAGCAAGAAAAAGATGAACACAAAATCTGGAATCATGGCTCCAATCTCTGAGGGTCAGGGAGAGACGGAATTTGAGGCGGGGCCCACAGGTGCTTCTGAGGATTGATCAGGTTCTGGTTCTGAAGATGGATGGCAGATACGGCAGATATTTTAATCTTGAAAATGCGAACAAAAGTGTGTTCAGCCAGGTGTGGCTCACACCTGTAATCCCAGCACTTTGGGAGGCTGCAGCAAGTGGATCACTGGAGGTCAGGAGTTCCAGACCCGCCTGGCCAACATGGTGAAACCCCATCCCTACTAAAAATACAAGGATTAGCCAGAGTAGGAGCACGCATTTGTAATCCCAGTACTTTGGGAGGCCGAGGCGGGTGGATCACGAGGTCAAGAGATCGAGACCATCCTGGTCAATATGGTGAAACCCCGACTCTACTAAAAATACAAAAAAATTAGCTGGGCATGGTGGCGCGTGCCTGTAATCCCAGCTACTCAGGAGGCTGAGGCAGAAGAATTGCCTGAACCCAGGAGGCAGAGGTTGCGGTGAGCCGAGATCGTGCCATTGCACTCCAGCCTGGGTAACAACAGCGAAACTCCGTCTCAAAAAAAAAAAAAAAAAATAGAAGATACTCAAACTGATAACCGCAGTTACCCCCAGGCTGCGGCACTATGGGTGATCTCTTCATGTCTTCTGTCATAGCTTTGTGTACTGAGCATATACTTTTCACAAGCATTTTTAAAAACTGAATTTATCTAAGTATATCGAGTATGCACTGGACCGTGCTACCCAAGGTGTTTCAGCTTCCCAATAGTCTCCCACTTCGCGCACATAGGCCGAGTGTGCTTGATGATACGGGAGTTGCTTTGGCATGAAACAGAAAACAGCTCCTACCTAAGACCTCACTAAAGAAAAAAAAAAGAAGAAAACAGCAGACTTTCTCACATCATAACTGACAACTACTGGGTGGCTGTTTCTATTCTCACCACATCCTTTTATTATTTAAAATTCTACTTCTGGTTTTACTTCATCCTTTACTTTCCCCCTCTTGTTATGGGCATTTTAAAGAAAATCTCTAAAACAGGGCCTGGCATATACAGCAGGCATTCAGTAAATACTATACCCTCAATGCCATGCTGTGTCTTGAACAACTGAACACAGTCCTAGCTCCAGCTCTTGCTACTAACTGAGGAGATCCCTTCTTGCCCAAACCTGCCCACTTTCAACATAGAATCCATTAGGTGGCAAGGGCCAGTGTGAACAGGAAGGAGAGGCATGCTTCCCACCCCCACTGCTCCCCCCACGGCCTTCTCCCAGTCCTATCAACCCCACCCATCCTCTCCAGATACACTAAGGGGTTATCTCAGCAAATAAAGTACACAGGGTTATCTCAGCAAATAAAGTACACATAGAGCTGACGTGCCAGAAGCAATGCAATAATCACAGCATTTAAATCAAGTATTATAAAATGCTAGCCATATCCAACAGATAAAAATTCAATACGACAGCTGGGCGCGGCAGCTCATGTCTGCAATCCCAGCACGTTAGGAGACTGAGGCAGGCGGATTATGAGGTCAGGAGTTCGAGACCAGCCTGCCCCACATAATGAAGCCCCATCTCTACTAAAAATACAAAAACTAGCCGGGCGTGGTGGCACGTGCCTGTAATCCCAGCTACTCGGGAGGCTGAGGCAGGAGAACTGCCTGAACTTCAGAGACCGTGGTTGCAGTGAGATACGATCACGCCAGTGCACTCCAGCCTGGGCAACAGAGCAGGACTTTGACTCAAAAAAAAAAAGGAAATTTACTACAACTAAATTTATTTTTAAAACAAAATAATTTTCATATTCTCAAGTTTATTTAAAAGTTAATAGGTCAGGTGCAGTGGCTCAGGCCTGTAATCCCAGCACTTGGGGAGGCTGAAGCGAGCTGATCAGGTCAGGAGTTTGAGACCATCCTGTCTAACACCGTGAAATCCAGTCTCTACTAAAAATACAAAAAACTAGCTAGGCATGGTGGTGCGCACCTGTAGTCCCAGCTACCCGGGAAGCTGAGGCAGGAGAATGACTTGAACCTGGAGGCGGAGGTTTCAGTGAGACGAGATCGCACCACTGCCCTCCAGCCTGGGTGACAGAGTGAGACTTCATCTCAAGAAAAAAAAAGTTACAAACATTTAAAATATACTATTGGGTAAATAAAAACAAATCATTAATGATATTACTTACATGATATTATTACTCTTATGGGGTCTTCCGATGTTTTCACACCAACGATATTTACAAATATCATAAACCAATAATTCTTCTGGGAAAAAGTAGTTCCAACGCCGAATTCCTAAAACGCAAATAATGTTTCTAAAGGTTCCATCACTCTATCATGTAACAGTTAATAAAGAATGAGATTAACTTTACCTCCTTCAATGCCATCTTTATTCACCAAAGAAAGAACAAAACGATCAACTTCAGGGTAGGGTGAACACTGGAAACCTTCCATGGTTTCTACGGCAACAGAGAGAATGTTTTTTTAAATTACAACAGCTGAAATTTGAAAGTTAAATTTTGATTAAATGTTGTTGAGTACAATTACAGGTTTTGCAAGCTCTCAGCTTTCCCCCATTTTTTGCAATTTCAGTCAATTCATGTTTGTTACCCTACAAGGATGCAGGTAAAATTCAAACCTTTCAATAGGTCAAATGTTAACTAATTTTTTTTTTTTTTTTTAGATGGAGTTTCACTCTTGTTGCCCAGGCTGGAGAGCAGGGACGTGATCTCAGCTCACTGCAACTTCCGCCTCCTGGGTTCAAGTAATTCTCCTGCCTCAGTCTCCTGAGTAGGTGGAACCACAGGTGTGTGCCACCACACCCAGCTAATTTTTGCATTTTTAGTAGAGATGGGGTTTCTGCATGTTGGCCAGGGTGGCCTCGATCTCTTGACCTCATGATCCTGCCTCAGCCTCCCAAAGTGTTGGGATTACAGGCGTGAGGCACCGTGCCCAGCCAATGTTAACTAATTTCATAAAAAGCATTTGAAATAATTTCAACTGCTGTCTTCATTCTGGCAAAGAGAACGACAGCCCCTCACGTCCACAGCAGGCCTAGCTCCATCAGCCAGGCGTTGGTGCACCCTGTGCTAGCCCAGCACACCTACCTCGGCCTGGGCCTTCTTCTGCGAACAAAGGCAATCTCCTAGAACTTCAACAACAGATAAGACCCTGTGGTCATGAGGACTCGGCAAAAGATAACCACTCTGTAATCATGTCCGAACACAGACAAAACAGGAACATGTTCCAAACCACAGAAATGACCAAACACCCACACTACCGGTTAATATGAGTGACTGCTGCATTTGTTTTCTTTTTAAACCAATTACAGTGTTAATTTCTAGTCTGATTTCCTTTCAGTTACGCTTTACTAAGAGAACCAATCCTAGAATTGTCCCTGACAACACCCAACTCAGAACAAACCCCAGGCTTCCTGGTATACGCCCCCAAACCACCCATTCCAAGCCCAAATCCAACCCCAGCAGTCCTTTCCAAGCTCCTCTTCCCGAGATGCCCCACTGTACTGAGGTTCCCCGTGCTGTGTGCCTGCCATTGCTGCCCTGGCAATACGCTCAGCTGACTAGCTACAGGTGTGTGCCCTGCGGTCTTTAGCTGGAAAGTACTAACAATCCAATTATATTTCCGATCTAAAAACCTACTGTAATAATTTAGAATGACCTATTTTAAGTATCATTTAACTTTTAGGGACAAAAATCTAGTTTGCTTTAAATGAAGTCTATGTTTCACTTACTAAAATAATATATATAAATGGATAAATATTGGAAAATACATTAATGTGGAAATGTGAGGAAGAGACTAAATCAAGATATGATTTAGAGTCTAGAAAGATATAAAAGATACGATAAAGATACAAAACCTAAGAAAATATTATCCATATTTTAAAGTTAGCTTTTAATCACACCATCCACATAATTTCTGAGACTGTTTTTTTCTTTTAACATTACAAATGGGTGTTTTCCACATTGAAAAGACTTTATCAATTTAAACTGAACAGCTAGAGGATTTCGTATATAGAACCTATCCAGTTTTGTTGTACATTTAGAGTGCTTCAGTTTTTCACTATTTTAAATAGCAATATACTAAAATATGTGTATAAAAATGTTTACTGGAGGCTTTATGTAAGAAATCTTGAGAAGAAACTATACGTTCTTCAGTAGAAAAACGGGTAAGTTATGATAGAGCTGGACCGTGAAAAACCACGCAGCCATTAAAAGACTGAGACGACCTCTCTACATTGGAAATACAGGACAAGCTCTTCCAGGATAAACAGGAAACGACCGCAGTGGTTATCTGCCTTTGACTGTGGACAGAAGGGTGTAAAAATACTTTTAGTTTTTACTTTCTTATATGTTTTTTTAATACAAATAGCCTACATTATTTTTGTATTTTTTTGAAAAACACCGTAAAATGAAAATTAGTGAATAATACTTTAATAAACATCTTTTTCATACTCTTCTCATTTGACATAAAAAGCTAGAAGTAGATTGATTGATGACTGACTGGTTGAGACAGGGTCTGATTCTGCTGCCCAGGCTGGGGTGCAATGGTACCATCGAGACTCACTGTAGCTTCGACCTCCTGGGCTCAAGAGATCCTCCTGCCTCAGCCTCCTAAGTGGTTGCGACTACAGGCATGCACCACAACTGCTGGCTAATTTTTGTATTTTCTGTAGAGATACAGTCTTCCTAATTTGATCAGGATTGTCTCTAACTCTTAGGGTCAAGCGATCCTCCTGCCTCGGCCTCCCAAGGTGCTGGAATTACAGTTGTGAGCCATGTGCCTGGCCAGCCATAGTTTGTGAAAGATCAGTGGTTATGAATTAAGATTTAAAGTGTTAAAGGCAAAACAGATTCTGTATCTTACATTTTGATTGGAAATTATTTTTTAAAAACTACCTGCAGTAGCTGGGTGCCAGTGGCTTGCGCCTGTAATCCCAGCATTCTGGGAGGCTGAGGCAGACACAGCACTCGAGCCCAAGGGTTGGAGACCAGTCTGGGCAACATGTTGAAATCTCATCTCAACTAAAAATACAAAAATTAGCTGGGTGTGGTGGTGCATGCCTGTAGTCGAGGCTACTTTGGAGGCTGAGGCAGGAGGATGACTTGAGTCTGGGAGGAGGCTGCAGTAAGCAAGATCGCACCACTGTACTCCAGCCTGGGTGACAAAGAGAGACCCTGTCTCAAAAAGAAAAACAAACATCAAAAAATTTACCTGAAGTGCTGATACTGTTAAAATATCCAACTCCTTTTTGTTTGTTCTGAGATGGGTCACATGTAAGAATTCTTAAAGTATCTGAGAACCTGAAGAAGAAACAGGTAAAAGAAACAAAGTACCATTACACTAGAACTAGCGAGGCCTGGCTACAGAAAGAACACTGAATCCCAAATAGTTCACACTGAAATACCGTATTCCACTGAATCCCAAATAGTTCACACTGAAATACCGTGTTCCACTGAATCCCAAATAGTTCACACTGAAATACCGTGTTCCACTGAATCCCAAATAGTTCACACTGAAATACCGTATTCCACTGAATCCCAAATAGTTCACACTGAAATACCGTATTCCACTGAATCCCAAATAGTTCACACTGAAATACTTCATTCCACTGAATTCCAAATAATTCACACTGAAGTACTGTATTCCACTGAATCCCAAATAGTTTACACTGAAATACTTCATTCCACTGAATCCCAAATAGTTCACACTGAAATACTGTATTCCACTGAATTCCAAATAGTTCACACTGAAATACTTCGTTCCACTGAATTCCAAATAGTTCACACTGAAATACCGTATTCCACTGAATCCCAAAGAGTTCACACTGAAATACCGTGTTCCAATGAATTCCAAATAGTTCACACTGAAATACCGTATTCCACTGAATTCCAAATAGTTCACACTGAAATACTTCGTTCCACTGAATTCCAAATAGTTCACACTGAAATACCATATTCCACTGAATCCCAAATAGTTCACACTGAAATACTTCATTCCGCTGAATTCCAAATAGTTCACACTGAAATACTTCATTCTGCTGAATTCCAAATAGTTCACACTGAAATACTTTGTTTGGCAGATAATGTTCTAGGACATATATGCCACATTTGCCCACAAAACCACAAACACTACACATATAAAAACAATATGATTTGTTTATTAAAGAAAGCATTTTTTTTAAAGAGTAGGTTGCTGATTATTTACATTATCCTTAACTACAGAATGGATCAGGGGACTCTAGCATTGCTGAAGCCGTGTGTCCACGGTTTCACATTTGTGGATTCAACTAACCACAGATCAAAAGCATGGTTTTTTGAGACAGAGTTTCGCTCTTGTTACCCAGGCTGGAATGCGATGGCACATTTTGGGTCACTGTAACCTCCGCCTCCTGGGTTCAAGCAGTTCTCCTGCCTCAGCCTCCCGAGTAGCTAGAAATGCACGCACCTGCCACCACACCTGGCTAATTTTGTATTTAGTAGAGATGGGGTTTCTCCATGTTGGTCAGGCTGGTCTCAAACTCATGACCACAGGTGATCCGCCTGCCTCAGCCTCCCAAAGTGCTGAGATTACAGGCATGAGCCCCTGTGCCCGTCCAAAAGCATATTTAAAAAAATAAAATGAAATAAAATAGGACAGGTGCATTGGCTCACACCTATAATCCTAGCACTTTAGGAGGCTGAGACGGGCAGATCACTTGAGGTCAGGAGTTTGAGACCAGCCTGGCCAACATGGTGAAACCCTATCTCTACTAAAAACATAAAAATTAGCCAGGCATGGTGGTGGGCACCTATAATCCCAGCTACACAGGAAGCTGAGGCAGGAGAACTGCTTGAACCCGGGAGGTGGAGGTTGGAGTGAGCCGAGGTCGCACCACTACACTCCAGCCTGGGTGGACAGAGCAAGACTCCATCTCAAAAAAATAAGTAAATAAATAAAAATAATACAACAATGAAAATAATACAAATTCAAAACAATATGGTAAGACCTATTTATATAGCATGTGCACTGTTTTAGGTATAGGTAATACGGAAGGATTTGAAGCACTGTATATGGAGGATGTGTGGGTTATGTGAAAATAACAGTACACTCTTTCATATCCATGGATTTTTGTATCCACAGGGGTCTTGGAATAAAACACCCACAGACACCAGGGGACGACTACATAACTCTATTCACCAAACATAAAGAGCCTTTGAAGTTTTTGTTACAATTTTAGAGGTGTGACTTACAGGAAGAAATGAAGAGGAGGGGTGAGAGCAAAGCGAAAAACAGATGAAAATGAGCAAAAAGAAAAGGTACATTCATAACCATAAAGGACTTGGCTTTTATCTCAGGAAGTAAAATACCCGGCATTTACCTGGAATACACGAAAGACAAGACAGCTGTATTCAGCAGAGAACCGTCCACCTCTGTAAGGTGCTAGGCAAACTGCTAAGGAAGCAGGACTGGTAACTGGGGGTGACCTGCACTTCGGGCTGCATTGCTTTTCCCATACCAGCCAGAACTGACAGTGTTGCTTTCTGCACTTTTCCATACGTGGCAGAAACTGACCTTACTCTGGTGCCGACAGAGGGTGGCAGGAATTATACAATTTTCACACTCCTACTGTGGCACTTCCAGAATCTCAGATACTGCCCCTGTTACCGACATTACTGAGTAGATGCCACGCACGGAGCACTGCTGTCAATGTTTTCTGCACACAGTTTTAACTTTTCAGATCCTCTGGACAACTCCGTAAGATAGGTGTATCATTTCCATTTAAAAGTAGGAAACTCAGACCTTACTTCTGAGACACGTTATCAAAAGAGCTCAAAGAGCACAAATATACATATATATATAATATATGAAGAAAAGCACTCCATCTACCCTCCTGGGTCACGGCTGTTAACTGTAGAACCTGATACAACTACCCTACAGCAATGTATGTTAAACAATTAGTAAAATTAACTTCTAGAGAATTTTTCCTTAAAATTATATTTAGGTGGCCAGGCATGGTAGCTCACGCCTGTAATCCCAGCGCTTTGGGAGGCGAAAGCAGGTGGATCACTTGAGGTCAGGAGTTTAAGACCAGCCTGGCCAACATGCTGAAACCCCATCTCTACTAAAAATATAAAAATGATTTGGGTGTGGGGGCATGCACCTGTAGTCCCAGCTACTCGGGAGGCTGAGGCAGGAGAATGGCTTGAACCTGGGAGGCAGAGGTTGCAGTGAGCCAAGTTCGTGCCTTGTCACCGGGTGGCAGAGCAAGACTGTCTCAAGAAAAAAAATTATATTTAAGAAATGCAAAAGGAAAAGATTTATGGCAAGTTGACGTTAATTCAGTCTGAACCTTAACCACATTTTGGGCTGAAAATTGCCAGCCTAGAAAAATGGGGAATGAAGGCAAATACAGTAAGTCCTCACTTAATGCCATGGACAGATTCTTGGAAACTGCAACTTAAAGAGACATGACACAGAGCATGTCTCTGAATAATGTTTTCTGTTATAATGGCAGTCCCCAACCTTTCTGGCACCAGGGAACGGTTTCCTGGAAGACAAGTTTTCCATGGTGCAGGGAGGCAGGAGGGAGGTGGGATGATGGTTTCAGGATGAAACTGTTCCACCTCAGATGATCAGGCATTGGATTCCCATAAGGAGTGTGCAACCTAGATCCCTCCCATGAGCAGTTCACAACAGGCTTTGCACTCCTGAAAGAACCGAATGCCACTGTGGCTCTGACAGGGGGCAGAGCTCAGGAGGGAAGGTGGTAATCTCGCTCGCCTCCTGCTCACCTCCTGCCGCGGGTCCCGCTCCTAACCACAGACCCCTGGCCGTGACGCCGGTACCGCTGCCTTACAACTCTGACGAGAAGAAACAACTGGGTTCGTTACACATCACTTCCTTTAAAGTTCAGTTTCCAACAACTTACCAACATCAGAGGAGGGTTGACCGTACTTCTGCTGAAAGGTGACTTTCACAGATTTTATTTTTATTTCTTTATTTATCTTAGTTTTTAGCAATGGGGTCTCACCCTGTCACCCAGGCTGGAGTGCAGTGGTACAATCATAACTCACTGCAGCCTTGAACTCCTGGGCTCAAGTGATCCTCCTACCTCAGCCTCCTGAGTAGCTGGGACTAAAGGCACATGCCACGGAGCCCAGCCAACTTCAAAAGTTTTACAAAATGATCAAAACACGGAAAGCTAAAGGTTCAATAGTGGAACTCACAATAAATTCCAGAGTGTCAATAGAATTAAAATTTATATGGGCATTAGAAGTTTTATTTATAATTAATTGTTGGCAAATTCTTAACAAATATTCATAACACCAAGCAGAAAAAATAAATGACAATCATTTAAATAATAATCTGGAGAATATGTTTTGAATAAAGGAGCTATGCAAATTATATATATGTACACAAAATTTGCACATAATTTCATGCATACATGAAAAGAAAATGAGACATTTTAACAGTAATTATATTTCCAAATGCAATACGAGTAGTACTGTTTTCTTCTTTATAGGAGAGATAATCATTTTAGAAAAATTGGAAAACATACTAAGTATAATCCTGAAAAGACATAAAGGGAAAATTAAGTGGCTCAGAAATATGTTTTACTATTATCTTTCAGTTAATGGAGAAAAGAGAAGTGTTAACTTAGAACTGTAAGAACTGACTTTTTCTTAAGGTAGAGGAATTTAGATGATGACATTTCAGTAACGTACAATGCGACTCACTGTTTTAATATTCATGAGTACAAAACGGTCTGATGCCGCGACTACACACCTGACGTTGCTGACCAAAGAGGAAAGAAAATACTGATATTCTTCAGAAACGTCTTCTGACTGTGTGGGAAAAAATCCGTTTTCCTCAGCGACCTCCAAAGCCACACACTTTCCTATTTTTGATGATTTATACAGCCGAAAGTTTCTATTTCTTGTATAAACTCCTACATCAAAAATTAATAAAATAACATGAAAGTATGGTTTCTGTGATTAGTTTTATAGTCAGCAAGTATTAAAATTTTATATAGCATTAATAAAAGAAATAATTATTTTCTATATATAGCTATAGACAAATAAACAAAATGAACCCACAATGTAAATGAAAATAAATTGCAGTCAGCATGGAAGAATGCCACATCCTGAAACAACAAATTAGATTATTTTGCAGCAATTCTGCGATTGAAAACAAATAGAAAAGATGGACAGAGGTGTTACAAACAGAGAAAGCTTCCAAGACAGTGAGTGCAAAATCACAGAGAAAAAGGAAATATCAAAAACAAACAAATCTGTAGAATGAATCTAACAAAATATGAGTAAGATTTCTATTCAGTAAACTGTAAAACATTACTGACAGAAATTACAGAATACCTATGTAAACAGACAAGTTTCCCATGTGCATACATTGGAAGACTCAATATTATAGAAAATGTCAATTCTTCCCAAGTTGATCTATAGATTCAAGGTAATCCAAATAAAAATTCTAGCCAGGCATGCTGGCTCCTGCCTGTAATCCCAGCACTTGGGGAGGCCGAGACAGGCAGATCACCTGAGGTCAGGATTCGAGAGCAGCCTGACAACCATGGAGATACCTCCTCTCTACTAAAAATCCAAAACTGGCAGGGTGTGGTGGCGCATGACTGTAATTCAAGCTCCTCGGGAGACTGAGGCAGGAAGACCACCTGAAGTCAGGAGTTCAAGACCAGCCTGACCAAAATGGATAAACCTCGTCTCTACTAAGAGGACAAAATTAGCCAGGTGTGGTGGCACATGCCTGTAATCGCACCTACTCAGGAGACTGATGAAGGAGAATCACTTGAACCTAGAGAGCAGAGGTTGTGAGAAAAACCAAGAAATTTCAAAAAACAAACTTGGAGGAACTGTTTTTCCCGGATGTGAAGACTGAAGATTACAACAAAACTCTATGAGACATGGTGATGCCTAATACATAACGCTGTAAGTGACAGTGTGGGGTCTATCTAACATGCAAAACTCTATGAGACAGCGTAGGGTCTATCTAATAAATATATAAAACTCTATGAGATAGTGTGGTGTCTACCTAATATATAAAATTCTATGACACACTGTGGGGTCTATCTAATATATAACACCCTATGAGACTGTGTGGGGTCTATCTAATATATAAAACTCTATGAGACAGCGTGGGGTCTATCTAACATATAAAACCCTATGTGACAGTGTGGGGTCTAATATATAAAACTCTATGAGACAGCGTGGGGTCTATCTAATATATAACACTCTGTGAGACAGTGTGGGTCTATCTAATACATAACACTCTGTGAGACAGTGTGGGGTCTATCTAATATATAACACTCTGAGACAGTGTGGGTCTATCTAATACATAACATTATGAGACAGTGTGGGGTCTATCTAATATATAACACTCTATGAGACTGTGTGGGGTCTATCTAATATATAAAACTCTATGCGACAGTGTGGGGTCTATCTAATATATAACACTCTAGGAGACAGTGTGGGGTCTATCTAATATATAACACTCTGAGACAGTGTGGGGTCTATCTAATACATAACACTCTATGAGACTGTGGGGTCTATCTAATATATAACACTCTATGAGACAGTGTGGGGTCTATCTAATATATAACACTCTATGAGACAGTGTGGGGTCTATCTAATATATAACACTCTGAGACAGTGTGGGGTCTATCTAATATATAACACTCAGACAGTGTGGAGACTATCTAATATATAAAACTCTATGAGACAGTGTGGGGTCTAATATATAAAACTCTATGAGACAGCGTGGGGTCTATCTAATATATAACACTCTGTGAGACAGTGTGGGTCTATCTAATATATAACACTCTGTGAGACAGTGTGGGGTCTATCTAATATATAACACTCTGAGACAGTGTGGGTCTATCTAATACATAACATTATGAGACAGTGTGGGGTCTATCTAATATATAACACTCTATGAGACTGTGTGGGGTCTATCTAATATATAAAACTCTATGCGACAGTGTGGGGTCTATCTAATATATAACACTCTAGGAGACAGTGTGGGGTCTATCTAATATATAACACTCTGAGACAGTGTGGGGTCTATCTAATACATAACACTCTATGAGACTGTGGGGTCTATCTAATATATAACACTCTATGAGACAGTGTGGGGTCTATCTAATATATAACACTCTATGAGACAGTGTGGGGTCTATCTAATATATAACACTCTGAGACAGTGTGGGGTCTATCTAATATATAACACTCAGACAGTGTGGAGACTATCTAATATATAAAACTCTATGAGACAGTGTGGGGTCTATCTAATATATAACACCCTATGAGACTGTGTGGGGTCTATCTAATATATAACACTATGAGACAGTGTGGGGTCTATCTAATATATAACACTATGAGACAGTGTGGGGTCTATCTAATATATAACACTCTAGGAGACAGTGTGGGGTCTGTCTAATATATAACACTATGAGACAGTGTGGGGTCTATCTAATATATAACACTCTAGGAGACAGTGTGGGGTCTATCTAATATATAACACTCTAGGAGACAGTGTGGGGTCTATCTAATATATAACACCCTATGAGACAGTGTGGGGTCTATCTAATATATAACACTCTATGAGACAGTGTGGGGTCTATCTAATATATAACACTCTATGAGACAGTGTGGGGTCTATCTAATACATAACACTCTATGAGACAGTGTGGGGTCTATCTAATATATAACACTATGAGACAGTGTGGGGTCTATCTAATACATAACACTCTATGAGACAGTGTGGGGTCTATCTAATACATAACACTCTATGAGACAGTGTGGGGTCTATCTAATATATAACACTCTATGAGACAGTGTGGGGTCTATCTAATATATAACACTCTATGAGACTGTGTGGGGTCTATCTAATATATAAAACTCTATGCGACAGTGTGGGGTCTATCTAATATATAACACTCTGAGACAGTGTGGGGTCTATCTAATATATAAAACTCTATGAGACAGTGTGGGGTCTATCTAATATATAAAACTCTATGAGACAGTGTGGGGTCTATCTAATATATAACACTCTAGGAGACAGTGTGGGGTCTATCTAATATATAACACTCTATGAGACAGTGTGGGTCTATCTAATATATAACACTCTATGAGACAGTGTGGGGTCTATCTAATATATAACACTCTAGGAGACAGTGTGGGGTCTATCTAATATATAACACTCTGAGACAGTGTGGGGTCTATCTAATATATAACACTTTATGCGACAGTGTGGGGTCTATCTAATATATAACACTCTAGGAGACAGTGTGGGGTCTATCTAATATATAACACTCTATGAGACAGTGTGGGGTCTATCTAATATATAACACTCTAGGAGACAGTGTGGGGTCTATCTAATACATAACACTCTGAGACAGTGTGGGGTCTATCTAATATATAAAACTCTATGAGACAGTGTGGGGTCTATCTAATATATAAAACTCTATGAGACAGTGTGGGGTCTATCTAATATATAACACTCTAGGAGACAGTGTGGGGTCTATCTAATATATAACACTCTAGGAGACAGTGTGGGGTCTATCTAATATATAACACTCTAGGAGACAGTGTGGGGTCTATCTAACGTATAAAACTCTAGGAGACAGTGTGGCGCCCATCTGATATGTTAAACGCTAAGCTTGGAAGAATCCACCTCTCCTCATGTGACTGCTCTACCATGCACTGGTCTCTTTCCCAAATCGGGTGCTTGATTGCAGAGGTACTAGAGAGACACACAGTACAGCAGGAACACTTCCCTAATCTCAGTTCCACTGTTGGCCTAGGAATCTGACCTGTAACCTATACGCCCTTTCCCTCAACCTTTACACACTGAAGCTCTTTGAGGTGTTCAAAGCCAACAGCAGAAATGCCGCTGTCATGGCTTTTCAAATCACCAGCGAGAGCCTCCGTATAACAATGAGGTGCAGCTCTTCAACCTGGAGCTGCTGTGTTCAGGGTCTCGACTGGCCTCTTGAATCATGCTCAAGTCCTGTCAGCCCAGGGCTTCTGACAGTCTCATGCTCTGAGACCAGCTGAAGAGTCACCTGTATATGACTCCAACTGCAAGGTAAAAATACAGCAGAACTAACCCACACTGCCAGAGCAAAGACACAGCGGGCTGAGGAATCACTGGTTTGAACACAGCAAGAAAGCTGATGAAATGCACCCTGCCACTACCACGGACACCTTCAGCGAGGAAAACACACAGCCTTACTGCACCACGTGAGTACTGCTGTGTTGGGTCTGGTTTTTAGATTTCTGCACTCTGACTTAAGCTCTCAGCAGTCCTGCAGGAAACCAGTCCAACTGTCCCCTGTAAAACTCCCTTGACAGGAATCCTCCGGACGTGCAGAGCAGAAGCCAGTCACACCACCTTCTGCTGGAGCCCAGGTCGGCCTGGACCCCTCTAGGCCTCTGGAGAAAAACCTCATGGATTCCCAGCACCTGAGCTCCCTGGTCGCCTCCTGAGGGTGACTTGGGCAGTGAAGGAAGTGAGAACCCCGAGCACAGTGATGAGTGGGCACCGACCTGTCCCGCAGGAAAGCACCAGGACCGTCTGAGAGAGACAGCTGTCGACGTGACTCACCCAGATCTACAAACAGATGCTTCTCTCCCAGCTTATTCTTCACAACTAGAGACGAAAGGTCGGGACTGGTTTGCTCAGCTGACCCCGGCCTCTCCAGTTTCTTTGAATTCAATGTCCAGCTTTCTTCTACAGCCTTTTCTGTGAACATTTTGTTCAAAGAAAATCCTGGTTTTGTAGATGCTTCAGAAAAATGGGGAAATCCGTGGCCTCTCGTCTCTGGAGCACTATCATCATCTTCACTGCCGAGCAAGTCAAAAGCAGGCTGCAAAATCTTTCTCAAAAAGTTACCTGAGGAGAAAAGGTATTCGGATCCACCTGATCCTTCTTTCCACACACCGTATCTCTCTTTTTTTTTTTTTTTTTTTTTTTTTTTTTTTGAGACGGAGTTTCGCTCTTGTTACCCAGGCTGGAGTGCAATGGCGTGATCTCGGCTCACCGCAACCTCCGCCTCCTGGGTTCAGGCAATTCTCCTGCCTCAGCCTCCTGAGTAGCTGGGATTACAGGCACGCGCCACCATGCCCAGCTAATTTTTTGTATTTGTAGTAGAGACGGGGTTTCACCATGTTGACCAGGATGGTCCCAGTCTCTTGACCTCATGATCCACCCACCTTGGCCTCCCAAAGTGCTGGGATCACAGGCGTGAGCCACCGCACCCGGCTCTCTTTTACCTTTTCAATTCCACTGACTTGGGAGTCTGGTGTCAGAGGTAAACAAATCATTTTAGAAGGGACAGTTAATTTGAGAACATGTGTCAATGCTGCTGGCATGGGCCTGAGCCTAACAGGCCATCACCAAGAAACTGCTACTTATTAATACATCCTGAGAGGACTTATCTTCACATTCAATGATTAAAGAATGAAGGGCTCTGGTGCCCTTAAGGGATTGTAAAAATACTACTAATAATAATGAAGAATGAAGGTTTGTATGAGGAAATTGCTACCGAGCTAACAGAAGCACTGAGGAAATCCTGGGGAGTCAGGGTGCTGGTAAGCTTCTCACAAGCTTACTTTCTCTCCTTTCACTTCCACGACATGCTCAGCAAACCCTGGCTGTCACAGCTGTCAGCCCCAAGGCTGCTGCTCCTACCTCTGCCTCAAACTGGGCACAAAATGAACTACAGCCTCGGAGCTAACGTCCACAACCAAAGCAATTCACTACAATTACTATACTTCAACATTTATTCTAAGAACTCGGAGTAAGAGAAGTCCTATCTGTACCACAAAAAGTGGGTTATAGGCCAGCGCGGTGGCTCACGCCTGTGATCCCAGCACTTTGGGAGGCCAAGGCGGGTGGATCACGAGGTCAAGAGATCGAGACCATCCTGGTCAACATGGTGAAACCCTGTCTCTACTAAAGATACAAAAAATTAGCTGGGCATGGTGGTGTGTGCCTGTAATGCCAGCTACTCGGGAGGCTGAGGCAGGAGAATGGCCTGAACCCAGGAGGCGGAGGTTGCAGTGAGCCGAGATCGCGCCATTGCACTCCAGCCTGGGTAACAAGAGCGAAACTCCGTCTCAAAAAAAAAAAAAAAAAAAGTGGGTTATAAAATCCAGAATCCAAAACTTCCTCAAAGTTGCACATATTACTTATACCATAGAATCAAATAATAATTTGGCTATTAAGTTGCTTCATGTATAATAATACTCAAGAAATGCAATACTACAAGAAAAAATTAACTGTAACCTGTGGAACTGTTACTGTTTAGATTCATTCTTCACTTTATTTACCGGAAAGGCTTGACCCTTACATTATAACAAATGCATGCTCTAAATTCAAAATTTTCCTTCTTCACATTAGATTTAGTTACTTCCCTACTCAGCCAGATGCGGTCGCTCACGCCTGTAATCTCAGCACTTTGGGAGGCTGAGCTGGATGGATCACTTGAGGTCAGGAGTTCGAGATCCGCCTGGCCAACATGGCAAAACCTCATCTCTACCAAAAATACAAAAATTAGCTGGGCATAGTGCTGGGCACCTGTAGTCCCAGCTACTTGGAGGCTGAGGCACGGGAATTGCTGGAACCTGGGAGGTGGCGGTTGCAGTGAGCCGAGATCATGCCACTGCACTCCAGCCTGGGTGACAGAGTGAGACTCTGTCTCACACACACAAAAAAATGACTTCCCTACTCAAAGAAACAAATCCAATTTCTTATAAAGCACTAAATGTCAAAACCAAAGCAAAAGCATTTGGTCCTTGCAGTGATATGTCCGTATAGGCATGGATTACTTCTGGAATGAGGGAGGAAAAAGTAAACACCACATGAAAAGAAATTACGACACATCAAAGGACAACAAAGCAATAGGAACATAACCTGATAAAGCTAATTTTCCGGAAAACTTCACACTGCAGCTACTTGACTCTGGATAATGATGGAAGAGAGTGCGTGTTTGCAGGAGCGGTGGCAATGGCAGTGCTGGGGAGGCCACAGGTCCTGGAACCCTGGCACGGAGCGGCCATGGCCAGGACCACGACATGACGACGGTCACCAGCATCAACACTAACACACTGGCCCCAGCAAACCACACCGCTTCCTACTTCCTGTCCAGCTTTTTATTGCCCCCAACCCCCACGAGGACAGGAACTATCTTATTTGCTGGGAATAACTCAAAAGACTAGTCAGTCACAGAAATTTCAGGTACGACAGCAGACTGGCAAATGAGTATTTTAGGCAGATCAAGATCTATGATCTCTTAGATTTAACTGAATTCTCTTTTCTGAAAGGCTGACAACAGCAACTAGAAATGTCATCAAAAGATACAGTGAGGGAAGAAAACAAGGAAAAATTGTGAATTGCTTCATATTCTCTGCACCTCTGGCTCTGGCAGTTCCTAATTCTCAGGGAAAGGGTCTGAGGTGACAGCTCAGGTACAAGGCCTGATCACATCTCTCTAGCCACACTAGACCATTCACTGTCCCCAGATTAGCATGTACTCTTATCTCCATAGTTTTGCTTCTGCTGGTAAAGCCTTTCTGACCTTTGACTATACAATGAAATATTCAAAGCCCAGATGAATGCCATCTGCTTTCAGAAGATACCTGTAGCAGAAACTGCTGCTACCTCACAAGTTTCTATTCTCCTCTTCTTCCTGACCAAGAGATTCTTAGCTTTCGGCCTGTAGCCAGTAGTCATAGAGCAGACAATGGCCAGTAAACAGCAAGCAAAGAAATAGCTTCTTTGGTCCCTGTCTCCACACCCTGACAGGAGCATCTCCTCACTATTCATGCATTCATTCAGAAGGGACTTATTCCAGACGCACTGAGCGTGAAGGCCGTAGATGGAAGAAAGGCAGCTAGGGGCTGGAGTCAGAGACAGCTCAGCTGCAGGTACGGCTTTGCCACCTGCCAGTGCTGTGACCTTCGTCAAATCTAAACCTTCACATTCCCCAGCTGCTTAACAGGGATAGCAGCACCTGCCTTTTGGAGCAGCTGTAAGGAGTACACGAGAAAATGAAATTAAGGGGTTAGCACCGCACCCGGCCCATGTAACTGCCTAAAAGCCTTGTTGTGCAGCCCTGGGACAAGTCCCTAAAGGTATTTATTAATACCTTCTGAATGAATGCATGAGTGGTAAGGAGGACCGGGTGAACAGACCAGGTGAATCTGCAGGCACGTCGATTTACACAGCAGCCTCAGAAAGTGCGAAGGCCCAAACACTAGAGAAAATGTGGCCCGTGCCAGGAGCTGAACGAAAAGGGCAGGGTGGCGGGAGATGAGGCTGCTGACTTGCATTTATTATTACTACTGTTATTCTTATAGTGACAATATTAGTAATATTATTGATAATGATATATTTATTATGTGCTAAGCTCTGGAAATATAAGAGTGAATAAGAAATAGTCCCTGCCCTAGAGAAACATTAAGTAGAAGAGAGGAGGTGACAAAGAAAACAGGAAATGACCTCGGGAAGTGGTCAGTGCTTTGACACAATAAGCCCTGGATGTTCTCTGCAACCCAGAGGTACACTAACCTATGTAAGGCTTAGGCTTTGAGATGTGACAGAGATAGCTCTTCACACGGCTTGATGTCTACACAGAGTCTTAACAGGCCAGGCCAATGTGGAGGCACACAATTTAGATAGCAGCACCAGAAAGTTCAAAGGCGCAAGGACTAGAGGAAATGGGGCCCAGGACAGGAGCTGAATGCAAGGAGCAGGGTGCCAGGAGATAAGTCTGACGCACAGCGGGCCCCCTTGCAGGCTAAGGCATCCACGCTTTTGCCCAAAGGCAGGGAATAATCACTGCGGGGTTTGAGGCGCACAGGGAGCAGAGTCAGCTCACTCTAGCCAGCTGACTGGCTCAGCAGGGTTAGAGGCACAGAGAGGGCCTGGATGACACCACCATGTCTACCTGGGTAACTGTGACACCACTCACTGACAAGAACATCACAGAGAAGATGAGGCTCTGGGGAAGGATGAGGAACTCTGCACGGGGAGTTTCTGGAGGCAGTTGACTGGATGGGTCGGGCATCTAGAACAATCTGGGCTGAAGATGAAGATTTGAGAGCCATAACACAGATGCGCACCAAAGCCGTGAAGGTGGCTGATCATCGAGGGTGAGGACAGAGTGGGAAGAGGGTCAAAGACAGACTCTACCATTACTAATCTCTAATCTACCATTACCAACTGTGAGAAACGTTTTAAACGGTCTATTTTCAAGGCATGATAGATGAAGTATTCACAGGCAGCCTGCAAAGGTAACAAACCACACAGCTCATGCACCTAGAAAGTCACAATAAGTGAACAGAATGTGGGGGGGGGGGGGTCCGCCCATAAAAAGGAAGAGGTTCTGTTATTGTGAAATAGAAACTTAAGTGGGGATGGAGATGGGGTGTAACCTTATAAGGGGCATAATGAAACTTAGGCAACGTAACCCTACAGCACTCGACCAATGAGGAGGTGGGGGAGGGACTTGTGAGCTAGGAGATAAATGACATGCTGTAACTGTGCCAGCTGTGCCTGCCTACCAGACACCCAATCATTACTACAAGTCTCACTTCACTGTTCTTCCTGCCTCTAAGTCCATTCTTTGGGTTTGTACAGGTGAGTGTGTCCATCACAGAATGAGGGGGAGAGACTGAGAAGGAACATCCAGCTGAGCTAACAAGAAACAGGCAGGTGACTAGAGCCTTGTGAACACAGTATGCCAGGTCTCTGTGGCCACATTCCCCTAATCCAGCAATCGGGTTCCCGACTTTGATGCCAGTGCTTTAGTGACTATGCCCATGGCTTTTACTCTAGGTGGATGCGGAACTCTAAGGCACCAGCAGCTCTGAACCGAATTCCTTGTTACCTGAGCTTCAGTCAAGTACCCTTGCCCTACCCCTGCTTTGATAAGCACTCGGGATTCGGCTTCTATTCAGACCTTCATTTTGGTGTTCCCATTCTGCCTACGTGTTTCTCCTTTGAACCGACTTTGTTTGACAACTTGGCCTGTATCTCTAAATGCCCAGGCCTGAGACAAATGGTCTGGTTTCACTTTCAGACTTGTACATCTAGGATTCTCCCAACCCTGAAGCTCAGCCTGGAACAATAAACAAGCCTCCTGTGATACAACCTGGGACTGAAGTGCCAAAGCAAGGCTGAAGCGAAGGTCAGAAATCCAGATACAAGACACTGCAGATGAGGCTTGACATGGAAAGACCTCTCATGAACTTTCCAGGAAGCTGAAATAAACCCTGCTGGAGCAGAAACCGGTTCCGGACATGGATGGATATCCCAGTATCTATGATGAGAGGGACCAATGCCAAAGATGTCCTGAATAGGTTGTGTGCCTAGAACAGATAGGTAGGTCTAGAGCTAAGGGAACATCTTGAAAACATGAAGAATCACATTGCATTTTTTAGGATAAGTTAATGACCCTAAAACTTGGTGAGTATGCACAACATTTTAAGAGAAATAAGAACATACGAGTTTTGAATACAACTCCAAGATTTTTAAAAAGCAGTGTACTTACCAACATGAATGTTATCTTTAAATGCCACATCACGGAGCTGAAATATTAAGTGCCGGCTGAATTTTTCATCAGTGCTAGAATCCAAGTTCAAAACATCTTCAGCTGAGCAATTAACACCGTATAACTCTTGAAGCGCTTTACACACATACTGAAAAACACAAGTAAAATGCAAATAATTTTTTTTTTTTTTTTTTTTGAGGCAGGGTCTCACTCTGTTGCCTAGGCTGGATTGCAATGGTGTGATCTTGGCTCACTGCAATTTCTGCCTCCTGGGTTCAAGCAATCCTTGTGCCTCAGCCTCCCAAGTAGCTGGGACTACAGGCAGGCACCACCATGCCCAGCTAATTTTTGTATTTTTAGTACAGACAGGGTTTCATCAAGTTAGCCAGGCTGGTCTCGAACTGCTAGCCTCAAGTGATCCTCCCACCTTGGCTTCCCAAAGTGCTGGGATTGCAGGCATGAGCCACTGCAGCCGGCCCACATTGCATTTTTTAGGATAAGTTAATGACCACAAAACTTGGTAAGTACGCACAAAATTTTAAGAGAAATAAGAACATAAGGGTTTTGAATACAACTCCATGATTTTTAAAAAGCAGGCCTTAATTTCCTCATTTAGAAAGGGACAAGATAAAATAATTTCCAAAATTCCTGCAAGCTCGAAAATTCTGATACTATTTGTAGTCAGTTTTCTTGAAATTCACCTCAGTACCCAATTTTTACAGTAAAGATTACTTTTCCTGGCTTTTACCAAAGTCAGCTATTTATAATGGAAGTCAGATAATTAATATATAATTTTAAAATATGGAAAATTTCCAAACTGACATCTTTTTCAAAGCATTTTTTATCCGACAGTAATACAGCAAACCATATGAACATAAACTTTCCTTTCTTTTCAGTTTACTCATAGAAGTAATATTAAAACATCAAAGTCAAAAGGAAGAGTAGCAAGAAAAAGAACAGATACAGAACATACGTGTTACGTAGGCTGACTTCACTGAAGGAATAAGCCAATGAAGAGAGGAGAAACAAGCATAACTGCGTCTGCCATTTACCTCGATGAGTAATGCAACCATCTTTTTCCCGTCAGCTCCTGGATTGGCAGGTTTGTTAAATTCCAAGTCAAAATAAAGCTTGCACACAGCATTTTCAGGAATAACTTCATAACAGTGTAAGAGATTTTTTCTAAATTGAATAATTCAACATTGTTAGATTGATATCTTAGACCTTTATTAACTGACTGACTGAGACCAAGTCAGCTCTGTTGCCCAGGTGGGACTGCAGTTCACTGCAGCCTCCTCTTCCCGGATTCAAGCGATTCTCCTGCCTCAGCCTCTCAAGTAGCTGGAACTACAGGCATGCGCCACCACGTCCGGCTAAATTTTGCATTTTTAATAGAGACAGGGTTTATGTCATGTTGGCCAGGCGGGTCTTCAACTCCTGGCCTCAAGTGATCCACCTGCCTCAGCCTTCCAAAGCGCTGGGATTACAGGCATGAGCCACCACACCCATATCTTATACCTGTGCAATCACGGAAGTTTATCTCTTGCAAGTACCGTGTTAACTGTGCTTTCACTACATACAAGTGTGAAATAAGAACATGAAAAAGTCAACTGTTCACCATAGGTTTAGGGCTCATAGTGTCAAGGGTTTCCATCAAGCAAAATGTAACAATTATATCCTGTAACATTATTTAACTGGAAAATGCAGTCCATCTTACAGTATTATTTATTCGCAGATGATTTTGATACTGTGTAACAAACACCTCTATATTTGTTTTTAGTGTCAACCATGAGCATTCTTTGAAAAAAGAATGTTCTTTTCAGGATTCCATATTCTTGGGATTCCATGAATTTTCCATGAGAATTTTTAAATTCTGTGTTTTCAATGGAAGATAGTCTTTTAAAAATTGTTTAAAAAAATTCTGAATCACTTTGATAAGCTCTCAATGCTCAAGTTTTTAGTTACATTCTTGCTGTATTAAGAGGAATGACTCTGACAGGGGTAAAACAGGAAGAGATGCTAACTTAATTTGCAAAAGGTAATTTGGGGTAAGTGACATTCAGATGGCATCCTATACAAATTAAGGGCTTGTAGTAATTTGAAGAGGGAGAAGTTATGGGAAAATTATATCATCAGGGGGCACAGGTAGTGGAGGAACTGAACACACACACACACACACACACACCACACGGTGTGTACCCTGTAGCAGTCAGTACCATATTTACATTGCAAGATGAGACTGAGTTTCAGCAAGACATCTATCACGTTCTTAATGATTTTAATTCAACTCTAATTGGTGTTGCATGTATATAAACATAAATAAACTCAGTATCATATTTGAAGCTACTTAGCAACATCTGAATAAAAGTATTTTAAGTCAATATAGGGCATGCATAACAATTTACTCTCCTTTTCTATATATTACACAAGCCCGAGAAATACTTGAATAGATCACTCAGTTAAAATAAAGCTAACAGTCTGGGTGCAGTGGCTCATGCCTGTAATCCCAGCACTTTGGGAGGCCTAGGTGGGTGGATCACCTGAGGCCAGGAGTTCAAGACCAGCCTGGACAACATGGTGAAACCCCGTCTCTACCAAAAATATAAAAATGAGCCAGGCATGGTGGCAGGTGCCTGTTATCCCAGCTACTTGGGAGGCTGAGGCAGGAGAATCACTCGAACCTGGGAAGTGGTGGTTGCAGTGGGCAGAGACTGTGCCATTGCACTCGAGTCTGGGCAACAAGAGTAAAACTCCATCTCAAAAAAATAAAAAATAAATAAATAACGCTAATAACAATTTAAAATAGTAATAATAAAGTCAAGATAAAGCAGATATTTCCTTATTACTAGGTCAATAACATAAATAGTCCTTTATGATTAATGGTATAATTTAATACCTGTTTGCAAAAGAGAAATTTCAAAACTCCCTTTAGGTACACATATATATTTGTGTATGTGATTATTTTCTCCCAGCACCTGGTGAGATACTCCAGCATTGTTATGACAAGAAAACTCCAGAATTCAATTCTAACAGCAAAGGAGCAACTAACCGTGTGGTCAAGAACTGTGGAAGCCAATTCAGCCTGAACTAATTTCAGCAAAATTACCAGGCAAAGGAAATGGAACTCTAGCTTAGTGTGCAGTTCTGCTGCATGCTACCTACCTGGATTTATAGTGAAACCAAAGTTCAGCATAGGTTGTCACAAGGTAAATACGCTGTCCATCTCCCACTTTGCATTCCAAAGCAAATACATGAACATCCTACATAAATCAAAAAAGAATTCAGAAAAGTTCACAAAATGCAAACCTAAATTCAACTGTCGCTGCTGAATGCTTACAAAGAGGAATTTGAACATCTACATTATTACAAACAAGACAAATAATCACCAGGTTTATGCCATTCAAAATCTAATTATTTATTCCTATTTTTAGTCATTCATATAAAAGGTGAAAACAATCAGAATGGGCAGACCAGAGAAAAAAAGCAGAAAAAAATACTCTGAAAAATATTACTCTAGTTTGACTCCCTATGATAGTTTTATTTCTTGGTTTATGAAATTAAACAATTAATTAGTAAATTCCCTAGTATCTGTAAAAATGTATGTAGAACCTTTTTTTTTTTGAGACAGTCTCTCACTCTGTCGCCCAGGCTAGAGTGCAGTGCTGCAATCTTGGCTCACTGCAACCCCCACCTCCATCAAGTGATTCTCCTGCCTCAGCCTCCCAAGTAGCTGGGATTCCAGGTGCCTGCCACCACACCTGACTAATTTTTTTATATTTTTAGTAAAGATAAGGTTTCACCATGTTGGCCAGGCTGGTCTCAAACTCCTGACCTCAAGTGATCCACCTGCCTCAGCCTCCCAAAGTGCTAAGAGTACAGGCGTGAGCCACTGTGCCCAGTCAGAACAACTTTTTTAAAGGTTTAATACTGTGGTAGTGGTTTCAATATAATTGTTCATGCCTCCTGCCATAAAGTTTCCTCTAGTAGAGGAACATATGCACCAGTTCTTTTGTTTCCTCTTAGCTAAAGGTAGCTGCTGAGCCTGTTTTTCTTTTCATGTGTGGAACATCATAGGACTCAGTTGTTTAACCCCGATAAAAACATTTTTGAAGTAAATGTTACAGACTGATGATTAGCAAGTCCTGAAAGCATACACCCCATCTATATATTTTTAAAATTCCAGTTTAAATGAATCTGTCAGTATTTTAATTTCTTCTGCTTGAATTAGGTTTACACAAAATGACTAAGAAAGGCATTTCTTAAACCATTCTGGTGAGATTTGAGTAAGTACATCCTCACTAATGAGAGTCCTAGAACTCCAGCACTCGGAGCTCTGACACAGCATCAGTGACCAGACTCAGTACATTTACGCTATCATACATGCATCTGATCTTTCCTTTCGTATTTCTTTTTTATTTTTTTGAGATGGAGCCTCTCTCTGTTGCCCAGGCTGGAGGGCAGCGGCACCATCTCGGCTCACTGCAACCTCCACTTACCGGGTTCAAGCGATTGTCCTGCCTCAGCCTCCCAAGTGGCTGGGACTACAGGCACGCACCATCATGCCCAGCTAATTTTTGTATTTTTAGTAGGGACAGGGTTTCACCATGTTGGCCAGGATGGTCGGGATCTCTTGACCTTGTGATCTGCCCTCCTCGGCCTCCCAAAGTGCTGGGATTACAGGGGGGAGCCACCGCGCCCGGCCTTCATATTTCTTTATATTCTTCACAGAATTAAAGAAAAAAAGAATGTGTAATACGCTTGCTTGATTTAGTGGTTTTTATTTTTGAACATCACATTCTTTGAAAGGCTGACACTTCTTTCTCCCACTTGCTTAATGTGTTGAAATAAATATGGTTCCCCTCCCTCTAAGCATAAAGCTTCATTTAAATGTCATTACAATTTTAAAAACCTAATTGGCACTGGATGTGTCACTCTTTTTCATTACTAATATAAATTAAATGGTTAATGATTCACAGGGATAGTTTTCCTAAATCAGGTGACATTAACATTGCCATTAAATTCTCTTGGTAGAATAATACATGGCCTGAAATGAAGACAAATAATAGATTTTTTTTTAAAGAACTGAAATTATAATGAAGAAGAAGAAAGAAGAAGAGGAGGAAGAGGAGGAGGAAATTACCTCTTTACAGCTTTTAACAAAATTAAAAGCTTGAGTTTGTCGATGAAATAGTTTCCAAATGGAGGGTGGTTCTTCTGGCTTGGACAATCTTGGCCTATACACTGAGGACAGTGGTTTCCTCTCATAATGAGATGCTCGTTCTTCAATTTGCTTCAGTCTTGCTTCCCATTTTCTGTTCATTGGTTCAGAAGTATGGAGAGAATAAATCCTATCCCACGTTATATTTCTATCAATTACTATTAAAACAAACAATAAACAAAAAAAGGCCATTAATTTCTTTGCTTAGAATATATTTTGTTTGATAAAGTTTCCAAACTCATTTCCTGACACTTATTTCCTTGTTTATTCTTTGCATGAGGTTTTACCACAGAACGAGAGCAAGGCTGGTTATCAGAATTCGTAGATCCTGGTTCTTCATTTAATGGTATCAGGACCTTGGACAGGTTAATGAAGCTCTGAATCTTAGTTTAATCAACGGAAAAATGGGAATCAATATCATCTTGAGTACTTCATACACTTACTGTGAAGATAAATGTGATTAAAGACACATGCCAATGTTCTCTAAATTACAAAGCCTCATGTAAATAGATGTACTTTTTGTATCATTATGGGTTTGTTTGTTTTTGAGACAGGGTTTCACCACATTGGTCAGGCCAGTCTTGAACTCTGGACCTCAGGTGATCCACCCGCCTCAGCCTCCCAAAGTGCTGGGATTACAGACGTGAGCCACCACGCCTGGCCCATTTCGGCTTTTATTATAACCACTTTATTGTATATCACGTGCTATGACCTTGTCCACCATTCTTGTGCTATTATTTCTTAGTGTAAAATTCATTTCTAGATACTAATGTAAAGCTCTTAGTTCCCTTTTCCTCTGTTTCTGTCCATTTCACCTCTTCTCTCTCAACACAACTTTTAGTTTAAAATATGAATGCAAATTACAATATTGGCTAGTTTTGGATGTCTGCAGTAATGGATGATTTTTCTTTCTATATAATACCTCCATGTCAGCCATGCCAAAGTCAGGGCCAGGCAATGCTTTTCCAATTGGGATGATAATTCATTTACAAAAGAAGAAGAATAGGTTTTTTTAGAAGAAGAGTGGGGAAGCTTACCCTGCAGATCAAAAACAGCCAAATCAGCCCAAACCCCTCACCATCCTTCCCATGAAGACATGGTACCTAAACTTTCTCTCACACTGACTCTCAGCTTGGCCATATGACTTATCTTGGGCCAACATCACGTTGACAAAAGTGAGGCAAGCAGAAGTTTAACAAGTGCCTTTGCAGCAGACTTGGTTATCCTTGAGTCCTGCCCTGAGATTGCCATGCCATCACTCTAGCCTCGTAGAGGATAAAAGGCCACATGGAAAAGGACAAAGGAATTGCGGCTGACAGCCGGCATAAGCGGTCCAATAGGTGAGTTGGGCCATTCTGGACATACAGCCATCATCTGAATTCAACACTTTAGTAAGCCTGAGTCCCAGAGAAACCTACCAAATTGCCCAGCCAACCTACAGACCTATGAGAAAAAATAAATTTGGTTTTGTCTTTTTCACACCAGTAAGTTTGGGACTGCTTTTGACACAGAAATAGTTCCTCTCTTCATTAATATCATCTTTGTCATAATTTACCTATGTGGAAATAGACATATTAGGGTGTTTTTTAAGTGAAATAATAATATGTACTAAATCATTTAAGGGTAAAATCCTATTTGCCTTTGGTAACATGTTTGTGCTTATTAAGTTGATAAACATTGTCTTGAATTTTAGCAGAAAACTTTGTAGCAACACAAACTTATTGGCAAATGAATACTCCATGGAAGGAAAACCAGAATCTCCCTAAAAGATTAAGAGAGGGTAGGCTGGGCTAAGTGGCTCATGCCTGTAATTCTAGCACTTTGGGAGGCCAGGCCAGGTGGATCACCTGAGGTCAGGAGTTCAAGACCAGCCTGACCAATATAGTAAACCCCATCTCTACTAAAAATATAAAAGTTAGCCGGGCATGGTGGTGGTCACCTGTAGTCCCAATTACTCAGGGGGCTGACACAGGAGAACTGCTTGAACCTGGGAGGCGGAGGTTGCAGTGAGCTAAGATCGCGCCACTGCACTCCAGCCTGGATGAAGAGCAAGACTCTGTCTCAAAAAAAAAAAAAAAAAGGCGGGGCGCGGTGGCTCACGCCTGTAATCCCAGTACTTTGGGAGGCCGAGGCGGGTGGATCACGAGGTCAAGAGATCGAGACCATCCTGGTCAACATGGTGAAACCCCGTCTCTATTAAAAATACAAAAATGAGCTGGGCATGGTGGCGCGTGCCTGTAATCCCAGCTACTCAGGAGGCTGAGGCAGGAGAATTGCTTGAACCCAGGAGGCGGAAGTTGCGGTGAGCCGAGATGGCGCCATTGCACTCCAGCCTGGATAACAAGAGCGAAACTCCGTCTCAAAAAAAAGAGAGAGAGAGAGAGAGAGAGAGAGAGAGAGAGAGAGGATAGAACATCATGACCTTGTTAGAAAAAAAAAGGCGTATTATCCACAGATTTCAAATTTGACATCAATCATAACAGACCTAAGAAAGATTATTCTCTCAGTTATACCTAATCCACATAAAAATTATAAACTAGGAAACAGAAATATAATTCTAAATATATTCATGTATACTTCATAACAGATATGCTTAGGAAAACTATCAATTCACTAGATTGATATGAAGCAGTTTTTTAAAAAACTGCTTCAACTTGTCAATACAAAGTGATATGGCTCCTTACTGCTAGATTCTGAGTATTCCATTACTTTGATCTGCTGCACATGCAGATAAACATCTACTACACTTAGATAAACCTAATTGAGAAACTGGCTTTCTAATACGAAACTAACTTTTAACAAAGTCCATTGATTATTAGTGAAGAAAATAAATCCAGAATGAATCACATCTGCATCCAGCTAGTATCTAACGAGTAACTGACTACGGATGACTATGTGGGTGTTCATACTTACGGACACTGAAATTTTATCAGGAAAAATGGTTTTGATTTTGTAAAAATCTTGGTAGGGCCATGGGAGTATGTCATACATGAACATCATGGAATCACAGTGAAAACCCAGTTTAAGACTCACTGAACTGGGGAAACCAGGAGCGTCAACAGAGGAAGAAAGACAAGTTCAGTATATATCATGCGCCTTCATGTCTACACAGCTTGAAAATTTTAACAGCTGGGTGAGCATCAGAAGACAACTGGGGCTTTGTTTAGACCAGCAGGAGGGTTGAATTACAAAAAGCAAATGAAATGGAGAACAGGAAGGCATCTGGCATTCTGGTTTGAGACTATCGCTTTCCTCATCCCTCCCCTCTGGGGGAATGTGTCACCATATTAGAAATGCTTTTAATTCCCAGTGGTGAAAGAGTGTTGTCTTTTACATAATTGTCTATCAAAGCTCCTTTCCACCCAGGGACTGAATTATTTTTGGTAATAGTTTCCAAGTTCCAAAGGAAAACATTTATTGTATTTTAAAAGATTGGGCTCAAAGAGTTTCTATTATTTACTTCTTAACATTTCACAGTGTTTTTTAACCATGTTTGATTATTAAGCACGTTTGATACCGATTTTTCAACTGAAGGTGGTCGACTAGAAATCTAAAGGCTATGTTAGTCCTTTTCAGGTAACTACAGTGGGAGAAGAGACAACAGGGATGGAAGAGGAGAGATGGCACAGACCTAAGCAGCCCCAGCTGCCCTGCATTTCTGCCCAGACTTGCCCAGCTGGGACACTTGATGGCCTGGATCCCAGGAGAAGCTGAAGGAGGGGCACATGCTTCATGTTTACTGGTTTGGGGAGGACCTGCAGCTGGCCTGACCATGGTTCTTCCTAGCCTAGTCCTCCCAGTTTCTTTTCTTTTCTCTTTTTTTAGAGATGGAGTTTTGCTCTTGTTGCCCAGGCTGGAGTGCAGTGGTGCAGTCTCGGCTCACTGCAACCTTTACCTTCCAGGTTCAAGCGATTCTCCGCTCTCAGCCCCAAGCAGCTGGGATTACAGGCGCCCGTCACCACGCCCAGCTAGTTTTGTATTTTTAGTAGAGACGGGGTTTCATCATATTAGTCAGGCTGATCTCGAATTCCTGACCTCAGGTGATCTTCCTGCCTCAGCCTCCCAAAGTGCTGGGATTACAGGCGTGAGCCACCATGCCCGGCCCTCCCAGTTTCTTTCTCTTTCTCTCTCCTTCTTTCCTTCCTCCCTTCCTTCCCCACTTCCTCTCATCCTTTCCCCCTTCCATCCTTCCTCCCTCCTTTTTTCTTTTTCTTTTTTTCTCGTCACTGGTCAATTCCTCTTCCCCATTCCGACTTCTCTCTCTATCCTGAAATTACATTCATGAGTATTTTGTGTTTTCTACTATTTAGTAATACTTCGGGGTTTTACAGTGTTTTCTTAATATAATCCCTTTTCTAGCCTCTTGGAATGCATTCATGCTAAAGTATTTATTATAAAGTATGTAATCGAAAAGCATTTACAGAAATATTACTCTGTCGGCTCACTTTCTGGATGAAAAACACCTTAAGAAATGAAGGGACCGGATCTTCTTTTTTCTCCCACTTCAGTCACTTTGCTTTTCTATGCTTGAGCAGAAGGAAGTCATTTTAAATTTCCCAAAATTCTCTTGTAAGGGGTAAGAAAACACACAGCGATATATTGTGCTGCTCCAGTTCCTTTCTGCCCTCCCCACAGGCTCTCCCATCCAGACAACGTAACTGCCAGACCAATCGCCCTTAAAACCATTTTCATCAGGGATAATGACTCATAGCAACATTCAACTCACACAGGTAACTAACCTCATGAAATCTAAACTCCCCCCCAAAATCTGGCCCTAAATTATTTACCTATTTCATTTCTTACTCTTCCACCACCTCACCAAATGAACTGACAATGAACTCTCCTTCTCCTGAACCACTCCAGAAACCCCCCGGGCACACATTTCTCTCACCTGGAATGCCCTTCACCTGGAATGCCCCACATCTCCTTTCCCAAATTATTTCCCTTCCAGGCCTAGATCAAGTTGTCACCTCTGCGATACCTCTGTAAAGAGAAATTACTGTGTTTAACCAGAAGACATTGTCTGCTCCAGCCTACTGTTTTGCTGTAATTAATATGTTTGACCCCGAGCAGTGGCTCACGCCTGTAATCCCAGCACCATGGGAGGCCGAGGTGGTTGGATCACCTGAGGTCACAAGTTGGAGACCAGCCTGCCCAACATAGTTAAACCCTATCTCTACTAAAAACGCAAAAATTAGCTGAACATAGTGGCAGGCACCTGTAAGTCCAGCTACTCGGGAGGCCAAGGCAGGAGAATTGCTTGAACCTGGGAGGTGGAGGTTGCAGTGAGCTAAGGTTACGCTACTGCACTCCAGCCTGGGCAACAAGAGGGAAACACCGTTTCAAAAAAAAAAAGGTCTGTAGACTAAATTAGTGTAACTTAAAGAAACCAGAAAATTGCTGCTGATGCTTGCTCATTTTGGGAAGAAAGTTTAGCACAGGAAGGGGTTTGGGCATCGAAATGGGGTAAGGACTAGTTCAACCACACTGGTCCCCAGTAATTTGCAAATTCCTGCCCCGCAGAGCCGCTGTTAGGGTTGGGAGTGGGTCCTATTTCTCAGTTTTACAGAGGCAGAAAAAGGACTGTCAAATATTAGTGTTCGCTCAATTCGGGAGGGATAAAGAAAGGCTTAAGTCTTATTTGTAGGATGTGAGTTTAACGCCTGTGACTCTCTTTTTAACGCCTGTGACTCTCTTTTTAGCAAGAGCAAACTACTCAACAACTCTAAACCCAAGCAGGGACTGGAATTCCTACCCCCAGGGATTGCTGAAAGGACGAAAACAAGCAAATGCATTATGAAAATGTAAGAGCATGCAATAAACTCTCAGCAAGTGGTCACCATGTAAAAAACAGAGTATATGTCTGTGCAGAATACAGTCCCTATACTCGAATAGGCACAAGTGTTAGGAACAGCCTATCCCTGACCTGACTTCAGAATGTCAAGAACCTTTTGAAATCTGATGCAGAATGCCGAGCTCACGTGTGTTGATGAATTCTTCTGCGAAAACAATTCCGTTTGCTTCAGGGTCTAAAATGTGTTCATGACCCAAAATAGGAATGGGGTAAGTAGGGTAGTGTATAGCACACCCCTGACTATTAATAACTAATAACTGTTAATAACTCCATCTTAGGGAAAGACTCATATTTCATAAGGCATTTGCCAACAAGGATACTATATTTCGTTTAATAAATAAAAAAATAGACCGCACCCAACCAGGTAAGGACACGAACAAGCACCCTCTTCTACTATCGGCTCTCACCACAGGACTCTGGCTACAAAAGACGAGGCCTGGCGCGGTGCGGTGGCTTACGCCCCTGATACCAGCACCTTGGGAGGCCAAGGAGGGCGGATCATTTGCGGTTGGGAGTTCGAGACCAGCCTGACCAACAAGGTGAAACCCCGTCTCTACTAAAAATACAAAATCAGCCGGGCCAGGTGGCGCGCGCCTGTAATCCCAGCTGCTCGGGAGGCCGAGGCAGGAGAATCACGTGAACCCGGGAGGCGGAGGTTGCAGTGAGCCGAGATCACGCCACTGCACTCCAGCCTGGGCAACAAGGAGACTCCATCTCAAAAAAAAAAAAAAAGGAAAAGAAAAACACAAAAAGAGGCCTTCGGTAGCTCCAGTCATTTTCAGAAGGACCTCTCGGCCCAATCCAGGCCTCTTTTTCTCTTGTCCTCCCTGGCCTGCTTCGTTCGTCTGTTTGTCCTGGGGTTAAATGCTACTTTGTGTGCTGCGGGAGGCTTACCTTGTGGCACTTCGGTGTAGAGTGTGACCGTCTGCAGCTCTACCTGCAGGGGGAGTGGCTGGAGCCTGCCGGTCCAGGCCGACTACCCAGTGACCAGAAGTGCTGAGAACCGAGTCCGTGGGAACTCCACGCAGCTCGTGGCTTTTGAGATTGAAAGAGCGTCAACAGAAGCCTGGCATGGTGGAAACACACATGCGTGGACCTGCTTATTTCCGGTGACGGGAGGTTAAGGATTCAGGAAGAGGGACCTGGGGGTAACAAGGAAAGGCCTCAGGTCATCGGAGAGAGACATTACCGGTGGGCCTCTCGGCGTGCTCCCGTGCTTCCCGGAGCTCACTGGGCAGCAGGCCTGGCCTCGTCTCCCTTCTAGGTACCCCTTGGGCCCGGCGCAGTTTCCAGGTTTCCCTCAATTTACCTCCAGAATCCCGCGCTGGGAGCAGAAGCCCGCGGGCTCTCAGGAAGACCAGGATTTCAAATCCGGAGCGGGGGCGCCGGGCAGGGCCTTGGGGGCGGGGTCTGGGCGGGGCCTCGGGACGCGACCGGAGCGTGAGGGCGAGGGCGGGGGCGCGGGAGCGGGGTCAGGGCAGGGCGCTTGGGGACCGGCGCTTGGGGGGCGGGGGCGGGGGCGGGGGCGGGAGCGGGGTCAGGGCGGGGCGCTTGGGGACGGGCGCTTGGGGGGCGGGGGAGGGGCGCGGCGCGGGAGCGGGGGCGGGGCGGGGCGCTTGGGGACCGGCGCTTGGGGGGCGGGAGCGGGGTCAGGGCGGGGCGCTTGGGGACGGGCGCTTGGGGACCGGCGCTTGGGGGGCGGGGGCGGGAGCGGGGTCAGGGCGGGGCGCTTGGGGACGGGCGCTTGGGGGGCGGGGGCGGGGCGCGGCGCAGGAGCGGGGCCGGGGCGGGGCGCCGCCAGCTGGCGGGCAGGCGAGGCGGGCTGGCGGGAGCTCGGGGACGCGCCCCAGAGGCGGGAGCTCGGGGACGCGCCCCAGAGGCGGGAGCTCGGGGACGCGCCCCAGAGGCGGGAGCTCGGGGACGCGCGGGGCCGAGAGGGGCGGGCCGGGGGCGGGGCTGTCACTGGGGCTCACGACTCCGGGCAGCGGGCTGCGGAAGCCGAGCGGACGCGGAGCCCGGCGGGTGGCTGTTTCTGTTTGGCGGCTGTGGAAGGTTTGAGGACGTGGTGCGGTGAGTGCCGCCCTCGCCCCGGGCCGTCAGTCCTGCGCCTGCCCCCTGCGTCCTCCCCCTGCGTCCTCCCGGGGACCCGCCCGGCTCGGCAGCTGTGCCGGGAGACTGAGATGGGCACGGTCTGGGTGGCGGAGCCTCTGTTTTGCCACCTCACCCGGGGCGGAGGCGAGCACTGAAGCCCGCGGTGCCGGAGACCTGGCCCGGGGCGGGGGAAGCCAGGCAGCGGGAGGCCGGGCCGGGGATCCGAGGCAGCGGGAGGCCGGGCCGGGGATCCGAGGCAGCGGGAAGCGGGGCCGGGGAACCGAGCCGGGGCCGGGGATGCCAGGCAGCGGGAGGCCGGGCCGGGATGCCAGGCAGCGGGAGGAACCGAGCGCGGGGCCGGGAGGTCGGGCACGAGACACCGAGCTCTGAGCGCAGGAGGCCTAGCGATTGGGCCAGGAGCCGGAGGCCGGGCCAGGCGGCAGGAGAAGGGACAGCGCTACCGCCGGCGGAGGAGTGGCCCGGGAGGCGGCGCTACGAGGGCCGGGGCGGCCGGGTGCGGACTGAGCTACTGGCCCCCGGGGCTCATCCTCCCAGTTTTGGACGAGGGTTCGGTCTCTGCTGCCTTCCATGCCTGGGGCCTGGATTATCCCGGGTTGACTGTGGTTTAGCTCTTCCATGGAGGTAGCTGCGGGGTTGAAACTCCAATTCCTTTTCGGCCCTGCGGAGTTTCGTGAGTGCTCGCAGCTCATACCTGTCGCTGTGTATCCTTGGCCACAGTCGGGTGGTGTCGCCTTGAAATCCCAGGCCGCGAGGAGTTAGCGAGCCCTGCTCATCCTCGGCCTTCTGGGTTTCAATGGGGGTGCTCTGCACCTGCCTCTTTCCCCCATTCTCAGTAAGTGGCACCCAAGCAGGAAGGTAGAAAACATCCTTCTCAGCCCCCTCTCGCCCACCTACTTCTTTCCCACTTAGTCACCAAGCCTTGTCGACCTTGTGAATGCCTGCCAGATCTGTCCACATCTCTCCATTTCTGATTTCAGCCTGACCTCCTTTGCAGGCGGGTCTGGAAGTGGGGAGACCAGGGAAGAGACCTTTGCAGTCTATTTATTTCAGCACAGGCTGAGGGATCTTAGTGAATGAAAGTCTAGAAAGCTCGTGCTTTGCCCTTAAGTTAAACCCAGCAGTTAACATGGCTAACAAACCCCGGCACGTGTTGCGAGCACCCTCCCCGCCTTATCTTTAGCACCGGTTCACTTTCTGCGCAGCAGTGCTGATCTTCATACCCAGCTCTACCTGCGACGCCTCTGCATTCCCTTTCTCCCTCCATCACGTTTGCTCGGAAGTAAGAGCTCCTACTTGGATTTCTGTTTTCATTAGACAGTTCAGGGTTAAATCTTTCTGTAACGTGTTCTTTCTGCAGCCAGCCTTTCCTAGGAGAGATGTGTCATATCCTTTGCAGTTGCTTGTTTACTGTCTTCCCTGCTGCATTTGTAAGCAAACTCCGAGGGACAGACTTGGTTTATCTGGGTGTGCCTTAGTGTCTTTCCCCAAATGTGGGGCATGGCACAGCACCGTGAATGCCCATCCATTTGTGTTTTTACTATTATGCCCTATCTAGAGAAAGTAGACCGGGTTTAGGATTGTTTAGCAAATTATAATTAGAAAAGAAATGGTAGAGGCGACATATGGAGTCGTTGTAACAGTGTAACCCTGCAGGATAGCAGAAGGAGGGCCAGGCAGGGTGCTTAGACCACACTCTATCAAAATGGGCTCAGCCACTGTGAATGTGCATGCTGTGGTGACATGATCTCCGCAAATGAAACGTAAAGCCTAAATCATCTCTATCACAGCCCGATGCTTGAACTCTGGTTTTGCTTTGCCTTTTTGCAAAAGAAGGTTTTTGAAAGTGGAAATGTTTTTTAATGAATGGACGAACAGTTTATTGGAGTATGGCAGTAAAACCTGTTCAAAGAAACGGACATTAGTTAGACATTGTACCTAGGTAAATCAGATTTGCTTTGCTATCCTGAAAAAAGGCCTTGCCTCTTGCCATTTGAAGAGACTGGCATCTGATAGAGGCAATTATAATGCTGCTTTACTGTAGTGCTTTCAAACCTAGTTTAGCACAATCTCCCACTGCTTCATACCCCTACAAAGCAGTCTTTATTGGTGTGGATGATATATTACATTGCTTCTCGTGCCTACTACTGGATCTTTAAGCTCTACCCCAAAAACAGGAAACACTGGTGTTCGGGCCCAAAAAACGATGTGGGAATTCTTAGATTTATGTGATGCTCTTTCTCTGCATGTTGCGTTCTTGCCTTCACATGTTGCCTGTAGAGCTTCTTTGCATTACAATAATGAGATAGAGCTACCTGATATGTAATTGGACACCATCTGGCATCTGCCTTGTTCAGTCACCTTTGAATACCAGCGAGCATTGGTATAAGCGCTGCAGACAAATGGGGTTTGTCTCTTCCACTGCTTGATATGCTCAGGGTCTAGTATAGTACTCTGCACACAGCTGGTGTTCAGTAAATTGTTATGGTCCAAATATCAAATGAATGAATGCTACTGAATCTGACTTTTGGCAGTTTCTATCTTCCAGACAGCAGGATTTATTTCTTCAAGTGGTTTTAAACCTGAATCTGATTCTGCAGGCTAGTGGTTCTTGGTGGGAGTGTTGAGGCTTTAAAGTTATCTATAATTTTTATAAAAAGGCATCCGAGATCCTCCGTTTACACTTATAATCATACAGATTATTCAGATCTGCGAAGGCTTTGCCATTTTCTCCTTTTGGCCATCCAAAAGGACTTCATTTGACAAAGGGAAGACAGATCTTTTGCATATAGTAAGTGCCATTCTTTCTGTCTGGTATCATAGGCTTTTAATAGTGGGGAGTGCTCTATACTGCCTTCCTGGTCACTTGGCCCATGCCAGAGAAAAGGAAAGGATGGTTTATTTGTTTGTATAGTACAGTGGAACTTATTTAGATTTATTCTGTATTTGATTTTGCGTTCCCGTTCTCATATCTTTACCTTAACTACACAATAAATATTAAAAGATTGGCTGCACCAGGCCCAATGACAATAGCCAGTTTGATAATTCTTATATGTACCAAAATGAATTCAGAGACCAGATGGGAAAAGATTTTGATAAAACCTCTGGTACATTACAACTGAAGTCTTTTCATGTCCAAACTGTTGTGAAACAGATGTTCTTTGTTTCATTTGCTAAATCTGGGAATATGACTGCTTTTGAGACTGTCCTCTCTGACAGGTGATAAATATAAGCCCGATATTTTTCAAGTTGTTTGACAAAAGTGTAGTTTCCCCAGAAGTCCTACTGGACAGGCTTCACTTTTCTTGTGGGGAAAAACAAGAGTTACAGGAAATATGTCTTAATGACTTATACTGAAAGCTGAACATAAAAACAGTAATTTAACTTTTATTATTTTTAGAGGCTCAAGTGCGGTGGTGCAATCATAGCTCACTGCAGCCTCCAACTCCTATGCTCAAGCGATCCTCTTGCCTCAGCCTCCTGAGTAGCTCGGACTACAGGTGTATACCACAATGCCAATCTACTTGTTTTTACTTTTTTGTAGAGATGGGGTCTCTCTGTGTTGCCCAGACTGGTCTCAAACACATGACCTCAAGCAGTCGTCCCACCTTTGCCTCCTGAAGTGCTGGGATTACAGGTGTGAGCCACTGTGTCTGGCCTATTTCACTTTAGAAGTAAATTGAATGCCACATGCAAGGTTTGTTAAATTTAAAAAGAAGAAAGAAAGGAAAAATAGAAGTAAACTACCTAGTGGTATCAGAAATGCCATAATCATTTTTGCCATTTTTTTCATTCATTAGAATTCAGTGCATTTTGCTATCTCTGCAGTAACTTTCTATCATATTATTTACGTTTTTTGTCTTATTTAAAGCTTCTGAGATTTTGGGGTTTCCTTCCCTGAAATTAAGCATTATCACTCCTACATAGTACTAAACTGTCTATAGAATAGTCGGAGTCTGCCCTCTTGAGTTGGGAAGATCCTAGTTTGAATCCTGGCTGTGCCACTCTAAAGTTCATTAACTTCTCTTAGCCTCAGTCACCTGACCTCTGCAGTGGGGATCCTGATGCCTCAGAGTGTCATTGGGAGGACTCACGAAAAATAGCTTGTACTTTGAGTTTAGTACCTAGTCTGAATGATCCAGCAGTAAGAGGGACAGTCGTCACACAGCGCTTTACACACACCTCTCCCGTCACATGCAGCACTGTTCTTCCTTTGGCTTCTGTTTTCGTAAATCTTTACTAGTAAATGTTTCTTTTTCTTTCTTTTTTGAAATGGAGTTTCGCACTTGTTACCCAGGCTGGAGTGCAATGGTGCGATCTCGGCTCACCACAACCTCCACCTCCTGGGTTCAGGCAATTCTCCTGCCTCAGCCTCCTGAGTAGCTGGGATTACAGGCATGTGCCACCATGCCCAGCTGATTTTTTGTATTTTTAGTAGAGAGGGGGTTTCACCATGTTGACCAGGATGGTTTCGATCTCTTGACCTCGTGATCCACCCGCCTCGGCCTCCCAAAGTGCTGGGATTACAGGCTTGAGCTACTGGGCCCGGCCCGTAAATGTTTCTTAAAAGCATTTATATTCATGGACCTGATTCAGAAATTAACTGAGTTGGTTTGTAGGTCTCACTTTGAGAATTAAAAACCCTTAGGGCAGAGAGCAGATTTTATTTCTTACCTCAGAGTTTCCCTGTAGGGTAGGAAGCAGCAACAGCCTAATAACCAGTAACAATGAGCTGATTAAGAATCTCTAAACCTGGCAATCCTAATTTAACATCCCCTTCTGAATTCCTACCACACTTTCACACATTCACTCTTTAATAACAGGTTCTTTCAAACTGTTGATGCTTTGTAGCTTAATATAAAACTTTCACTTTAGAAATTAACTTTTATTTCTCTGCCTTAATGCTGTAGATGGTGTGTTCTGCTTTGCTTCATTATTATCATGAGGAGTTGGCTAGCCACCATGTAAATAGGGAGAACATTCCAGTTTTTTACTTGTGTAGGAAAACACAGCTTGAAATGTCTAAATATCTGTTTAGAGTGAAATCAATTTATACTGACACTTTTTAGTGTTTGAAAGCCTGACTTAATAGCGTTGGTGCAAGTGTTAGGGATCCAGGAATCAGCAAAGTGATCCTGAGACCCGAGTCCCAGGTTTCCGTGTAATGTCAGTTGGTCTGCTGAGAACTTTGCCATAAACATGTGTGTTCAGAAATTTCCTTTCTTATCAACAGCGTCCTGAATTGATGAAAATAATTGATTAAGAATTAATTAATCAACCCAGTAGGAAACAGTTTGTGTTAAATCCATTGCTATGCCAGGATACATTTTTTAAACTGCTATTCCCATTTATGTTTTGTCAAATAAAAAGGTTATAAGAACCTAAATTCCTGTTTTCATTTAAGGCAGTGAATATTTCCCTCAGGGTAAGATCTTCTATCCTTAGATGAGCTCACCATCCTCAGAATGATTTGTACTCAGCCGGGCATTAGCTAATGGAGGTGAGGTCATGCTAAGCAGCACTTGAGTTTTGCGGGAACCAAAGCTCTGCTCCTGGGAGTGTGAATTTGGTGCTTTCGTGTGGAAACAGCAGATGATGACAAGCGGATGAGCAAATGTGCACGTGTCTGCTGCTGTAAGGATTTCATTTTCATCATATAAATGTTTAGAATAAACTGATAACTGAGGCAGTACTGTTCAGATAATGATGAAGTTAATGAAGTACACCATAGTATTTGTTCCTGAGAAATTCTTTTCAGATAGACAATATTTTAAATCCTGTTGTAGAAGAATTTGTTTTCTTCTTTCAGCCAATGATTCTCTTACTAAAACAAAATTATTTGTTGTGTCTAACATCAGAAATGACTAATTTATGATTATTTATATTGATTGGTCTCTCTGAATTTTTGGCTTAATTGACTCGATGTATAGAAAGAAAATGACTTTTAAGTAAAGTCACCTAATATTTACAGGAGGTCTTATATTGGTCTGAGCCAAGAAGTAAATATTATAGGACTTTGAAAAGCTGGTCACTATCTAAAGTTTCCATTACCAGTCAAAAGGAGAGAATAATTTTATTCCACAGTTTCATTGCTGGCAAAAGACACAAGTTGATTAAAAATCAGTATTTCAGTATAAGAGTTACTAGACTGTTTTGCAGAAGGATTCAAAAGAGATCTTTAGGGCCGTGGTTGTCTGTGGAAGCTGATCAGCATTTAGGGGTTCCTGAGCACAGACTGTGAACCCTGCATTTGGCAAATGCATTCAGAGAGCCAATTTGAGGCAGACGGGAGGTTAGAAAGGATACTGCCAGGAGCTCCAGGTTCAGCTTCAGAAGCTTTTAAGTCTTTTTATCCCACCTGCCCCCACACATGCATAGCCTCCCCCATTACCAACATCCTGCACCAGAGGGGTAGATTCTTACAGAGGAACCTACAGTGACACATCATCCTCACCCAAACTCCACCGTTCACAATAAAGTTCACTGTTGATGCTGTTTATCCTATGAGTTTGGACAAATTTACATTGACTTGGTATCCACCATTTTAGTGTCACACAGTAGTTTCACTGCCTTAAAAATTCTATGTGCTGGCCAGGCACAGTGGCTCACACCTGTAATCCCAGCACTTTCGGGGGCTGAGGCAGGCAGATCACGAGCTCAGGAGTTGACCTGGCCAACATGGTGAAACCCTATCTCTATTAAAAATACAGAAATTAGCTGGGCCTGGTGGCTGGCGCCTATAATCGTAGCTACTCAGGAGGCTGAGGCAGGAGAATCACTTGAAATCAGAAGGCAGAGGTTGCAGTGAGCCGAGATTGTGCCACTGCACTCCAGCCTGGGCAACAAGACTAAAACTCCATCTCAAAAAAAAAAAAAATTCTCTCTGCTGTCTCCCTCCCTCCTCGCCACTGGCAAACACTGATCTTTACTGTCGCCATAGTTTTGCCTTTTCCCGATCGTCAGATAGTTGGGATCAAACAGTATCCATAGCCTTTTCAGACCGGCTTCTTTCATTCAGTAATAATGCATTTAAAGCGTCCTGCGTGTCTTCTCGTGGCTTTGCTAGCTCATTTGTTTTTAGCGCTGAATAATATTCTGTTCTCTGGATATACCACGGTTTGTTTATTCATTCACCTACTGAAGGATATCTTAGCTGCTTCTAGTTTTGACAGTTATGAATAAAACTGTTATAAACATCTGTGAGCAGGCTTTTGTGTGAACATAAGTTTTCAACTCCTTTGGGTAAATACCAAAGAGCGTATTTACCATATGGCTGGATCATATGGTGAGAATATGTTTAGTTTTGTAGGAAGCTGCCAAACTGTCTTCCAAGTTGGCTGTACCATTTTGGATTTCCACGAGCAGTGATTGAGAATGCCTGCTGCTCCACATCCTCACCAGTACTTGGTGTTGCTGGTGTTCTGCATTTTGGCCATTCTGCTAGGTGTGTAGTGATATCTCATTGCTGCTTTAATTCGCATTTCCCATTATTTGCCATCTATGTATCTTTGATGAGGCCCACTGGATTTTTACTTTAGACTTTCTCTTTTTTTGAGACGAAGTCTTGCTCTGTCTCCCAGGCTGGAGTGCAATGGCGCCATCTCGGCTCACTGCAAACCTTGCCTCCCAGCTTCAAGCAATTCTCCTGCCTCAGCCTCCCAAGTAGCTGGGATTACAGGCGCATACCACCACGCCTAGCTAATTTTTGTGTTTTTAGTAGAGACAGGGTTTCCCAATGTTGGCCAGGCTGGTCTTAAACTTTTGACCTTGTGATCTGCCCACCTCGGCCTCCCAAAGTGCTGGGATGACAGGCCTGAGCCACCGCACCCAGCCTCACTTTAGACTTTCTATAGATTGGCCATGACGTCTTGAAACAAAGATACCGTGGATTATGACGCAGGATCAATAAACGACTGCGAGTTCACCTGTGTTTCCACGCTTGCTGGCCCCCCGTACTCTTCTCTCAGTTAATCAAGTTAACCACGCTTTGTTTCTCAGCCACAGGCAGCTAATTATTTTGGCTGTGGTCTGTGCACTTCGAATTGATGTGCACAGGGCAAGTTGGTCTCTACGACACTTATGATTTAGGGACGTTTGAGATTTCCTTGTATCGAATACATGTTTATTGTACATACGGAAGAAAAAGAGAAAGGCAGAGAGATGGGGACATGGCGCTGAGCATTATATAGGCTAGGAAGGGTGGCTGCTTTGATAGGAGAATACCCCCGTTTTTGTCACTCTTGAAACAGGGCCAGGAGTTGAAGATGACTAGAACAATCCTGACCTTTGTCGACATTATTTTATAAAATAATATTTGTCACTGTTTTTTCACTTTAAAAAATGCAGATGTTGTAGAAAAATTAGCAGATATAGAAGAATGTTAAGGAGTAATAAGTTGTCAGTAATGCCAACACCCAGAGACAGCCACTATTAATAAATATGTTACTATGTAAAGACATACTAATATGTAATATGCACTGAGTGACTAATGGCAGGTCACTTAGTAGCTGTCTGGTATCAACTGTCGTGGTATGGCAATGCTTATGTTCAGTTAACCCTCATTAGTTATTGTTGTTAATCTCTTTCTGCGCCCAATTGATAAACTAAACTTTAACACAGGTATGTATGTATAGGAAAGAACGTACTGTATATGGGGTTCAGTACTGTATTCAGTTTCAAGCATCCACTGGCGGGCTTGGGAGGTACCCTCCCACCCCCATCCCACAGGTATGCTACCGTATAATTCTTCTATCTAAAGAAAGGGCTTCTGGAAGATAGGAACTTTGTCTTGTCTTCCACTCTATCGCATTTCCCAGGAGAACATCTGGCACAAAGAATTTGCCTCCTGACGAACTAAAAGACGATTTATAACAGTTGTACTCACATCTTCCCTTGGTTTTCCAGAAAGCCTACAGGAAGTGAGACGGTAGAAAAGCAGTCTTCATAGAAATGTGGAACATAGACTGGCTATTGGACAAGGTCCAACACCACCCTCTCCTGTGGTTAAATGGAGGTGATGACACTGGGTCTCCTCTGTTTAATTTCTTCACCTTTCCCCAGCACGGGTGCACACAAAACTCGGGGAAGGGGAGAAAGGAGCTTAGCTTTACCTTAATAGAAGGGAAGAAATGTTTTCCAAGTGACCTTGAAAGTGGGGACCTTGGTACAGTTTAGGAAGATAAAAAAGTTCCGTGATGCATTCCAACGATCTGACTGCACTCAATGCCACTGAAGTGTACACTCAAAAATGGTGACTTTTATGTATATTTTACCACAGTTTTAAAGATTAAAACTCAAAAATGGTGACTTTTATGTATATTTTACCACAGTTTTAAAGATTAAAACTTAAAAAGTGGGGGAAGTCACCTAGGACTTTCTAGAAGGGCTTTTGTGGGTGAGCAATTCTGTTGTAGGGTTGTGTGTTATTTTGGTGTTTCTGACTGTATCATAGGAGTGAGGTGAAAGCTGTATTTGGACAGGAATATTTGACATTGCCAAGGTTTCTAGAGTCTGGAGAAGGTCAGTCAAGATTTTTTGTTTTTTTTTTCTGTTTTGCCTTTGTTCTTGTTTTTCTCTGTTTAGGGAGGTGGATTGCCATGGAAAGTACCTTTGCTTCTGAAAGCCAGAGACTAGCTGGTAGAACTATAGAAAAGTAGTAAGGAGCTGGCTTCTTCAGAGGCAGCATAGCAGAGTGGGAAGAGGGCCCTGTCACTTAGATTGTGACTATCGACGAAGTCACTTACCCACCAGGGTTGGGTTTCCTGACTTTTAGAATTTTGAAAAGATTAAAAATGAATGCCTTGCAAAGTACCTGGTAAATATGAAGGGCTCAGTAAGTGGCAGTTGCTTTGCTTATGAGAACGGGTTCACCTTGTGAGATATAACTGTGTGATGGAGAATGAAAGCAGGAACTGTAGTCTTTACTTTAAGGTTTCCTGGGCCATTTTACTACCCTAAATGAGAAGCTTTGCTTCCAAAATCCAGTTTAAGAATAAAAACTAAGCTGGACGTGGTGGCTCTTGCCTTCATCCTAGCCCTTTAGGAGCCCTGGTTGGACGGATTGCTTGAAGCCAGGAGTTCAAGACCAGCCTGGGCAACACGGCAAGACCCTACGTCTACAAAAAATACAAAAATTAGCTGGACATGGTGGTGCACGCCTGTAATCCCAGCTACTCGGGAGGCTGAAGCAGGAGAATTTGAGTCCAGGAGGTCGAAGCTCATTGTGTCACTGCCCTCCTGCCTGGGTGACAGAGTGATACCCTGTCTCAAAATGAAAAAAAAAAAACAAAGAATAAGGATTAATGGAGATTTGGAACATCTTGATACTGTATCTTGGGAATCTAAGCATTGTAGAATTGTATGGTGTGAGTTGTACCATTGTGGTGGGAAGTTTTTTATTTTTGGTAACTGCGTTGAGTTGCAATTCCTAGAAATGACCCAATGTGTTGTCTTACAAAAGAAATAAACTGTAATCTATATCTTGATCTGATACAGATATATAAATATAAAACATCTAGATGTACACTTTCTATCTATATGCTTTATGTAACTCACTATATATAATTTACAGCTCAGTTGGAAAGAGAGAGGCTAAATTGTATGTACCATTGCAAAAACATCACTATCCCCAGAACTGACTCACAGAAACCTTTAACAGTAGACGTGAAAATGAGGTATTAATTTGGAAAATAATCATGGAGATAATTAAGATAATACAGTGGTTCTGTGACTGATTTTTTTTATTAACTTCTATTTTCTTTATATTCTAGTTAATAAAGGTATCCATGGAGAACACTGAAAACTCAGTGGATTCAAAATCCATTAAAAATTCGGAACTGTGAGTATTTCAGTGGGATTCTTCATAGTCAGAGAAAGATGGGGGTTTGTAGAACAGCAAACCTTGAGGAATGGGACACTCAGAACGAGAGTGGTCTCTGTTTCAGGCCGGAGAGACCAAGCCGACGTCCTGCCTCAGATAGCTGTGTGGCTTTGCATAAACTCACTTTTCTTTTCTCAACCTCATCTTTAAAATGGAGCTAAAACTTTCAAAAAACTGAAGGGAAGATGAAAGGAAAGGCCTATTACCGTGGTCAGAAACATGGTTCTGGAACCAGAAGGATACCACAGGAGAGGCAGAACTCCCAAGTCTGGGTGCTTTCTCCCCTCCCAAATCACTCCATAGGATTAGGATTAGAGGTTTTGGGTTTGGGAAGAGTTTTTTGACCTCTTGTTTATGAGTTTTTAAGACTAAAATGCAATGCTAATTTTCAGTTCCGGGAGGAATTGCCTAGTTATGGATGAATTTTACCCTTTTTTTCCTTTGTCTTTTTGGAATATTCTGCTTAAATGCTTCCAATAACTAGCAGATGGAAAAAGATAAAACTCAAATTCTCTTTAATTCATGTTTGTTATTATTTATTTGGGCACTCTTATGATACTTTAAATTCTGAAAGTTTATTTCTGAAACCCAGTATTATTATTCTCGGCTGCCCTTGAAATTACAAACTAATTTTATTACTAAACAACATTATTACAGAAACACTATTAACAAGTTACCAGTAAAGATTCACAATTTTTGTTTAGCAAAGGAATTTTTCTAGAAAGAAAACTTTTGAAATGCAATCCCATTTTAGAAAGTCGTTATCTTGATTTAAATCATTTTAGCCAGTGTAGGGGCTTGCTCCTATAATCCCAGCTACTTGGGAGATGTGGCAGGAAGATCATTTGAGGTGAGAGTTTGAAACCAACCAGGGCAACATAATGAGACCCTGTCTCTAAAAAAATAAAAACAATTAGTCCACCGTAGTGCGTGCGCTTATAGGCCGTCGTAGCTATGCACCAGAGGTTATAGTGAACTATAATTGCACCACTGCACTCTAGCCTGGGCAACAGAGTAAGACCCTGTCTCTTTTTTTAAAAAGTCCTTTATTTTTTTGGAGACGGAGTTTCGCTCTTGTTGCCCAGGCTGGAGTGCAATGGCACAATCTCGGCTCACCGCAACCTCCGCCTCCTGGGTTCAGGCAATTCTCCTGTCTCAGCCTCCTGAGTAGCTGGGATTACAGGCACGCGCCACCATACCCAGCTAATTTTTTATATTTTTAGTAGAGACGGGGTTTCCCATGTTGACCAGGATGGTCTCGATCTCTTGACCTCTTGATCCACCCGCCTTGGCCTCCCAAAGTGCTGGGATTACAGGCATGAACCACCCTGCCTAGCACTACCTTTTCATGTCATACAGAACATCACTTCAATAACAAGTTATGAGAGAGCCCCAGATAGGTTAGGGTTGTTTTGATCCTGTGACAAGTTGCCCTCGGCAGTCCCGGCTTTTTGAGCCAGTGCCTTTATCAGGAGCATCTCCTCTTGGACTAGCTACCATGTGCTTGTAAAGTACCGAGTAGGAAACGGGTGTCAGGATCTGGGAATCATAGTTCCATGATCCATTATCTGTGTGACTTAAAGGTCAAGTCACACTTTCAGGATTTAAATTTAATCTGTAAATGTGAGGCTCTTCACCTCTAGTTAAAAATAATAACTCTTTCCTAAACTTGACTCTTTTAATTTACTACATTTAATCTTTTTCCAAGAGTATTTTTAGAATTGTGTATAATGGAGATACTCTACGGTTAAGTGCATGGGTATATGGACTGTAAGGATTAGTATTTGGCTGTTCCTAGACCTGTTTTTTCCTGACTCTTGGTCTAGATCAGGGATCAAGCTTGAGGCCTGCTTTTATCAAGTTTTATTGGAATATAGGCACACCCATTCCCTTACATATTGTCCTAGGTCAGTTTCACCAGCAGAATTGTATAGCTATGGCCAGGTACAGTGGCTCACAACTGTAATCTCAGCACTTTGGGAGGCCAAGGCAGGAGGATCACTTGAGGCCAAGAGTTCAAGACCAGCCTGGGCAATGTAGCGGGATCCTGTTTCTACAAAAATAAAATACAGAAATTAGCTGGGCATGGTGGGGACTGCCTGTCTGTAGTCCTAGCTACTTGAAACTCTGAGGAAGGGAAGAGTTCAAGGCTGCAGTGAGCTATGATGGCACCACTGCACTCCAGCGAGGGCGACAGAGCTACACCATGTCTCAGGAAAAAAAGAAAATAGAATTTAGTAGCTATAACAGAGACCAGATGGCCCACAAGCCTAAAATACTTAATATTTAACCCATTTAAAAAAAAGTTTACTGGCCGGGCACAATGGCTAACGTCTGTAATCCCAGCACTTTGGTAATCCGAGCTGGGCAGATCACAAGGTCAGGAGTTCATGACCAGACTGGCCAACATGGTGAAACTCCATCTCTACTAAAAAATACAAAAATTAGCCAGGCATGGTAGCTCATACCTGTAATCCCAGCTCCTTGGGAGGCTGAGATAGAAGATTTGCTTGAACTGGACACGTGAGGTGGAGGTTGCAGTGAGCCGAGATCACGCCACCACACTCCAGCCTGTGCTTCAGAGTGAGACTCCATCTCAAAAAAAAAGTTTACTGCCCCCCTTATCTAGATAGCAGAGGTTCTTCTTAGATAAGTGACTTACAGATATTTTCAATTATTTACAATAATGTTTTTATATATTAATAAATGACTAATTTGTTTAGCTCATGGGATTTAAGAAACTATTGTGATAAATATGGTGCTTTGAGTTATATTTACATTTTGTTGATTTCCCATCATTTCAGGGTAACTTTTAAGATTTTACTCTTACCTCCAAGAATAAAATATTTCACAAATTGATAAGTAATTTTTAAATTATAAAGGTATTTGGTGAAATTTTTAAGAATTTAGAGGAAAATGTAAAACATGGAAGCTAAAAGCCTGAACTCGGAAGTCCAGCAGATACTTCCCTTCCTTCTTGGCTGTGGCACAATCTTGGCACATTTCTTAGCCTCATGGCAGGTCATTTGCTCATGTGGAACATGTGTTGATGTGAAATTGTAATGGAGACAGTCTGGTTTATAGCACTCAACAAGTGTTCACTGTTACTGTGAGTTATAGAAATTGCACTAATGTAAACAGAAAGCATGGTCATTTCTACCTTTGTAAAGCTATTATTTGATTTTTAAACAGAAAGATCATACATGGAAGCAAATCAGTGGACTCTGGTATATCCCTGGACAGCAGTTATAAAATGGATTATCCTGAAATGGGTTTATGTCTAATAATTAATAATAAGAACTTTCATAAAAGCACTGGTATGTATCTTACATTATGTTTAATCTTTTTTAAATATTTGTGCCATTTACATTTGCTATAATATTGAAAGCAGTATTGCGGTATTATTAGTCATTAAACTATGACACAGACTAGCTGTGAAGTAGAGACCGGGCAGCACGCTCAGGCCGTGTGATGCACTGTGACACTGTGAACTGTCTCCTCTCCCGTCAGCTGGTTTCCTGTCTGTATGCTTCTTCTGTCCTGACTTCTCCACAGTCTTTGCTGCTTTTTCGCCTTTCTGCTCCCTCTTTGATTCCAACGGAAGGTTTTCAAAAAACAGTTGAGTAGTAGTATTTATTTTTTCCCCAGAAATTTCAAGACATATCACAAGCATTGCCTTCTTTAATTGTATGACAACCGGAAAGAAACAATTCCATTCTGAGAGGTTTTTAAACCTTGCACAGTCAGAGCAGGTAGCCTGGTGGCAGAGCTCAGTCTGCGTCACTCCAAAGCCCGAGCTCTGAATGCATCTCCTGTTCTGCTTCACCTCCTTGTATCTTCATGGGCTCTATTGCCTGTCTTCTCTTACCCTACGAAGCTGACAGAGATTGCCCATCTTAGAAAGATCTTTCTTTTATCCTGTTCCTTTTAATTCCTTTGATATTTATCTTCTTCCCTTCTTGCTTAAATTTTGAAAACATGTAGTTTAAGCTTGTACTCTTCACTTGTTCCAGTCCTTCTAGAGTCTTTTTCTATTTTGTCTCTACCACTGACCTGCTCTCTTTAAACATACCATGGCCTGACCACCAGATAGAGCCCCCTCTTGGTTTCTGTACTCGAATGTGGTACTACATTTGAGAATTATATATTTTTTAGAAATATAGATAATAAAATCCTTCACAATGCCAAAAAAGCTAATTAACATTTGGTGTATTGATATTTTTACTTGACAGTTTTTTTAAAGCTTGATTTTATTTATAACATGTAAGCAATGTTGTATTCTGCTTGTTTCACTTAAAGTAATAGCATTTTTTATATTGCTGCATAATTTTTATATCTGTTATAACGATTATATAATACCGCATCCCCAAAATACACCATTCACTTAATTTGCATAACTTACTATATAAATGACCCTTATGGCTGTTTCCCTTTTAAATTGATGCCGTGACAATTCTTTGAATTGGCATATTAATCATATTAGAGTTAATTTTTAGTTAGAGAAGCTATAGTAGATCTAATTTAGGACAGTACCTTTCAGAGTCGTGGTGGAAATGAAAGGAAGCCAGATTACACTGGGAAGACAGCAGGGCCTGTGTCAGGTTAGTTGTAAGGAGTGATGAGATAATGGAGCTCTAAATGGAACTTGTATTGCTTTCGGCTACAAGTTGAGATGCCGCCTTCAACCGCAAACTTAAAAAACACAACACCTTGTTTACTTTTGCTTTATACATATGTGAAAATTTAGTTCTAGATAATTCTGCCTTACGTTTATCTAGTTAGGATACCTTCTTCCTGTAGAATTTCGCATTTGGATCCATTGTTTAAAAAACCAAAAACAGGCATATCATTTCTCTACCACCACCACCTCCCCCACGTATTTAGACCAGCAATCTGGGTTTTGCCCTCAGTGAGTTCCTTTCCTAGTTTGCAATGTAAAGTCAGGTTCTCATGAGATCTCTGGCAGGCTGGGATTGGGCCAGGTACCATAGCTCATGCCTGTAATCCCAACATTTTGGGAGGCCAAGGCTGGAGGATCCTTGAGCACCAAAGTCCAAGATCAGTCTGAGCAACACAGGGAAATCCCATCTCTACAAAAAATAGAAAAATCTTAGCAGGGTGTGGTAGTGCGCAACTGTGATCCCGACTACTCGGGAGGCTGAGGTGGGAAGACAGCTTGGATCCGGGAGGTCGAGGCTGCAGTGAACTGTACTCTGGCCCACAGAGCATGACCATGTCTAAAAAACAAAAAAAGTTTTTAAAAAGGCAGCCAACACACCAGCACCAGAAGCCAGTGACCTTGTCACACAGCTGAGATAATCAACAACATTTTGGAGATGTGTATAGACTTTTTGTATCTAGTCTTCATACACCTCAAATTTACTCAATTCTGAGGTGTGTTTCCCACCAACATTTCAGCGTTTTGAAGTCTCAGTGCGTCATGCAGTCAATCTGTACATGAATGTGGAAGGTTCTTTAAAGGAGTGGTAGGAAGGCCAGGAGCCCTGGATAGAGGCCCAGCACCACTCTGTCACTCTGGGCTAGTTTGTTAACTTTACTGCATGTCCCACATCTGCACACGTGAAACCGGTAATCATACAGCTCTTACGGTGACGGGAAGGATTAAAGATTACCCACTGCAGAATATCTGATGAGCAGTAACAACGTTTGGGGGTTTTCCTTGAAGACACTGTGAATGTTATAATGCTATCTCCAAACCGTTGGGAAGCTAGAGTCAGAAACGCAGTTCTTCTGAGTGTGATAGATAAATGTATGTATTATAGGATCGTATTGTTTTCTAGTTTTATTTTTTTAAACAATGATGATTTCCCCATGGCAAAATTTTATGTTTGAAAATGACAACATAGTATATCGCATTATATAAGTGAGTATAATGTGTCTAACCAAACCCCTATTGTTAGACATGTACGTTGTTTCTGTTTTTTACTACCTAAACAGCTATGAAAGATATCTTGGCTATAACACTAATAAGGTTATGGTTTCAAGTGTCTTACTACAAAATTGAAGAGATTTTATGTCACCATGATCAAAATAGTTAGAATTCTCTTTCATTTGAAAGGAAGAATTTATTGTGGACTTTTGAATTGCTGAGTAGCTCATTTCATGTCAAAGTAGTTATTCTTTGTTTTCAGTATAATTAAAAGCGCTTCTTTCTGTTCCAAGGAATGGCATCTCGGTCTGGTACAGATGTGGATGCAGCAAACCTCAGGGAAACTTTCATGAACTTGAAATATGAAGTCAGGAATAAAAACGATCTCACACGCGAAGAGATTGTGGAACTGATGCGTAATGGTAGGAAACAAGGGTGAACTTCTAAAATATGAGAATTGTGGAATTATATGATACATAATTCTAATCTTACCTATTTTAGTAAGAAGTTTTAAAAAAGTTACTTATGCCCACTTCCTAAAATAGTTTCAGATACGTTGCTGAGCCCAGGTTCGGTTAAGATGATCTCTTAGTTTTACTCTGTCTCTTCATCATGTTCCCATACAGTATATCTGAAGTTGTTGAATGAAGTCATGGATTTTTTTCCTTTTATGTGCAAATGTCTTTTCAGTTTCTAAAGAAGATCACAGCAAAAGGAGCAGTTTCGTTTGTGTGCTTCTGAGCCATGGTGAAGAAGGAATAATTTTTGGAACCAATGGACCTGTTGACCTGAAAAAAATAACAAGCTTTTTCAGAGGGGATTGTTGTAGAAGTCTAACTGGAAAACCCAAACTTTTCATTATTCAGGTAACGTAACTGAGTGATTTGGTGATTGAAGATTAATCAGGGGCTAATTTTCTCAATTGTAAATTAGCCAAAGGATGTGTGGTTTTTTTCCTGAAGCTAAGAAACTATCGTTACTTTTCATTTACTTAAACTACCACTTAAAAGATACGGAGTAAATTTTAATTTTATACTTACATATCAAAAAGACAACATAATTAACATCCATTTTTACATAGTGTTTCAATTTCTTAGAAATAAGTTATATGTGCACACACAAATTTTTATAATAAATATTTATTTTCTAATGCCCAGGCCTGCCGTGGCACAGAACTGGACTGTGGCATTGAGACGGACAGCGGTGTTGATGATGACATGGCGTGTCATAAAATACCAGTGGAGGCCGACTTCTTGTATGCATACTCCACAGCACCTGGTGAGAACCTTGCACATAATGAATGTTACATGTGGATTTCAAATGAATTTTACTGTGACTAATCATAAAATTATACAGTGAAGAGTGTGTTTCAGAGACTGTCAAGATTTTGATATCCCTAAAGATACAAACTTGTCTATATTTTAGGGTACCTTCATCAAAGAGAAGTCTCCAAAAGTTGTCTTTAGCCAAAAGTTTGGCTAGAAAATATGCATAAATAGCTGGGTGCAGTGGCTCATGCCTGTAATTCTACTGCTTTGGGAGGCCAAGGCGGGTGGATCACTTGAGGTCAAGAGTTCAAAACCAGCCTGACCAACAATGTGAAACCCTGTCTCTACTAATAATATAAAAAATGTAGCAGAGTGTGGTGGCGCGTGCCTGTAATCCCAGCTACTCGGGAGGCTGAGGCAGGAGAAACACTTGAACCTGGGAGGTAGAGGTTGCAGTGAGCCAACATCGTGCCACTGCACTCCAGCCTGGGTGACAGAGCGAGGCTCCTTCTCAAAAAAGAAAAGAAAATATGCATACATAGAGTAGACTAGAGCAATGTCATTCATTGGACTTTTTACCAGGTAGAATATTACATGGCAACAGAGGCCAAAACAGAGCTTCCCTGCATTTTAAAGAAGAAGAGAAGTATGTTTCTCAGGAATTATTTGAAAGGTAGTAAATAAAAAAGATAAACATGACTAGTATATGAGAGGATAGATGTGGAGTGGGAGATAACAAAGAAGGTAAGAAATGACATATGAATATGCTGCTAATCTCCACTGTTTACAGTTCTGCTGTACCTGTCGTCATCTAAAGAAATATTTGTTGAGGGCCAGGCGCAGGGGCTCAAGCCTGTAATCCCAGCACTTTGGGAGGCTGAGGCGGGTGGATCAAGAGGTCAAGAGATCGAGGCCATCCTGGTCAACATGGTGAAACCCCGTCTCTACTAAAAATACAAAAAAAATGAGCTGGGCATGGTAGCGCGTGCCTGTAATCCCAGCTACTCGGGAGGCTGAGGCAGGAGAATTGCCTGAACCCAGGAGGCGGAGGTTGCAGTGAGCCGAGATCGCGCCATTGCACTCCAGCCTGGGTAACAAGAGCGAAACTCCTCAAAAAAAAAGAAATATTTGTTGATTATGCCACCATTTACTTATACAACTACTCAGGGTGCCAGAGGGCGTGACACCTGAAGGAAATGGGAAATGTTTTGTTTTGTTTTGTTTTCTGAAACGGAGTTTTGCTCTTCTTGCCCTGGCCGGAGTGCAATGCCGCTATCTCATATCACTGCAACCTCTGCCTCCTGGGTTCAAGCAATTCTCCTGCCTCAGCCTCCTTACTAACTGGGATTACAGGCATGTGCCACCACACCTGGCTAATTTTGTATTTTTAGTAGAGGTGGGGTTTTTCCATGTTGGTCAGGCTGGTCTCGAACTTCTGACCTAAGGTGATCTGCTTGCCTCGGCCTTCCAAAGTGCTGGGATTACAGGCATGAGCCACCGTGCCCAGCCAACTAAATGTATTTTTATGCAGTGTCGCATTTTAATATGTGCACAGTGTGGTTTCCTCTATCCCCTAGGCCTCTTCCTCAGCAAAGTACCTCTAAGTTAAAAGCAATGGGTCCAACAGTTAACCTGAAAAAGAAAAGTATGATAAATACACTCTTTTCCCTTTTTGGACCTTTGGAATATGTGTATTATACTTTATTCAGATGCTCTGTAGACAAATAGGACACTCAAAGCAATTTATTTCTTGGCTAAGTCAGTATTAAAATCAGGTGAAATGTGATCGGAACACTGTTACTTATAATCCTCTTTATAGAGCTCCACGTTTGCCTCTTATCTGTTGCGTGTTTGCTGTTCTTGCCTATTGAAAGGGGAGTCCAGAATGTAAAACTTGCAATAATTCAGTGTTCGTGAAGCTAGTCTGCAGTCCCTTTCTTTGCCAAAAGCAGGGGTGTGAGTGTGTGCATAGCACACGTTCTTCCTTCTTCCACATCATTGCTTCTGAAACCAAAGGTGTCTTTTTTCTTTGTATTGTTAATGAGTTTGTGCTTATTTTTGCCTTTTTTGACTACGTAATAATTTATAGAATCAACTACAATCAACTATCCATGGTATTTTGGTTGTATTTTGCCTTGTAGGTTATTATTCCTGGCGAAATTCAAGGGACGGCTCCTGGTTCATCCAGTCGCTTTGTGCCATGCTGAAGCTGTATGCCAACAAGCTTGAGTTCATGCACATCCTGACCCGGGTTAACCGAAAGGTGGCAACAGAATTTGAGTCCTCTTCCTTTGATGCTACTTTTCATGCAAAGAAACAGATTCCATGTATTGTTTCCATGCTCACGAAAGAACTGTATTTTTATCAGTAAAGAAATGGTTGGCTGGTGCTTTTTTTTAGTTTGTATGACAAGTGAGAAGACAGTATACCTGCTGCTGTCTTCCTCTCTCATTTTAACCTGCTCTCATGCTGCAGAGGGTACTTTGAGACATACTCCTTCCATCAGGTAGATCCACTATGAAGCTACCTCAAACGTACAATCAGGTAGTTGCAACTGAATTGAATTAGAAGTAAATAAAAATGGATACCGGTGCAGTCAATATGAAAGGCAATGGTTGTTGATTTGTAGCTTCCATGACTAGCAAGTTATAGTGATGCTATGCTACGCATTTTCAAGGAATTGTGAAGAAGTAATTGAAGTCATGAATTTTTAGGATATTCCTCCCACTTAAGACTGTGTAATCTGGTTTTGTCACACTGTAGAAATGATGTGGAAGAACTTAGTCATCTGTGGGCGTGCTCAAAAGCGCGAACTTTTCTTTAGAATTGATATGCAAATGTGAGTCAACTGCCTTTTTAAACCATTTACCTGGGATAATGGTTTTGTAATTTTTGTCCTAAACACCTTTGTTGTAAAAAAAAATTAATAATGCTGTTTAATATTGAGAAAGACACTAAGTATTTTATGTGAGAGAAAGTGTGAGGAAGCTAGGTTGACTCTCAAGGCTAAAACATAACATTTGTAGGGGTGGAGTTTTAACTGTGAGGTGCTACAATGCAGCTGATCCACCAGCAGAAATACCTTCTGATTTGTCCCTACGCAAATCAGTTGAGCTTCACATACCAGCAATAGATCTGAAGAGCTATTGTATAAGAACCCCAAACTGTTGATTACCAGCCTGATCATGTGAATAAATTATATAGGAACATATGAAAATACAGCTTACATAATAAAAAGTAGAATGTGAGGAAAGCAATCAATGCATGGGATGAGCTGTCTGTAACGTGAGAGCAGATGGTTTGAGCCTGAGCGGAGACACAGCACAGCCTGTTCCATGCAGGCAGAACCATAGACCATGGTTTCAGGAAGGGCCTGCAGCTCGCTTCTTAATACACTGGTGTGTCTGGAAGTTGCCGCCAGGGCCCCACTGCCAAGTAAGAAAGTGAACCAAATCAGAAACTTCTGAAATGGAAATGTAAAGGTGGTGAGTCACAATAAAACTCTTAGCACTCTTTGTAGTAAAATTCTTAAGCATGTTATATTCTGTTGATGTTTACAATCAAAGGAAAATAGTAATGTTTTATACTGTTTACTGAAAGAAAACGACAGTGGCATATAGGACTCTAGATGGCTTCCAGCCAGAGGCCAGAGCTGCGCACCCAGCCCGGGAGGCAGACTCTAGGCCTCCCCACTCAGCAGGTGCTGAGCCCTCACTACACCGAGTCTCACCTGCTTTCAGTCTGACATTTCACAGGAGATTTCTTGTTGCTCAAAAAATGAATTCGCATTTGTTAATGACAGGGTTTTTTTTTTAACTAAATTTGTAACTTTTGTAAATACACGTAGCAGGTAATGATATCTTAAAGTGTTTTCCTGTGTGACAACTTTGTACAAATTTTCCTTTTTTTTCAAAATATAGATTCAAACTTAAAATAACCGATGTGTTTTGAGTTTTTTGTTCTGTTGTTTTTGATGTTGTGCTACTAGTTGGAAATTAAAGTGTTTTTCACCAGAAGCTTGATCTGGAAGAGTCAAAGAGGAGGCACCAGAACCCTTGCCGGGTGTTTTGAGGAGGCAGCAGTGACTGAACGGGGCAGACAGATCCCTAATGCTTCCCAGGTCCTCACAGAAGGTCCTGACCCTGAAATGACCACAGTGCCAGGAAGATACTTTGTGTCCATACATCTCAGGCCTTAAATGTGACCATATTTGTGAATTTGAAACTTCTTCAAGGAGGTATATTTTAAATGTGTCTAATGGGAAGAGCAGCCTAAGGAGATACGCAGCAAGCGGTTGATTTTTACTGATGGCCTCCTCTGGGCACCGGGAGTTTGACAGAGGAATCTGCTGTCTTTTTACTTCATATGCTTAGAAAAGGAATATAGGAAAGTGGGGTTGTGGGTAGTTGTAAATTTCTTCCAGTATTTCCATAAGGAGCATATATTACTTTTAAATCAGAAACAAAATTGTCCTAATTAGGAAAAGGGACCTCATTTCCGAGGAATCAAGAGTGGCATGAATGAGTTCTTTAAGCCCGTAAGAAAGCAGTGGTTCTATAAAGCATTGAGGAAAATCTGGCTTATTCTTGTCTCCTTGCTACGTAAAGCAGTGTCATACTACAAAGGAAAAGACCAGCAACCCAACAGGAAAATGAGCCAAGGACATGAACAGACAGTTCACAGAAAAAGAAAATCCAAGGCCAGGCGCGGTGGCTCAAGCCTGTAATCCCAGCACTTTGGGAGGCCGAGGCGAGTGGATCACGAGGTCAAGAGATCGAGACCATCCTGGTCAACATGGTGAAATCCTGTCTCTACTTAAAAATACAAAAAATTAGCTGGGCATGGTGGCGTGTGCCTGTAATCCCAGCTACTCAGGAGGCTGAGGCAGGAGAATTGCCTGAACCCAGGAGGCTGAGGTTATGGTGAGCTGAGATCACACCATCACACTCCAGCCTGGGTAACAAGAGTGAAACTCCGTCTCAAAAAAAAAAAGGAAAATCCAAATGTCCCTGAAATTCAATAAGGAGCTTGATCTGCATCATAATAGGAGAAATGCACATTAAGGTATCATCTGTCGTCTGTCAGACAGGCAGAAACCCCAGTTTGGGAACATACTCTGTTGGCAAGATGTGGGAAATGTATCCTCTCCCACTGGTGGAAGTGCAATGTGGTGAAATTCCCTATGGAGGGAATCTGACAATACCTATGAAATTATTTGTTCTTTGAAGTAGCAGTCCCATTTCTTAGAATCCAGCCTACCCATACATCTATGTGTGTACAAAATTACATACGAGCTTTTCATCACAACATTGTTTCGGTGTTAGAAAATGACAGCAACTCAACTGTGAAGGAGACAGGTTAAATACACTGCAGCTTCCACACAAGAGAAAGTTGGAGCTGGAGGGGAAGGTGAGTTAAAAGATTTGGGGTTTTTAAGTGAGAAAGATTTGAGGAGGTTTAATGCTGATGGTGGGTATCCAGTTAAGAGAAAGACTGAAGACACTAGAGGCAAAGGTAACTGACAGTGTAAGGTTCCTAAGAGCCCCAGGCAGTAAATCCGAGCATAGCCGGGGGTGGGGTGTGAAGAGGCAAAGAAACTTTTTTTTTTTTTTTTTTTTTTAAATGGGAAAGTATGAGAGGGTGGGTGTGAATGAACTTAAATTTGTAGTTTTTGTGGCAGGAAGTTCCCTTACTGTAACTTCTACATTTTCTGTGAAGCAGAAGACAAGAACTCTGTTAAAAGTTAGGGAAATGATAGTGAGATCGAGGGCTAGAAGAGGCTTGAAACAATCATTGTCAGGAGTGGGAGTTGACCAGAAATTAGAAAGGTCGCTGGGCCATGTGTAGGTGCCCAGTTGAAACCAACCATTAGCAATGTGCAGTGTTCCAGGCTGCGCTGCTGTGTGAATCTACCCAGTAACACTTTGGGCTTTTGCCCACATTTATTTTAAAAAGGCAGAGGAGGCACACATTTTGGGGTACTGCAAAATAACTTTCTGAATTGGTAAACTCAGACTCTAAGCTGGGGAGACAGAAATGAAAAGGGACTAATAGGGAATAAGACGTGTGATCCATGGCCTGAGGCCCTGATGGACGTGAAGATCCGCTGTTGTGGGAGGACTGGAACACCAGCACTGAATGATGGAGGCTGTGGTCAGAAACAGGTTGTCTGAGTTGGAGGGGCCACAAATCTGGTCATGAAAATGGTGAGACTAAGAAGAATGAAGTGGCATGCAAGAGACCATTGTGGAAATGTGGAACTAAGGGCGAGGATGTTGGGTGTGTGCTCTGCTGTATGAACACTGATCTCATGCTAAAATGAGCTTCACTATGTGGGAACAGAGTAATAAGATAACTTAGTTGTGTTTACAAACTTCCCATTTTATGGATTTGAAAAAAATCCATCATTCATTTTTGCCAGGTAACGTTTTTTAGAGTTATCACCCATTATTCATAACAAGAAAGACTTTTTTTTTTTTTTTGAGACGGAATTTCGCTCTTGTTACCCAGGCTGGAGTGCAATGGCGCGATCTCGGCTCACCGCAACCTCCGCCTCCCGGGTTCAGGCAACTCTCCTGCCTCAGCCTCCCGAGTAGCTGGGATTACAGGCACGTGCCACCATGCCCAGCTAATTTTTTGTATTTTTAGTAGAGACGGGGTTTCAGCATGTTGACCAGGATGGTCTCGATCTCTTGACCTCGTGATCCACCCGCCTCGGCCTCCCAAAGTGCTGGGATTACAGGCTTGAGCCACTACGCCCGGCCCAAGAAAGACATTTTAACTCCAACCTCATCATTTCCCTCTCAACCCCGAAGTAGGGACATAATCCTTACTTATCCTTAGGTTAAAGGATAATACTTCCAAGGAAAGGCTTATCACACATGCGCACACATACACATTCCTCAGGATCTAACCTTATGCAGTTCGAAATTGCATTTGGGAAGCAATACTCTAATCCATGAAAATAACATAGTACTTACCACCTGAAATGAACTCAAAAAACCTCCCTCCTTGGTGAGACGTGGGCAGTGAGAAACAGCCATGACTAGAAATGACACTGGGCTGTCCCTTAGAAACCTTTTCACAAAACATGTTTGTTGTGCTCATTATGATGTCATCGTTATCGGCAAGATGTCAGAACTTTCCGTAGGTAAAATACTCCAATTTAAGTCACTTCTCTTCAGATTTGTCTAAATTTCAGTTGATTTTGAGCAAGAAGAAGTGAATGTTCACGTGTGAAAGTCTGTGGCTCCCTTGCATAGACAATAAGAAATAATGGGTAAAGATTCAAGTTAAATGTAGCGTGCATGTGGGTGTGTGGCCGAGGGATATTTGGATTCCGGTCTGTCAGGCCACTGATCAAGTGATCTCAGCCAAATTACAATTTCTGTCGTCCACGTTTGAAGACTCACGCCCTTGCAGCTCTAATATTGTATGTAAAAGTAAAAGGCATTTTGAGTGTGTAGAGACTGTTCATAAGTTTTTTTTTGAGACGGGATCTTGCTGTTGCCCAGGCTAGACTATAGGGGTGCAATCACAGCTCACTGTAGCCTCAACCTCCCAAACTCAGGTGACCCTCCCACCTTAGCCTCCCGAGTAGCTGGCACTATAGGTGTGTGCTACTACACCCTGCCAATTTTAATTTTTATTTTTTTAGACAGAGTTTCCCTTCTGTTGCCCAGACTGGAGTGCAGTGGCACAATCTTGGCTCACTGCAACCTCCACCTCCCAAGTTCAAGCGATTCTCCTGCCTCAGCCTCCTGAGTAGCTGGGACTACAGGCACACACCACCATGCCTGGCTAATTTTTGTATTTTTAGTAGAGGTGGGGTTTCACCACATTTGTCAGGCTGGTCTCGAACTCCTGACCTCAGGTGATCCATTTGCCTCAGCCTCCCAAAGTGCTGGGATTACAGGCATGAGCCATTGCGCCCAGCCACCAATTTTTTAAAAATTTTTTGTAGACATGGGATCTCGCTATGTTGCCCAAGCTAGTTTCAAACTCCTAGTCTCAAGGTGTCCTCCTCCTTCTCCCAAAGTGCTAGGATTACAGGTGTGAGCCACCACACGTGGCAACAACTCTTCATTTTGACAGACCGGAGTTCTCAAACTTTAGCATACGTCATAGTCATCATGTTAAAAATGACAGTGCCAAGTCTTCATGCTCTGAGATTCTGGTTCTTCATGTTAAAGAGATGCAGAGATCCAGGAATCTTCGTGTTATTAAAGAAACAAATTGCTCAGGACACGTGATAAAGGAGGCCACGCAGACATTGGTCAGGGAGACTATCGCCATAGCTGTAGGGAATGCCACATGGGGTTTTGCATTCAGTCGGGGCAAGAAATTAGGCTCTGCTGCAAATACAACAAGGAAATGTGGGAATTTACAGCTGAGGAGTTGGTGGGGGTGGCGGGAGGTTCGGGGGAAACATCAGGGCTATGGGGGGATTCCAGCTAAATGGACCAAACGGGACTCTTGCTGAAGGCAGGCCAGAGCGAGGAGATGTCACCTAGGCACTGGTGGAGAATGAGGAACGCAATCAGATATCAAGGTTGGGGCATTCTGGCTAAACTGACTTCGCAGGCTTCTGGCTAAAGCTGGACAAGGCAAAGGTGAACAAGGAAGGTCAGAGTCACAGCCTTGTTGAGAAGAGTTGAGAGGTGCCTGCTGAGACAGGCGAGGGAGAGAATGTTTGCCAGGGTCTCACAAGCACTTCAGGTGATCCCCATGCCGTTGTTCCTAGGGCACACTTGAAGAAACGCTGCTGATGTCTGTTTCACAGTTCTTTCTCTCTTACCCATGAACCAAGTGAGAAGACAGCACTGGCCAGCGGTTTTAATTCTCTTCAACTTGGGTTTGGACTTCAAACCTTCATCTGCCTCTCTCCTACTTTCAAGGTGTCTGGAATATTTTCTCAACAACAATAACCAATTCTCT